GTGCGATCTGCTTAGCCAAGAACAGCGTCTTCCACGAAAGAACAAAACACATCCAGGTGAAGTATCACTTCATTAGAGACGTGATAGCAGAGGGGGATGTAATTGTGACGAAGATTGATACAAGCATCAATCCAGCAGACTTCCTCACAAAATCTTTACAGGTGAAGAAGTTTGAGGATGCAAGAAGTGATCTGAGAGTACTCAGACACTAAATCTAGCTCGGATCGAAAGAGCTAGGGTTCCGGCGGATGGTCGGAACAAAGGAGAAGGAAAAAGGAAGCTCTTTTCTTCTCGGATTGAAGGAATTGATCGAGGTGGAGAATGTGAGTATTCGATCCAGTTCCTATCTTAACAGGCCAGAGTTAAGGTGTTGGGCCTTTTGTCACATTCATAGGCCCATCAAGAGACTAAAAGCAGCAACGGTCTAAAGCTGTTTGGTCGGCTCTCAGACTTTGTCTTCACCTGTGACGTACGGGTACACTGCAACAATGGTAACGGCGTGTGTTACGCTAGGTTAAATGTGTGAGCTGTAAAAGGGGAACACACATGAGGTGTATAAAAGGAACAAGGTGAGGCAATGACAAAGAGAGAGAGGAGCGTGAGTAGCAAGCAGAAAGGTCTAGAGAGCATCATAGTTTAGAGGTTGAACTTATCTTCTCCTTTAGCTAGTGTTGATTCTCTCTTGGTTTATGATCTTGTCTGGTTTCTTGTACTCGGTATTAAACGCTTAATGAAATCCTTGTGAACGGGTTTAGCTCACCAAGACGTACATTAACCACGTTGGCTTTGGGAACTTGTAAATCCCTGTGTCTTCTTCTTCTTCTTCTTCTTCTTCTTCTTCTCATCTCTGTTAAACACAAAACACAAAAACGAATCTTAGGTTAACTATTCTTAACAAGCAAGTTTCTCTGACTTAAGATAAGCTGAAAACTTCAACAGCGTTATCATATATGTGTATATATATACAGATATTTAATGGGTTATTATTAGATTTTGTTTTAAGAAGTCAAAAAAGAAGAAGATTTGGTTTGGAACCTGTTCATGTTATAATTTATTTTCCCCCATACTTTATAAGTTCTGTTGACTTAATTAATGATTATTAAAACTATTTGATTTTCTTTAAAAATGTTTAATCCAATTTTTAGAACATGATTAGAAGGATATGTCACGATCCACTGTATCTAAATTGTGTGTGCTGAAAAATACATTAAAAAACAAGTTGTGTGCGCCGAGGGCCTAATATGTTGAATTCTCTAAGTATTTACATTCGTATATTTTATTTGCCAACACTTACTAGAAGAATTCTCTAAGTATTTACATTCGTATATTTTATTTGCCAACACTTATTAGATAAAAATTTCCTAGTACAAAAACATCGGCAAGGAAAATATTTCGACTCTTTACTTTTGCAGAATTAGAAATTTGTGCATATGTCGCATTGCAAAACTCCAAAGAAACAAATCATATATATAAAAGTAAGGTTCCACTCTCTCCTTATTGGTGGAAAAATATTTAAGACTTTAATTTTCTTTTTTAAATTAAATAAATGTTTATGACAATCATTCAATACAAAATTTAATTACACTATAAGTTATAATCAAATGGCAAAGAAAATGAAAGGACTTAATCATATATCATTGAACAAAATAAATAAATAAATAAATGTTTATGACAATCATTTAATACAAAATTTAATTACACTATAAGTTATAATCAAATGGCAAAAAAAAATGAAAGAACTTAATCATATATCATTCAACAAATTTTATAAGCCTTATTGGTGGAAAATTATTTAAAATCATATATATAAAAGTAAGGTTTCACTCTCTTTATTGTTCCATTTTGTATTTATTTTTTAAAATATAATATTTATTTATAATTAAACAAAAAACACATTTAATCATATACATTAATTCATACTTTAAATTCACACTTTACTACTAATATGAAACTGAAAATTATATAAATTTCCAAAGACTACTGGTTTTCTTTATTGAATTCCAATTAAACACACTATAAATTATAATTATAACTACTCTAATTTAATTATTTTAAAAATGTAACTTACATCACTTCTTATCATATAAATAGTCATTCTCACATCCTTCTCTACCATATCTCATATCTCATATCTTCATTATTCTCTTTGTTTTTTTTTTTTAAGTTCTTGCATGGGGTGAAAACTCATTTAAAATATCATTGCAAGAGTTTGATTAATTATTTAGTTTAAACTTTTGTTTTCAATTTTATTTATTTTATGTATTTCTTTATGTCTTCATTGTTTTTTATATTTTTAAATGTAATACATATGTATAATAATATTTTATGGTTATAAGAAAATCAAGCTAAAGAAACCATGTTCATTATTTTACTTTGTATGTTTGTTTCTTTCTCACAAATTCATGTATATTTATTTTAATTTCAAAAGTATGTAATTTTTTAACAAAATAAACTTTTTGTTATATAATAAATAAACCAATTTGTAAGACATTCTTTTAAGAATAATGATCCTTATATTTTGTTTGTGATTCAACATGTAATAATATAAACAACATTATAATTTTTGTTAACTTTGAATTTTATACTTGATTTCCTATATAAAAAACAATTTGATATTCAATTTTCTATCGATTATATATACTACAACGATGAAAAATATAATTAAACCTAGAGATATAGCTTAAATTAAGAGGAATATAAAAACAAATTAAAAAATAAAATTATTCTTTGGGAATTTTTAAGGTTTCACTCTCTCTTTATTGGTCCATTTAGCATTTATTTTTTAATTATGATATTTATTTTAAATTAAACCAAATATCTAACACATTCATATAAGTTCATACTTGAAATCCACACTTTACTACTAAAATGTAACTGAAATTATATAAAATTTCAAAGACTATTGATTTTCTTTATTGAATTTCCATTAAACACACTATAAATTATAATTATGACTTTTAAAAATGTAACTTACATCATTTCTTATCCTATAAATAGTCATTCTTACATCGTTCTCCACCATATCTGATACCCTCAATATTTTATTTGTTTTATTTTTTAATGTTCTTGCATGGGATGAAAACTCAATTAAGATGTCATTGTAAGAGTTTGATTAAATATTTGGTTTAAATTTTTGTTTTCAATTTTATTTATTTTTTGTTTATGTATTTCTTCATTTTTTCATTTTTTAATATTTTTAGATGTAATACATATATATAATAATATTTTATAGTTATAAGAAATTATTTTATTGATGAGATTCAAAAATATTAATTTCCGACTATCGCACCATAAGATAATCAAGCTAAAGAAACCATCTTCATTCTTTTACTTTGGATGTTTGTTTCTTTCTCACATATTCATGTATGTTTAATTTATTTTTAAAAGTATGTAACTTTTTAACAAAATAAACTTTTTGTTATATAATTATCAAACCAATTTGTAAGACATTCTTTTAAGAATAATGATTCTTATATTTAGGTTGTGATTCAACATATAATAATACAAAGAACATTATAATTTGTTTTAACTTTGAATTTTATACTTGATTTCCTATCTAAAAAACAATTTGATATTCCATTTTCTATCTATTATATATACTACAAGGATGAAAAAATATAATTAAAATAAGAGGAATATAAAAAGAGATTAAAAATAAAATTATTTCTTGGGAATTTTTAAGGTTTCACTCTCTCCTTATTGGTCCATTTAGCATTTATTTTTTAATTATAATATTTATTTTTAATTAAACCAAATATCTAACACATTTAGTCATATACTTTAATTCATACTTGAAATACACACTTTACTATTTAATTGTAACTTAAATTATATAACCTTTCAATTGACTATTTGTTTACTCCATTCAATTTCAGTTAACACGCTATAAAATATAATTATAACTCCTCTAATTTAATTATTTTAGAATTATAACTTACATCATATTTTATCTTATAAATACTCATTTTTACATCCTCCTCCACCATATCTGATATTCTCAATATTTTTTTTTGTTTAATTTTTAATGTTCTTGCATGGGTTGAAAGCTCAATTAAGATATCATTGTAAGAGCTTGATTATATATTTGGTTAAAACTTTTGTTTTCAATTATATTTCTTCTTTATTTTATGTACTTCTTCATTTTTTCATTATTTTTTATACTATTAAATGTGTAATACATATGTATAATAATATTTTATAGCTATAAGGAAATTACTTTATTGAATTCTGACCATCGCACCATAAGAAAATCAAGCTAAATAAACCATCTTCATTGTTTTACTTTAGATGTTTTTTTCTTTCTCACATATTCATGTATATTTATTTTATTTTCAAAGTATGTAATTATTTTTACAAAATAATTTTTTCTTATATTCAAACCAATTTGTAAGACAGTGAAATAAATAAAATTTTATACACAAATAAAGGTAATTTGTGTGTATATTTATAAGTTTATACACATATTTGGATAAATTTCAACATTTTTATTGGTTGTTTTGATAAAGTTTGAAAATGGGATAAATTTAAAAACTGGTATTTTTTATATTCTCCCAATATCATTCCTATTTTTATCATTAACAATATTATTGTTTTATCAAAAAATACTTAAAAGTACTAAAGAAAATTACTATCAAAATTGAACACTTAATCAACGAATAAATTCAAAAGATATGGATGTATGCTTCTATTGTATGATTTAAATAAATAAAATGTAAAAATGTCATAAGTATTGAAATTTATTTAATCTATTTTTTATAAGTAATAAATAAATTAAAATTAATTAAATAAATATATAACAATCCGCGCATATGCGCGGGACATTACCTAGTATGTCAATGAAATGAGAGTCATGCATGTCACTAACCGTCTATTTCCAATTTGGTACGGTTCGGTTTAGGTGGGTTAGCTAACTTAAGTCCGGTTTAATTTCACAGGCCGGCAATGACTAAACAATCAAAATCAAATCATTTATTGCCGAAACAAAAGATTGGTTTCTCTGTTTCTCTCCCAAATCTTCAAAACACAATTTTTTTTTTGTCTCTTTTCCCCGATCAGATCTCATCGGACGAGCCATGGCTTCAAGTTTCAGCGGCGATGAAACTGCTCCTTTCTTCGGATTCCTCGGCGCTGCCGCCGCTCTCGTTTTCTCCTGTAACAATCATTTGATTTCCAATTTGCCGATCTCTTTTTTTTCTCATTTCGCACAAATTGAATCACCGATTTGAATTTGATCTAATCTGATCCGATTCGGTCGGAATATGTTTCAGGTATGGGAGCAGCGTACGGTACAGCAAAGAGCGGGGTTGGTGTAGCGTCGATGGGTGTGATGAGACCAGAGCTTGTGATGAAATCTATTGTTCCTGTGGTTATGGCTGGTGTTTTGGGTATTTATGGTCTCATCATTGCTGTTATCATCAGTACTGGAATCAACCCTAAGGCTAAGTCTTACTATCTCTTCGATGGCTATGCCCACCTCTCCTCTGGTCTTGCTTGTGGTCTCGCTGGTCTCTCCGCCGGTATGGCTATTGGAATCGTCGGCGATGCTGGTGTTAGGTAACTCTATTAAATCTCTCTGTTTTGATTCCACGATATCATCAATTGGCTAATTCAAATTTGTTCTGATATGTTGAACTTTTCATAGCATAGCTGAGGCTTGGTTTGGTTTTATTATCTGTCAAAGCTCGATTCTTTTATGATTCACTAAAAGATTCGAACTTTTATGATCCTGTGATGAATTTGAACAGCAAGGTAGTTTTTTGATTGATTTAATAGCACGAGAGCTCTCTCCATGTCTGAGCTTAGTTCTTATCATACTGAAACTCTTCTTTCTTGATTTGTTATATTTAAGTCTTTTACTTTGGTCTTAGAAACTGGTTGTGTTAGTTTTTGTTAACAGCTAAAATGATTGAATCTTTTTTACTTAATGCTGACTGTGAGAGTAAGTGCATAATGTGGGAGAAGATGTTTGTCTTTGTAAACTCGTGTCTTTGTGTGATGCAGAGCCAATGCGCAACAACCAAAGTTGTTCGTGGGAATGATTCTGATTCTCATCTTTGCTGAAGCACTTGCTCTGTACGGTCTCATCGTTGGTATCATTCTCTCTTCTCGAGCTGGTCAATCTAGAGCCGATTGAAGAAATCAAAAGTATCTATCCCATATGAGCTTAAATCCTTGTAATGTTTTTGGTTTATTTTGCTATCAGTTTTCTTTTGTGGTATTGTGAGTTGAGTTTCTCATGAAAACAAACACCATGGGTGAAAATTATTTGACTTTTGGTTTCAAAACCATTTCTTTCTTTCTTTTGCACACTATATGGAATTATGGATACATCAATAAGTAATAAAAATATGACCATTCAATGATTTTGAAGCCTTTTTGTAGCAGCTCTTCAAACAAAGTCCTAGCAACAAAGTTCTCTTTGTGATTTTTTGTTCTCTTTTCACTCAAAAAGTATGAATTGACATAGAAAAAGAGGAGACCGTTAAATTTTATTGAAACCTTAAAATTATTATTAACAAACTTCTCTTATCATCAAGAACATTATTTGGTTTCGAGTTTGCAAAACATTTGTGAGTTTCCACTAGACAAAAACATGGATCCAAAGGTAGTAGCTTCAGCAATGAAAGGTGAAACAAAAGCCTCATTAAAAATCATCACTAAGGAGCTTCAATTAGATTCTTTAGGCTGAAACAACGGCTTGTTGTTTTGATGATTCTTCAGTTTCTTGCAAGCTCGCATAGTATTTGACAAGAACATTCCATCCACTCGGACACATAAACCCGTCCGGAGGATTCTCCCCTGTTCTTGCATAAGTTCGCATCTGTAAGCAAAACAAAAAAATCGAGAAAAAAACTCAAGAGATGTAATCTCAATCAAGAATAATTTTGAAAATTGGAGACTTAAGTAAGAATCAAAAGACTTGAAACTGTGTCTCTTACCTTTGTTCCAGAAATGAAAAGGAACTCTTTTGCACGAGAAGGATCAAAAAATGCCATCTTCTTCTCGATTGTATCATAAGCTGCAACCTGAAAAAATAAAATCACAGACAAATAACACATGATTGAGAACTGAAGCTGCATCGTTTGAGCTAATCAAGAAACTTTGGTTTGCAGTCAGATATTATTTTATGTACCCTAAATGGAAGAATATTTAGTTTCTCAAGTCCAGGGGCCATGCTTAAGACTTTCTTCCCATGATCAGGATCATAAAGATCTCTCTTCTCAGTAGGATGGCCCATTCCTGCAGGATCACGACCTACAATGTAGAAATTGGCACCGGCGTTGATCCTAGCCTTGGCGTGCCATTGAACTTCAGTTGGACCAGCATAGTGCATTGGAGATGGAAATATTGAGACAATAGTAGTTTCTGGGTCAAGAACTCCATCTTCTAGAACCTACACATCACAAATGAATAAACTCATAATCTATCGATACAACAATAAGGAAGACAAACTTGAGAAAGACCAGTGAATTATTCACCTTGCTATGTTGTTCCATTCGAACATCAAGAGGAACATCGTCAGCTTTCGTGAAACCTCCCAAAGGATGAAGCAAGAGAATAGGGTTCTTGTAACCCATATCCAGTAGTCTTTTCCGGGTATCATTCATCAGCAGAGCATGGCCATTGTGCACGGGATTCCTTAACTGGAATGCGAAAACAGCATCCGCTTGACGATTATCGAATTCTTTCCTAAGCTGTTTGGGAGAGAGCCTGTAATGATCAAGACCGTCATTGTACTTAATCGGACTAAAAACTTGTAAATCGCCACCAATCAACCAGTTTCCAGATGGAGTAATGTATTCTTCCACATAAGGCAATCCTGGAGAAGTAGTTCCCCAAGTTCGAGCTATCCTTTCTTCCTTGTTGTGTTTGTATATCTCTACACTGCAATCCACAACCAAAGATTCATAACAAAAAGTCAATTACTTCAAAAAACATGGTCACAAATCAACAAAGGAAGAAACTTTCATATACAAAAAGAACAGAGAGAAGTAGATTAAAGTCGAGTTTGTTCAATTCCATAGCTATCAAAGACTCCATATAAAGCCACCAACAACGTTCTAAAAATTGAGATATATATTTTTACCTTCGTAGAGAACCAATGATATCTCCTTGAGGGTTAACAAGAGCAACATTCTGGGATGAACCAATCAGTTCCTTAGTCTGATCATCAATGGCAAGAACAATAGGAAATGACATGTTCACAAAAGTCCCATCTTTTAACCGAAGAGAATTAAAATGCAAACTTTGCAAATACTCATCTTCTCTCATGAACCCTTTCAAAGGACTAGCCCAACCTTCGCTGATCACATGTACCCACTCAAGATCAATCTTCGTCAGCTTCACTTTAGGCATCGTCTCTGATTCAGCTTTCTTCGCCGCAATCTCCGATTCCGGTACAATCAATTCCACCAATTCACCACCGTCTGGGTCAATCAAGGAGCTCTTAACAGTCATTTTCGAAGAAGAAACAGATTGCATTATTGGGTTTCGTTTATAAACCAAATTGAGAAAAGGGTTGTGATTAAAAGAAGAAGAAACGAAGGGGATTTGATCGGAGAAGGAGGATGATTTTGAGTATCTAGGTTGGAAGAGAGTGAGGTGTGAAACGTAGGAGGATCTGATCAGAAGAGACATGGATAGCTGCTGCTACGCGAGAGAAGTGGAGAGTAGAGAGTGAAGAGTGAAGGTGAGATTTGGTCGAACATGTTGGAGGAAGAACAAAGACTCAGACTCAAGACCCAGATCATCCACACGTTATTAATTCCACTTTTGGCTCTTTGCTTTTTTTAGTTGTTGGAATTTTTGGTTTTGTGGATCTAATTTTTGCCTTTTTGTGTGAATTGTCTTTTTCACCCTCTCTTTGTTTTTGTTTTTTGGGCCCTTCTTGGGGACCATTTCGTTTTCCAATCTCCAATATTGGGCTTATTTATCATGAAGCCCTTCTTGAGGTTTGATCATGTTTAGGTTGGTAATACCGTGCTAATATGTAAATTGAATTTAATGAGATTGAACACCATAAATCAATAATATTTGTACTTAAAATAAAAAGTATTACGGTAAAAAGAACACGCAGTTTATATTTTCACCAAGAGCATGCAGAAACCGATTTCTATTTTTCTCTTTTGGTTATTAAATGTGGTTGTTTGACCCAAACCCCCTCTAACAGTTCTAGTCGAGATATTGGACGAGAAGGTTAATTATGATTAGTGTTGATCCCTAGCCAACTCCCTTTTATAACGTTACGTTTATGTTATGACTTATGACTGTTGAGAGCGCACACCAAAAACCCCAAGTTTAAATACACATGTACAGCAGCTCCATTCTTCTCCATCACGTCCTCATGATATCCCGCACACTACACATGCGTTTTCAGCCTCACACGAGTGCTCAATGCTCATTTGATGTATCCTCAAGTGAAAGTTCTCATTTTTTCGACATGAATCATCAAATTCTTTCTCTCGACGTAAGAGAAAAGAGCAAACATGCTTGGGCAGAATCCCAAGGATTGGAGCATGGTATGGCACTGGAGTAGCACATATATCTACATTTTACTATATGCAATAGAAAACCATATACATACATCAAAGCACGTTCATGCATACATACATTTATAGAACGATTAAGCAAATAAGGTGTGTGATTCTAATTAGTAAAAATATCATTTAAAAGACTCTAATGAGGAAGACGTAGTAACCAAACTCGACAAAAGACCAACGACAAGAGCACTGTTGTAAGTGCTAGGCTCGTTTTGCATAGAATTGTTCCTCGCGTCTATAAACGTGTCGTTCAAAAACGGTCCACCAACAAGTGCACCATAAGCTACGTTAGGATTTGGTTCCTCTGAGTTAAGCCACTTGAATCCATCTTTGCATCCTGTGTTAGCATCAGCTGGTATCGATGCTCCTCTATGATGCACAAATTCTGGATACTTCTCACCATATCCAACCAAATAGCTCATTTTCTCTGGATTTTTCCCTAACATGTAATCAGCCTGCACATTGTATCAAGTTATATATGTTCTCTGATTTTGATGTAAATTTTAGACCATTTCGGTAACCTCGTTCCTATATAGTAATCTAAATGTATGGACCTGAGATCTGGCGAATTTTCTGAGATCTGAAGGTTTGAAGGATTGGTCACTGCAAGAAAACTCCTTAATACCAGAGGTGAGCATATAGTCACTGTAGAGTGTAGCTAAAAATGCTGAGGACACAGGGTGTTGCAGTGCGTTCCATTCACTAACCCATATTAGACCACCTATGCAAACATCAGGTAATGATTCAGAGATTTCTATCATTAGTGAATGAGTTAACGTGAGATGTAAGAAAAGTACCTTCAGTTCTACTAGATGTAGCCGTTGGGGAGCTCGGTATAAGGCCACACATGACAGCTTCTGCTGTGTCTTTATAACCTTGAAGTCCTTTGTTTCCTGATAACCCCTTTTTAAAGAAGGTTAATCTTGATAATAGTATCTGCAAATGAAAGAAGACACCAAATTTTATAATCAAACAAGCAAGAACATCCAATCATGGTTGTAATTAGGAAGTGCCTTGTCTTTATACATGTGTTCCTGGAAGCTTGTTGTCCCAACTAAACCAAGATGGACTTCCAAAATTACCAAACTCTTCACCATTTTTCGACACAAAGTCAAGGTATGTTTTATCCTCTGTTGCATGGTACAACCATGAAGCAGCCCAAAGAAGCTCATCCCCATATCCAGTTGAGTTGTAATAAGACTGAACCTCAGGTATGTTGACACTGTAAGATCCCCTGTGATTGTCTGCGAAATCGAACAACTGCTTGGCATGCTTCAGAAGCGTGCTTGAATACTTGGTATCGCTTTCTTTAAAGACTAAAGATGCTGCAGCTAAGGCTGCTGCTGTCTCTGCAGCAACCTCAGTCCCTGGAGTCTTTGTATCAATCTTGGTAAGAGTTCTCTTTCTAGACATTGTTTCTGGCCTATCCCAGCATTTATGATCCGTCTCCGGATCTCCCACCTCCATGATAAAAAAAACCAATCAGTACTCTAATGAAAGATTCATACATATCGATGTTATCGACCATCAGTGCACCTGAATATAGAGGACATTTGGAGAGGGATGAGCATTGACGAGGAAATCAGTAGTCCATTTGAGGGAGTCTTTAGCATGGTCCAATAGGTTAACGGAAGCCATTTGATCACCGTACTCAAGAATGGACCAGGAGAGAACTGAAGTAGTGAAAGCCATAGGGAAACCAAACTTCATGTGATCTCCAGCATCGTATAAACCTTTGGAAAGGTCGATACTTGCATCACTTCCATCCTTAAGACCTGAATCTCCTCTCCATGATATTTTGTTGTTCTCTAGCTTACCAGCTGCATAAAGAAAAAACATGAAAGATACATTGTGGCAAAAGCGAATGCAATTCAAATATGATGAAACAGGAGATAGAGAAATAGAGATACGCATGACAAGGACGAACAAAGAAAGGAGAAATGTGAAAAAGGATGGAGGTGGGTGGGTGCAATACATACATTTCTGGATATCGAAGAATTGCAAAGCGATCTTGAGAGCATCGGCGTACTTCTTATCAACGGAGCCACTATCATCATCGGAGTGGTTTGATCGATGCCTGAATGTGAAAATGACAGCGAGAATTACAGCGATCAAGACGATGATACCGATGAACCAACTACAACAACAACATCTTGACTTTGGTTTCGCCACCATTTCCTTCTCCTTTGGTCGACGATATATTAGAAAGAAAGAAAAAAACAGAGCTAGATGCCTAGATGTCAATGGACATTGCTAGATCTAGGGATTCAAGAAGAAGAAGAAGAAGCAAGTAACAGATTTTGGCTAAAAATGAGGATACTGAAAGGCCGCACCGACACTGATCAAACCACACGCGGGACGGGATCCCGTTTTGGCCTATTTGTTTTCGTAATTACGGGAGTACCCTTGCCTGGGATAGAAGGAAGCTATGTGGGCGACTGCGATTGGTAGTTGCGAGATTATGACGTCTAATGGTTTTTTTTTACTTTTTTGTTAAATTCATTTACGAGTTTAGTCAACTCCAACCACCAAATCCGGTTTTTATTTAACAAAGAAACAGATATAACTATACCGGTTTTCAGATTTTATATTTGATCAAATTTTGTGTCTCATTGCGTAAACAAATTTTGTATACTGATCAAATGACGTTAAAGAGTTAATTTGGTTGGTATGCTCATCTTTTGTCACTTAGATTTTCCAAACACTAGAAATATTTGGACACCAAAGAATTCATCAAAAGAAAAGCTACCATTTTTTATCAAAATTATATGAACAAATATAGCCATACTCATTAATTATTATTAGGGAGATATAATGAAATTTACATATCAAATTAGTAAAATCCAATGAAAAAGTGATCACATTAGTTAATGTATAATAAAAATCCCAAAAATTGCAGTTGTAACCCATAACACTTCAAAAATATTTGGGAAAATTGTCATATCTACCCCTTTCAAAAGTTAAACCCACAAAAATATGACTTTTTTTTTTTATCTTTCTAATTAAAGAATATAGTAGATATGGCAAATTTTAGGGCTTCATATTTTATTTTTTTATGTTTTGGTTTTGTGTATAATTAAGAGCAAATCACTTGGGCCTTAATTCTAGTTCAGGCCTGGAATAAGTCCATAAGACTCTAATTTTAATTCACGGATCAATGTAAATCATGTTTGCGTTTACATTTTTATTTTATTTTATAAAATACAAAAACTGAAAGTACAGTATGCTCTTTTTGAAGGATTTTTGGAATGTATCAACAACATATGAAAATTAATTAATTCTGTAAAAGGCATTAACATTTTGGCCCCATATATTTTTACATTGAGTGCCTGAGTGGTCATTGTAAAGTTGTTGTGATTTGTGAATATATAGACGTTGGTGTTTCTGTTCTACCATACTTTTCTTTGCTTTAATAATTGAAAACAATACCCCTCCTCATCCTCTCTCTGTCGACTATGATGCATAATGAATGAGTTCACTTGATAGAACATAAAACCAAAGTCTAATTTTCATATCACATTACTTTAATTGTTTAGGTTTTTTGCCACAAAAAAACAATAAAATATCCAACTTTTTATATTTACAAATGCCAAATCAGTTTTATAAGTTCTTTAACCATTCTTATTGTTTATATATTTTTTTGGTAAAATATAGTTACAATTATTTATTATTTGTAGAAAATGGTGTATAACATTAAAACGAATTATATAGAATTCAATGGGAAAAGGGACCAAAATTAGTTAAAAAAAATATTAAATCCACCAATTCAATTCATCAAAAGAAAAGCTACCATTTTTTGTCATAATTATATGAACAAATTTAGCCATACTCATTAATTATTATTAGAGGGAAATAATGTAAATTAAACAATCAAAATAAGAAAAATCAAAAGAATCCAATGAATAAAAAAGATGATCAAATTAGTAAAATGTATAATAATTCCAGCACAGATTTCACAAGAAAAGCTTGGATCATAATAAGAGAGACTAGGAACGATAAGGTACAAAGTGACTACTGTAGACTCATCCTTCCGGTCCCAGATCTAAGAGATCGTAACCGTCCATTTCAAAACTCAGGAAAGATTAACCTCTAAGAATCATAGCGTACGCTATATCATAACACAGTGGATAATTTAACCCCATTTCAAAGAAAGTAAATATTTGAAAAGGACTCGTAACGAAAAAACCAAAAACAGTGTGACTTGTGAATCAACCGCTGGTAAAGTCACAACAATTTTTTATTTTTTATTTTAATTATTTTACCCTTTTTTTCTTTTCTTTTTTCCCTCACAATCATTTTGTCTCTTTCCCCGCTCTCTCGCTCTCGCCGCCGTCTGCGTAACGGTCTCCGGCCGCATTACGCCGATCAATCTCTTCCCTCCGCCGACGTTTCCAAATAATTTCCGTCGAAGTCTATTTGAGACGTGTTCCGATTCGATTCACTGCCCGAAGCTTCGTTTGTTTCTTCAGGAGGTATTTTTTATTTGTTCATTCGGTTGAAGTAGAAATAGGATTCCTCATTTTCTTCTTGCTTGAGAATGTGTTTGTTCTATCAATGGCGATCGATTTTGAAGCTCTTCATCATCAATCTTCACTTCCTTGTTTTAGTTTCTGTATCAGATGCACTATTGTGTCTTAGTTAGTCGGTTGGTTTGCAATCGATTTCAAATTTGTGCATCTTCTCTAGATTCGTAGCTTAAGATTTTCGAATTCGAATTCCAAGGTCGAGGGCTCTGAGATTATTCAAACAAATTCGAAGCCAAATCTTGTTCACTTGAATCACCAGCACCTTTGAATTTTCTTTTTCGCCGACACTAATCTCATTTTGCCAGTAAGGATTAAGAAGAGTTGATTTCATACAGTAATGTGCATTCGTACCTAGGATTCAACTTTAATGATTTCTCGTGCTTCAGTAGTATGTGTAGTTGGTTGAGAGCATTAGATGATCCAGCTATATGAGTTTGTAAAAGTTATGTATCATTAGCTGGAGAAGTAACATAGTAGTAGGGTTTAGTACATTGATTGATTCTGCTTGTTATGAGTATTGCTTCTTGTTGGTTGAAATAGTATTACTTACGCATCTTTGCTGTATGTTCATATAAATTTGTGTCGTGATGATCATATTTTTGTTGTTCCTTTTTATCAGGTGTGCACAATGATTGGATCGTTTCTAACAAGAGGACTTGTGTAAGAATCTGATCTCTTCATTGAGGTTCCAAAGTATTACTACTTGATCAAATAAATTTGTGAATTTTGTATTTTGATATCCATTTGTTGGCAGAATGGTATTTGGATATGCGTATCCTGCTTATGAATGCTACAAAGCGGTTGAAAAGAATAAGCCTGAGATGCAACAGCTTCGATTCTGGTGCCAATATTGGTTTGTGATGATTTGTTTCTCATCTGTTCTTATCTTGAGCTTCTGCTTTGAGTCTTCTTTTGTAGTAAAGTCTAGTTTTCTTTTCAAACTTGTTGCAGGATTTTGGTGGCTGCTTTGACGATTTTCGAAAGAGTTGGCGATGCTTTTGCTTCTTGGTTGGTGTTATTGATATAGGAATGCTTTTAAATGAATAGAGATATATGATGTACTTACTTTGTTTCTGTCCTGTTTTCATGAAAGGGTTCCGCTATACAGCGAAGCAAAGCTGGCATTTTTCATATATCTTTGGTTCCCCAAGACCAGAGTGAGTAAACATTAGTGGTAGCTAGAGAGTCAGTACCGGCATATATGATCTATTTGACTTCTATCTCACTGTACTTTCCTTTCTTTCCACAGGGAACTACATACGTTTACGATTCCTTCTTTAGACCATATGTTGCGAAGCATGAAAATGAAATTGACCGTAACTTGATTGAGCTAAGGACCAAAGCTGGAGATATGGCAGTTGTATACTGCAGAAAAGCAGTGTGCTATGGACAAACAAGAATCACAGAAATCCTACATTTTGTAGCTCTACAATCAACACCAAAACCTCAGCCTAAGGTAATATTACGCACTTAAAAGATACAAAGAGCAGCCAAGTATGGATCTTTATGCTTTTCATCTTCTTCTATGCTCACTAGAAGATCATTAAATATGTTTCTCCTTGTACAAAAATGATAATGTTGACGAGTGTCTCTTGATTAATTAAATGAATTGTCTCTTGATTCATTAGGAAAAGAAGCAGGCAGAACAAGAAGAGGAACAGAAACAACCGGATCTTAAGACGACGAGCCAAGCAGCTTCCAATCCTCAAGGGCGTCTGCAATCAAAGAAACCACAGCTTCAAACCAAAGAACCTATATCATCACCAAAGCCACTTTCATCCTCCCCACGCAAGCAGCAGCAACAACTACAAACAGAGACCAAGGAAGCAAAAGCAAACGTGTCACAAACCAAACTCACTACTCTATCTCCACCAGGACCACCATCATCATCACCCTCAACCGCCATGAAACCAAACACTGATCCGCCGCAGCCATTATCAACAGAGGCAGAGAAAGCGTCACCAATTGTTGCAGCGTTACCACAACCAGCGTCTGCGATTCAACGAGCGTCATCTGCGAAAGAGACGATAATGGAGGAAACACTAAGGGTCACTCGCGGGAGTCTGAGGAAAGCTCGTTCAACGGGAGTACCGCGCTAAACAGGAAACAGACAACAAGTTCAAAACTATTGCCTTATAATGGGTTCTTTCTAAAACAGGAACAATCGATTCTATTAAACGGTGTTACTTGTCGTTTTAGTTCGATGTAAATTTTTCAAACTCTAGACTCGTAGTGGATCTTGATCTGTTATTAGCTGAGAAAGAAAAACATGTTACCCTCCCAAAAGAATCATACAACGGATAGAAAAAGACTCTGTCTTTCTCCAATGGTCTATAAACATATCGATTGAAAAGAAAAAAACACTCTTCATAATATATAACTCTTGCTTAAACGTTGGTTTAGCATGTTCTTGGGATTGTTGATTTGCTAGCCCATGTGAAATATAAATTGGACACTAAATGTATCTGTCTTTGTCAGCTAGTATTCACATTTTGACTTCAAGGTTGATGTTTCACAAATATCGTTATAAACGTCGACATTCGTTTTGTCTAGAGATAATTTGACCAGTATATTGCTAATGACTTCGTCACTTGTTTCATACTTTGTATACTTAATTGTTTCTTCTAAACAATGTACGTATTTTTCATGCGTAATGCTGAAGAGTTAAGGCCTCTATAATTTTGCGAGACTCTGGGTGACTGAGTGGTATAGATTGTTTCACATTAGGAGATTTTTACTAAAAGTATTATGAGATACATACCTATGAGTAGGGGTAACATATTCTCTTCTCAAAACATTGACGTATGCTACATAGTTTTCATTTAATTATTAGAAATCATAAAATTAAACTATCTATATACTGATTACATAAATTATATGTTGTTATTTTCAATTTTTTATTAATCATAATATAAAATTATCTAAATATCAAGCTTCATTATGCATAAGTTTAAATTATATATTGTCAGTTTCCTTTTTTTTATAAAATTTAATATATAATTATCTAATTATAAAATTTCATTATGCATAGGTTTGAATTATATATTACTATATTTTTTTTTAGTTAACGTAAATACAATATAAAAAACTAATATTGAATTAGTTGTAATTTTAAATGTTCAAAACTAACTAATTAATACAGTAACTATGTTTAGAATATATTTTAATTTCTCTTAAGAAATAACTAATGAAAATTTCTAATAAAAATAAAATTAAATAATATTAAGTTGATGAGATACTGATTTCTCACCCAATGGAAATGCTCTTTTTTTTCTTTTTTTTTTTTGTCATCATGAAAATGCTCTGATAGTAGTACCAATTATTTACTTAAAAGAGGTACCAACTTGAATAGTTCTACATCTTTCATTCACACTATAAATTATCCAACAATTCTATATATTTTATTTTTCATTTCTTTTGTACGAGCACTCTTCACACCCGAGCAACGAGCACAAGAAAACCAAAAAAGAACATGAGCGACCCTAGCGGGAAATCTTCAACAACTACTACTGTAGGGGGAAACAATGGCGGCGGCAGTAACGGCGGAGCTGGCGGCAGCAGTAACGGCGGAGCTGGCGGCGGAAGTAACGGCGGAGCTGGCGGCGGAAGTAACGGCGGAGGTGGCGGTGGAAGTGGCGGCTCCTTTGAGATTCAGCCGCTGAGATCAAAGGTGAGGAAGCAAGTGTGGGCTGGAATTCTCGGCATTTCTTCCGAATCCACCAATAAGTAATTAATATTTAATATCTTTTTGTATCTCCTTCCATCGGATAATTAACAACATGTAATCAGTAATAAATAATTATGGTGGTGGTTAAATTATTATATATTCTTGAATATTATATTGATCAACATCGTTCGTTTTAACCATATGTCTAAATAAAACAGCAAGGAGATCATTCGTCATTTCTTATGAGATTTTGAATATATATATATATATATATATATATATATATATATATATATATATATTGTTTCTTGCAACTACTATAAATTAAAGGATATCTATAGTCCCAAAACGCGAATAATATTGTGTGTAGAAAAAATTAGGTTTTTTTTTGCTAAATATCATCATATTCTTGAATATTAGGGTTCCTCGTTAGATTATCATCATAATAACTATGAATGCGAGTCAAGTTAGTAGGCTTAGATCATCATGCTCGTGATTAACCGTTGATCAGACGTCCTCGGCAATTAATATGTTTCGTGCATTGTCAACGACAGCTTCGTCTCGTTCCATGTAATTTAATAACATAAAGCTATTTCTAAATTTTCCATAATAACCATTGGACATTTATAATAAGAAAAAAAAAAAAAAAAGGTCAAACTGTTTTCCCATTTCTTGAATGCTAACAAAGTTATCACAATCAAACAAAACACATGCGCAAGACAGGCTATAATAAACTTTATAATATATTTATATACATGCTACCACAAAACTATGCAAAAGACATTTCAGAGAGCTCCTACTAACACACACTAGCTCGCACTCATTCACCATTCATATAAAACGAACCATTGAAGTTTTAAACCATCAACATTACTTTTTTTTTTTTTTTTTGACAAAAAACCATCAACATTACTTAAACTCACCATAATCATAATAACAAGAACTTCATAGGTTTATATATACGGTGGATCCTTTGAATTTGTATTCTACCAAATGATATATAAGACCACCAGTGGTGGTGGTATATAACTCCTTTCTTAAAACGTTGGTTGACCCTATGCATATGTTTGAGCTTATTCTCTTGATGCTGATTGCAAGGCCCATACAACTCACACACAGGCCTATCTCTGACTGAAATGGTAAAAATGATGAGGAATACATTTTGGGCAATTATTATCTTGTTGATACACTTGCTATTCTCGTTTTGACTTCCGTTTGATGTTTTCACTAAAGTATCGTCAAAGTCGACATCCGTTTGGTCAAGAGATATGTTGTCCAAATTATGTTCTAATTTGACCAATACTTTGTTTATGACTTCGCCATTTTTCTTTGATACGTGTATGACTTCTTAATGGTTTCTTCTAACTAATTAATGTACGTACTTGACAAATTACTACATTTCGTTTTCTTCTTTCTCCTCTTTAGAAAAGAGTAGCCATGACGTCAAACTGCATGCGTCATGCTGATGAGTGAAGGCCTCAATAATGGTGTTGTGAGTGATATAGGTTGAGTGTGTGGCGTGGCGGCTGCATCTCTAATAAATAAATAATGTTGTTGCAAAAAAAGATAATACATTTATCGTAGTGACTAGTGACTACGAGTGAGAGTGAGTGTAGTGAGTAACACATGGCCTTCCCTAATTATCCACCGTTGGATTCCATCTCCAAGATAAGGTTTCATACCAAAACTTATTGTACCAATCCAATTATTAATCTAAAGAAGTACCAACTTGAATAGTTTTTACATTATATTTTACCATGCCAATGCACAAATAAGAGTGGCGGTAGGGAAAACAAAAAAAAAAGATTCCTTCTCGTGTTTCTCTTGTGATCCCGACTACTATAATTATCCCACTTTTAGTTATTTTTCTTTTCATACTCTTAGCAAGCATCAACGAGCACAAGAAAACAAAAAAAAAACATGAGCGACCCTAGCAGCCAATCTTCAACAACGAACGGTGGCGGCAGTGGTAATAACGGCGGAGGTGGCGGTGGAAGTGGCGGCTCCTTTGGGATTCAGCCGCAGAGATCAAAAGTGAGGAAACAAGTGTGGGCTGGAGTTCTTGGCATCTCTTCCGGCTCCACCAACAATTAATATTCTATCTTTTGTATCTTATTCCACCGGATGATTAAAGAACATGTCTCATGAGTCATGAAAGATGGTGGTGGTAATTATTATGCTTAGCTTGATCTTCGTTCTCGTGTTAACTATGTCTAAATAACAAGGAGTTCATCAGAGACCATCTTCATCGTCATTTGTTATGAGATTTTGATATATATATGTTTTGTTTCCTTCCACTTCTGTATAGGATTTTAATCCTAAAAAGTGGAATCTTGTGATAATTTTTATTTGTTCTTAAAGAAGTGAGTATTGTTTTTGTGTATAAACAACTAGCTAGGGTTTCTCTTGCAGATAATTTTTAAGTAAAATCTTGTGAGGCGTAACACATTTGTCGGCAAGGTATAGTCTGAAAAAACATGGTAAAACTTATCAGAAAATAATATGCAATAATTAAATAGAATGATCATATTAAAAACAATTCAAAGAAGTTATATATTCTATGGTGTGTGTTTCAATGGTTTACACTTATCCACTATAATTGTTCTTATCCAATACTATAATAGTATATATATATACTTCCTCGATTATATATCTATCTTCTCAAAGATTGTAAACTATATCAGAATCATCATTTTATTTACACGAATAAAAAGAAAAGAACAGAGGAATCAGTAATACTATAAAATTTACCGTAAAGACATTATTCCAACAAGGTGTATCAAGTCCAGTATTCAACTAGACAATTTGTGTGCCCTTTAGGTCTTATCCTTAATAAAATAAAATGATGATAGGAGTATGCAGTTTAGTGTCACCATCTCGACTTAATTAGATACCTAGCTCAATTCTTTTCAATAATTGGTTAGACCATTTAAAATAAATTAGGATGTAGTCATCCATATATATATGAGCCAGAGATCAACCGACTTAGAGGGTCTCGAATTCACAATTCCCGACCAGTTGTTAAACAATTGAATTCGACGCGAACTGAATTATTAAATCATGTAATAATTTTAGAGAAATGATAAAGTGATTGATCTTAGTTATAATTATCCAGGTGTTGTTTAATATTAAAGTAGAAGACATAATCATAACTGTCTTAAGTTAAGGGTTATACCAACTAATAAAACTAGCTAGAATTAACCCCTCATCCTCTAATCATTACACCAAAAGCCTCTCTAGTCTCTGCTCTTCTTTGAAGAAAAAAAGAAAAAAACATACTCAAATTTAAAATCAAACTCTTGTTTTGTTCTCTAGGAAACAATCATTTTTATTTTCATTTTTTTTGAATTAATAAAACAGAATGGTCCTAGTAGAAAGCCAAGTGTACAATAATGTATTTGGAGCAGGACCACAGCTTAGTTTCAACACTATGATAAATTACTTTACTTACTAGCAAGAGTACAATTTAACTTTTAATCAGCTCATGATTAACCATTGATCAATTCTCGGCTAGCTATATGTTTCTTCATTGTCAACATAAGCTACTTGTAAAATTTCTATAAATCTTACGGTTTAGTTTCAAAATAACCATTGGAGATTTTTTATATAGACAAAAGTATGAAAAGTTAGTCAAACTGTTTTACCTTTTCTTGAATCCTTACAAGTTTACGTCTTCAGTCCATATATATGATATATAGTGGTATTAACAATTAAAGCAGATTTATGAACAAATCACACGTCTAGTTTAGCTGAACTGAATCACTGGTATTTCTAGCTTGGAAGAAAAATAGGAGTATATACATTTTTTCTGCATATACTAATGTTCAAGACTTTCTTGATTAATATTCCAAAGTATTCAATTCATCCGGAAGATGATAGCTGACTAATCCATACATACATCTACAAATCTATCTCCAAGTATATATAAAAACTTGCAAGTTCACTTTGCCGAAGACAAAGGAAGCCCCATACAAATGATTTGTTCACATGCAACATCATACACTTAATCTCTCAACTTACTTTTTCACTTACGTTTTATATTATTCCTCCAAATTTCAATATTCAAAAACCCTTACATTCAAAAAAAGAAAAGATAGATAATGAAAAGCTCCTAACCACCGCTAACAATGTGTATAAATAAGTGTATATATACGAGCATCACATTAATCGAACAAAACACATGCAAGACAGGATATAAATAAACTTTATGATATACTCCACAAAACAATGCCAAAGCCATTTCAGAGAGCTCCTCCTAATTACACACACTCGCACTCATTCACCATTCATATAAACGAACCATTTGACCATAATCATTACTTGAACCGTCATCATATTCAAAACAACAAGAGCTTCATAGGTTTATCTTCTTCATCCATGAAGCTCTTCTCCAAATTCCGCAAGATTTTGACGAGGATACTCTTCACCCTTCCTTCCTCCTCCGCCACCGTGCGTCCTCACAAAACCGCTGACTCCGGCAACGGTTGTGAGAGGCTTGAGACGCCGAAGATATCGTGCAGTAATTCGTACTACTCCTCACACTCTCACTACAGTGAAGCTATCTCAGATTGTATAGACTTTTTCAATGAAGTCTCAACAAGAAAGTGAAGACCAGATTGTTCATGATCACAACGGTCTTTATGTTTGGTCAAACGTTTTTGTAAAATATGATTTCTTGTCTTTTTATCCTTTTCTTCTTCTATTAACGATTTGAGTCTTTCCATCATCTATTTAAAGTTTTAAACTATTGAAGCTGCTAAGCTGGTATTAGTTGATAGTTCTTCTTTTACACGTACTAATGTCTAATTGTACTAATTGTTTGTGTGTATTTCACAGTATGTGACACAATAGTTCTATATATATATATCTATATGCTCTTGTGGGTGAAGTAAATCTAATCCCATAAAAACATAATAACTTATTATTAACTTGTTTGTTTATCATCACAATTTTTCCAATGAGCCAAAAGTTGGAACTGTAGGCGTTGGTGTGTGTAATCTGTCAAATCATATGATCGTCAGTAAAACGTCATTACAAACACGATATCCGAACTAACATTATTTTGGAAAGCTAATTCTAAACTTTAATGCTTCTTTGCTATCAAAAACTTTGAACTTATACGAGTATCTCAAAACCTCCACAAGCTCAAACTATCCATTCCGAAAGCTTATTACACCACACCAGATGGAAGACGAAGAACGAGCTGTCCACCCATTAAACTGTTCCCAAAAAACAGAAAAATTATATTAGAAGTTTTAAACAATTCAACATTGTGGCCGTTAGATATAATAATAGGTGGAGTAAAATGGTTTTACCTCTGAACATAGTAATAGCAAAAATCTGCGAGGATGAAGGTTTGAACGATTTCAGAGAGGAGGACCATTACAGGCCACAGTCCAGACCCTAATGCAGTCAGTAACCGCCCTCGCGTATCCAATACCTACGTGCATTTAAAATCATTTTCATAAACAGTACATAAAGGAGATAATCTGAGCTTATTATGTGTAGTCTGACAATAATAGAAACTCTGGAACCTGAAGGATCCAATGTGCACAACTCAAGAACCTAGCGATTCCCAAAGCAAACACGTAATGTGCTGTGAATGGTTCCACAATCTAAGAAAAAAAGACATAACATTCGAGAAAGATTCAGAGTCAGCCCTTTGGTAGCAAAAAAAGAAGGCTTCATTAAAGCGCAGTATGAGTACCTTAGTGTTCTGCATGACCCTTAATTGAGGAAGAACTGAAACAGCTTCAAGGTAAACACAGAATGCCCAAGAAATCCTGTTTATGATGTGGTGACGAGTTGATGGATGAATGAAGAAAGATATGACAGCACATGGGATTACCTGAAGCAAGAAAGAAAAAAAACTCTCAAAAACGAATACTGCATCTATATCAAGAATCTCAATAACAATCAATAAAGATGTTCCAGAAGTCTTTTATTGCTTACATAATGAGCGAGTGTTTGATACAACTAGATAAATCGAAAATTTGATTTCAAAGCTTTAAAGCCAAATGGTGACATCTATGAACAAAAATTGAGCTCATGCATAGAGCAAAACGAAAGAAAATGCCTTTTAAGAACGAAAATCCTGAAGTACTGTAGCATTTGACTACGCTGAAACCAGACTTCTCTAGTAGTAACATTCTTCTATCCCACAAGTTTAACACTCAAAAACACATAAAAACAATCAAAAGTGAAACAAAGAGTTTGGAAAACTTACGACACAGTAGATAGCATAATTGTCTTTGTCTTCCATATAAGTGGGTCTAAGCTTGAAACGAATCATATAAATGACCCAAAGAGTGGTCACCAAAGTAGCAGAATCAAGTAATGTGTGAAGATCAAACTCCATCACAAAGCTACAATACAATCTCACAGCCAGAAACAAAGCCGTTAGCTCCTGCGTCTTGAGAGATATCCCTGTTGAATTCATGAAATTTCAAAATGTCAATAACTATCAGATAACTCAATCATAAAGCTAAAAACCAAAGATTTAGAAACACAACATCCCCTGCATCCCAAATTCACACTGGAACAAATTCAAATCCCTAAAACCTAGAGAACCCAGAAATTCCCATGATTGAAAGGATATAATACCAGCACAAGTCTTCTCCTTTGTGAGCTTGTAGATAAGAACACCGATGCCAAGGGCATGAACAGCCTCAGAAGCAATGAAAAGGTTGTCGTGTTCATGAACAATCACCCTAAGGAAAACAAGCACCGCCATTGCCGTAACAACAGCAAGAAAAGCCTTCACCTTCGGCGGCTGCCGGCGAATCCACGCCATCACGGACTGAATCGGACTTTTCTCCGCCTTCATCGTTCGCTTCCACCTCCACCAAGTCGCCAAATGTTACAAAAACTCTCTCCCTCTCTCTCTCTGTTTCTCTGAGATCAGTGGTGTGACTAATGTAATGAATGATTATCACACAACTTGCGTCTTCGATCAGAATTGGGAATGAATGAATCTGTTTACATTTCTTAACGCAACCATACAATGCCAATGCCATTACTTTCGCGAGTAGGACACGTGGAAGCTGTTAGGTGAGAGACTGATAGTTTCTGGTTTTTTTGCAAAAGGTCTCAAGTACTTTTGCTTGCTTCGTCTCTTTGTCTGATTCTATCTACATTTATTACACTAAACCGGTTTGGTTTTAAAGACGAATTCACAAATCAATGATCCAGTTTATTCAATTGGTAGAAGCACAAGCCCATTAAAGGCCCATTGGAGAGCCGGCGTGTGGCTGTAATGTTTAAAACTTTATATGATCCAAATCGATTAACAAAGAACCTCTCTCTCTCTCTCTTTTTTTGGTCTTTGCAACTCCTATAACGGTCTTATCTCTCTCTCTCTAAACTCTCTCTCTCTCTCTCTCCTTCCTACAACTCTTCTGTGAAGTCTGTGTGTGCTTCTTCGATTGGTATTGGAACTTGGGTTTTGCGAGATGGGTGTTAAATCGGTGTCCGGAGACTCTTCGGAACGGGAAAACTGGGAGATAATATTCAAGAGTTTGGTCAAGATTCTACAGAAGAAGCAAGACCAGGTCGAAGCGCTTCTCAAAGATAGGAAGCTGTTAGAAACTTCGATCAAGTCTAAGCACGAAAATTGGCTCATTGATGTTCGGAATTACGAGGATCAACTCTCTCTGGTAAAAATCCCCTTTTTGATTCCTTGTTTCCCATATAGTTAGGGTTTTTTAGGGTTTTCTTCTCTGCTTAAGGATTTTGTTAAAGTCCAATGTTCTTAATCCCTCTGAATTTTTCAATGTTGTGCAGATGATGAAAGAAATTGAAACGACAAAGAGGATGCAGTTGCTTGAGACTTCTAAATGCAATCTCTTGTGTGGATTAAAGGAAAGCGATAATACTCTTTGCAATTTGAAATTGGGTAAGTGACTATTTGGTAAAGGTTTATAATCAAGTTCTCTCCTTTTTGTTTCCTACGACTAATAAAGTTTCTTTCTTTGTTTCATGGAAATTGCAGAACAGTCGCTGGATGAGTTAAAGGACTTCAAGGCTTGGTTTGATTTCCTCACTCTGAATACAACAAATGTAAGTGAAATTTTAGATTTTGTAAGCTCTTGTAGGCTTTTTGGTTTTAGGAACTCATACAATATATCTTCTTTTTATATAAATGTGTATATGCAGAATGAAAGTGTCAACTCAGAAGGTTCAGCTATTAAGTCACTGGAGGCAAGAATCAGAAAACTGAAACTTGAGTATGAGAAGCTTGTATCTGAAAAGAAATGTGAGGTATCTGATCTTGTACGAGAAAATGGGTTTGCGTGGAATCAGTTCAACTGTATTGAAGTTGAGCTTACTGATAAGTTAAAGAGAAAAGATGATGAGATCGCTCAAGCAAATTTGAAAATTTCTAGTCTTTTATCTTATCAAGAGCAGCTTCAATCAACTAATCAAGAAAAGGATGAGACTATCTCAATGTTAAAGGCTAAGATGGCTGAAATGGAGACGAATTCTACTAAAAAGGATGAGGAGATCTCAAAACTCTCACGGGATCTAGAGTCTTTGAAGAAGTCTCGTGGTTTTACACCAGTTTTAACTCGATGTACAAAACTTGAAAAGCGTAGCAATACGGTTGGATCTTACATATCTACTAAGAAAGAGAAGTCTGCTGCATCATCATCATCTAATGAAAAGGTAGTTTATAAATTTGAAATTGCTTGTGGTGTCTTTTTTTCGATCATCTACAGAAGAAACATCTTGATTTACTTTGGTTTTTTTTATCAGGTAAGCAAAAACTCAAAGAGGAAAAGAATGAACACGACGACACCCGTCTCAGTTTCAGAAATCCCAAAGCTGTTCACTTCGACATTTAGACTTCCTAAGTTGAAGTCTCCATCTTCTGGAGCCATATAGATTTTATCTTTTATTAGGGAACTTAGGTTATTGAAAGCATGTTTATCTATTTGTATTTAGGATCAATCCCCTGGTGTACATTTTGCAACTGACCTCACCCATTAGCTTAATAGTTCTTGAGAATTGCCCCCTTACACCAGCATAAACTTAGTTAGGAAACTCATATTGCATCTAGCATTTGTCTTTATTTTCTCTATATTATTGTGGCTTGAAGCTTAATCAGAGAAGGAGGCAGCAATGGCAGAACATTTGGCAATGCAACAAAGATTTCAAGAGGCTTTGAATTGAAGAAGAGTGATTTCCGGTTTTATTTTGTTTGTAGTTGACACTTTCTTTTGTATGGCTTTGATATTTTGAATAAAGATTTTATGGATTCTTCTTCTTCTTCTCTTGGTATATAACCACTGGCACTGAGCGTGAAAGTGAGCTTTCTCCTTCACACCAAATCATCAAATCCAACTCATTCGCTTCAGGAGACTTAAACCAAACCAAAGTCAGAAATTGAAATTGTTTTGGTACAGAATTTTGGTCCGGTTCAACGAAATTTAGCACGTTTGGTTAAGAGGATGAAACGACACCGTTCTAAGCACCCTTTTATTTTTGGATTAGGGCACAATTCACGGAGGAACACATCGGTGGTTTCTTCTCAAATCTCCCAAAGTTTTTTCAGCAAAGGTTTCGATTTGTTTATTTGTTTGAAGAAGAAGATGCCATTGGAGGATGCGAAAGCTTTGAAGAAAGAGGAAGCTGAGGATGACAATAAGAGCTTGAGTTCCCTAGTGAAGAAGAAAGCCACGAACGCCAACAATGCTGTTTCGAAGAAATTGAAGAGAGAAGAGAAGGAAGACGATGATGATGACAAACCCATCAGGTCATCTTCTTCTGGATCTCGTTCAAAGCCAGTGGCGAAAAAGGAGATGATTGATGAAGACGATGATGATGACAAACCCATTAGGTCATCTTCTTCTGGATCTCGTTCAAAACCAGTGAAGAAAAAGGAGGGGATTGATGAAGACGATGAGAAGAAGCCTGTTTCTATGAGAAATTCATCTGCTGGTGTCTCAAAGGTTCGATTTTTATCTTTCTCTCTCTGTTTGAGTGTAAATTTTGAGTATGGTGAGAAATTTGATGAGGCATTGTGTTGATGAGTCTCTCTCTGGGTTATAGGAGAAGAAGAAAACAGAGAAAGAAGAAGAAACAAAGAAAAAGAGAGAAAGGAAAGTATATGATTTGCCTGGTCAGAAGAGACCCCAACCTGAGGAGGTTTGTTTTGCCCTTCTCTTTCTATGATTTTAGTTTCGTTCGAAGAATTTTCTTATTGATTTTGGCAATTATGCAGAGAGATCCACTTAGGATTTTCTACGAGTCACTTTACAAGCAAATTCCCACCAGCGACATGGCTCAGATTTGGTGAGTACTTCTAACGTTTCTGTTACTTACATTGCTCTGCAACTTAAGAAACGCTTACGCATATGTATTGTTTTGGTATGCATCTGATTATTTGTGTTTGATCACTCCATGTGTAAGCTAAGTCCTACATCAATTTGATATATTCCTTTGGGACTTAATGCATAGTTGTGTTTGATTTCTTATGGTAATCTTGTGTTTTGTGACACGGCATTAAGCTCAAACGAATTTGAACATCATAAAGATACTCACATTGTTTATAAGAAAGGAGAGTTCTCTCGAATCAATTTTTCACACAAAGCATTATGATATCAGTGATGGTTATTGTGTGGGTTTTGTTTATCATATGCTTTTGGATTGCTCTGTTTAATTTAAACCCTTTTGTGTTTTTGATCACAGGTTGATGGAGTCTGGTTTGCTTCCAGCTGAAAAAGCAAAGAAAGTTCTTGAGAAAAAACTGCAAAAGGCTGGAAAGTTCAGTTCTCCAACAAAATCTGCAGCTTCTACTCCAAGAAGCAACTCCAAATCAGTGCCCGTGAAGAAGAAGGAAGCAAAAAAATCTCCTTCTGAAGCTTTGTCAGACAAAAAGAAGGGAAATGATCCGAAACCAACCACGAAGAAGAGGAAGAAGACCTCTGATGATAACAGTGATGATGGCTCAGATGATGATTTTTTGGCCAGCAGAGTCTCTAAAAAACTTAAAGCCAAGTAGTTGGAATTCTAAGACTGAATTTGTAATCGTTTTTCAGTGACTCAATTTGTAGAATTCTTAAAGGGGAATTCATTAAGAGTAATGGAAGAAGAGTTGGCAGATTGTTTCTGATCTTATTGGACTAATGTGATATATGCGCACTTGTCCTGCGTTCTAGGAACATACGAGTGTTGCACAAGTACGTAGCGTGTTGTTTTCTGAAATTGTTGATTTTGTTTTGGATCCGAGGTACTTGATTCTTTTTTTGCTCCCACCTTTTATCAATGGACAATATTTTTAATGATTAAATGTTGATTTTCATCCTCTTATTCTATATAATTTTTGGTTACTAATCGGATCATCATCGAATCAGTGATCATCCCCCTCACCAAACTGGAAATATATACTTTTTAATTAGAAATTCAGTAACCATAATCTCTAGATTGTGAAGGAATGCCAATGTGTTTGATTCATTCACCTTTTTTATGAGCTAATAAAATAACTACACTTTCTTTTTATCTTAAAGGTAGGTATGTAACTTTGTATAATCTGCTAGCTATAGAATGTGCATGTGTTATTGGAAATGATTTTCAAACTGATTTATTTTCTTCCAGTTACTTTGACCACGTTCTCCTCGTTACAAACAATCACAATTATTGTTTGAATCATGGATATACCTAATATATACATGCATAATAAACAAATACCCAAACGCCAGGATATTGCCATAATACAGTATAATGTTTGTAAGATAATGAAGATAATTCGAGACGCATTAGTTTACTATTCAAATTTGACAAGGAAACAAATATTATAAACTCGTTTCGGTACTCAAGAAGATGTCTAATGACGTAGTATGAAGTTGCGTGTAACGCAATTATTGGATTAGGTGCACGTTATTGTTAATTTAAAAGCTTAATCCCCATGATTGCCCGTCTTTTTTTTTTTTTTTTTTTCGATTATATCCCATGATTGCCAGTTTGCCACTATGAATATGCTACTAGCCCTGGGCACGAAGCGAATATTCGGAAAATTTGTGATATTTGTTATTTGTTTCGCCTCGACCGAATAGTTGATTTTGCTATTTGCTTCGATTCGTAAATTTTCGAGTATTCGGAATTTCGAATATTTGAATATTTTTCGTAATATTTGCGAATTACTTGCTTCGCTTCGCTTCGACCCATCTAATTTTTATTTTAAAACTAAAAACATATAGTACATAAATATAAAGTGCAAAATAGGAGATATAGATGTTCTTGTTTGATATGTTTTCAAAATAAGAAGAAAATGTAACCACAGTCCATAGAATTCTCACATTTTATTTTTAATATTGGTTTTTCTAATAAATGTTTATTTGCTTAAGAACAACATTTTAGCAAAAAAACCAACGGACCAAAATATAATAATTTGAATAATAGGCCTATAAGATATATACCCAAATCTATAAATACACATATTATATATATATATATTATATAATGATTAAAGTTATATATATATATAAATATACGAAGCGAAGCGGATATTCGGCACTAAGAAAATCAATATTTGTTATTTGCTTTGGTTTTTACGAATACTACATTTTCATATTTGCTTCGGTTCAATATCTTATAGATATTTGAATTTTTCGAATCGAATCGAAACGAATATCAAAGCGAAGCGAATCTGACGAATATTTTGCCCAGGGCTATATGCTACTTTCTTTAAAACTTCACTATGGAATATATATATTTATTAAATTTATATATTTTATTCTGTGTGGTCGGTGTATAAATATATATATTTTATTTTGTAGCGGTGTGTTATAATTGTCCAAAGTACTTACTAGTTTAGTGTTATTGAAAATATTCAATTATATATATATATATATATATATATTTATATTTTGGTTTTTTTTCGAATTCGGGTTCGAGTCAAGTTCATCCAAGTTGTTATTTTTCCGAATTTTCACCCGAATTTGAGATTAATACTTTCACCCAAAAAGAGAAAGAAAAAGAACAAAAAAAGTTTAAAATAATAATTATAACCACCAAAACAAGAAAGACATGAGATTTTCATTTTACAATGACTTATATACTATATACATAGTTGGTAAGTCAAAAGACATGAAATATTTAATTTACTATGGTTAGATAGAATTATTGTATATATATGTTATGTTATATATACTTACCTTAAAATTTAACTCAACTTTTTAATGATTCAGTTCTGATATATTAAAACCAGTTGTTGTACCCAGCTAGGCGCCTTGAAATATGTTAAGTTATATAATTATTGGTGTACACATGAACACCAATAATTCTCAAATAATATATAAAAGGTTACAAAATAGGTTAGAATTCATGGTTGAATAACAAAAAGGAATATCGATATCTTGTAAAAAAGTCTATAAAAAGAGCCTTAATTTTAGTTTGCTTCACCAATATTCCAAAGTTCGTTCGAGTCGGAAAATGGAAGCTATAATAAAAAATGGGTCGCATTCTCTAGCTCTTGTTCATTATTGCCCAAAGACCTCGGCATCGTTCATCCGAGCTCGCTGTCTGAGTTTTTCTAAAAACTCGTTCCCCAAAAAGATGGTCGTCGTCGCAACTAGAGCTACGCCGAGCATTAGTGATCATGAAGCCACAAATCGTCCGTTATTTCAGTTTCCGCCTTCTCTATTGGATGATCGCTTCCTTTCCCTTTCCAAAAATGACTCGGTTTGCTCTTATTATTTTAACGGAACAGTGCATATAATAACTTTTATATTTGATGTGCAAAAAAAATTTTCAAGTTTTATCTCTCTTTGAAGGAAATGGAAAGCCTTGGTAGAAATATCGAGGTACTTAAGGCTAGGGTAAGTGACAAGCTGGTTTGTTTGGACGCGAAGGGGAAGATACACTTGATCCATATGCTAGTCAGTCTTGGAGTCGCATACCATTTCGAGAAACAGATCGAAGAGTTCCTGAAAGATGCTTTCGAGAAGGTGGAGAATATTACCATCGGAGAAGAAGATATATACAGCATTTCTGTCATCTTCCGGGTCTTTAGACTGTATGGTCACAAGTTATCTTCCGGTGAGAAACTTTCTTTCAATTTGACGTGCCTATGTACCAAAGTGAAAAAACACCCATAGACAATAGTGTGAGGAAATGCATATATATTAATACCAAGATGAATATATAGATGTGTTCAACAGGTTTAAAGAAGAGAATGGGGATTTTAAGAAATGCCTGATTGATGATGTAAGAGGTATCCTAAGTTTCTACGAAGCGTCGCATTTTGGGACGAATACAGAAGAAATACTGGACGAAGCGATGCAGTTCACGCACAAACACTTGGAGCTATATGTAGGAGGAGGCACCAATGCCGACAATGAGGCACATATATCTGAGCTCATACGAAACGTGTTGTATCTTTCTCAGCAAGAAAACGCAGAGGTGATAGTGGCAAGAGAATATATTCGGTTCTACGAACAAGAGCCACATCACGACGAGATGTTGCTCAAGTTCGCCAAGCTCAATTTCAAGTTCATGCAGTTGCACTATATGCAAGAGCTTCAAACCGTCGTGAGGTAAGCCCTAATGATCACATACAGATGTCGTTAAGATATTACTCTATTCATAGAATAAAAAAAGTTATGTTATCATGTCATGATGGTTATTTTCAGATGGTGGAAAGAGCTAGATTTAGAATCGAAGATCCCTAATTACTATAGAGAGAGAGTAGTGGAGTGCCTATTCTGGGCAACGGTGGTGTATATGGAGCCACAGTATTCAACTGCTAGAATAATACTGGCCAAGTGCATCGTGTTTCTCACCATTTTGGATGACGTATACGATGCCTATTGTACTCTACCTGAAGCTATCGGTTTCACTGAAAGCTTGGAAAGGTATGGTTTCACTGAAAGCTTGGAAAGTAATAAAAGATTATAAATAAAAAAAAGGTCTGATATTGGAGTTAATTGTTAAGGGATTTTATACGTATGTGCGTATGATATAGTCTTGTCTTAATTATTATAAGGTTGGTTAATTTCGTCGTGTCCAGGATCCCATTAACACGTAATGGATGCACTTGGAACTATTATTTTAGTTAATGGATAATTTAATGTATATATATATATATATATATATGGTGAATAAACAAATTTATAAATGCATAAGAAACTATATATGAATAATGATGGTGGAAGACAAGCAAATCATATAATATGACGCATGTGCTATGGAATTTACGCATAGGTGGGAAGCTGATGCCGTAGACATGCTACCAGATCATCTGAAGGTCTTCTTGAGGTCATTGATAGACTTTTTCCAAGATTTGGAAGGAGAAGTGAAATCAGAAGGGAGATTGTACAATGTGCAGTATGCAATAGACGAGGTATATATCTCCTCAAAATTAAGGCATCTGTTTAATTTGTACCCGCGCCAGTTTGAGTCTTGGACCGTTTCAAATATATTGGGATATAAAGAGTCCACTTTCTGTTATTAAATATATATACCAAGATATCATTATATAATATTAATTACCTATAGGGTCTCCTAATTTACTTGAAGTGTACCAAACTACGTACCAATATATTCTTATGCGTACGGATATAATATATGTGATGAATTGATTTGGACGCTTAAACAGATTAAAAGACTATTCAGAGCGGACCTTGCACTAGCGAAGTGGGCACGCACAGGATACACACCAAACTTTGACGAATACATGGAGGTTGGATTAGTAACTGGGGGAGTAGATTGTACGGCTGCCGTGGCCTTCATTGGTATGGGGGAGATTGCAGGAAAAGAAGTTTATGACTGGTTAAGATCAAGACCTAAACTCATTCAAACTCTAGATCTAAAATCACGTTTCAGAGATGATGTTGTCACCTACAAGGTACAATTTTGAAATTACATTTAGATACATATTGTATTTTTATTTGTTTGAACTTATAAAATTTGTATGAAATGATAATTAGGATGAAATGGCTAGAGGAGAGATTGCCACAGGGATCAACTGCTATATGAAGCAATACGGAGTTACCGAAGAAGAAGCGTTTCTAGATTTTGACAGAAAGGTTAAACATGCTTCCAAGCTAATGAATGAAGAGTATCTTAAGACGAATATGCCTTTGAAAATTGCGCGTGTAGCTTTTAACATTGGACGGCTTATTGATGTAAACTACAAGCACGGTGATGGATTTACTTATATGGAGATGTTACAAGGCCAAATCAACTCTTTGTTCATTGATCTAATCACCATTTAAGATGTTTGATAGCCTTGATTCCAAGTCTTTTAAGTCATATATCTATATGTATCTTTATTTTATTTTTCATTTTACCATCCATATTTCTCTCTCATGCATAAATTCAAATCTCTCATTTGGGTAATGAAGTGTCTGACCTCATCCTCTTGAAATAATATGTGAGTTTTGAAACATATTGTAAGGAGTTGATTCAGCTGATTGGCGCTGCAGACGAGTGGTCATCTTTTGCATCAAAATTAGATCAAAGTTAGAAGACTACATGCTTTCAAAGCTTTTATCTCTTCTTTTCGTTAATTTATCTTCATCGTTGAAATAATGTATGTGCTGATTGCTTTGCAAAAACACATAACGTACGAGGTACTCTATTTTCTCATGTAAACTTTGCCACTGCAAACTGGTTCTCCCACGCATAAGTTTTTTCTTTCATACCTTAAATAGATGCAGTCCATGCATTAACTCATAAACTCGTTCACAATTCATAAAATTAATTAGCATAAGATTAACCCTGCCGCATGGGTTAGAATAGATTTCAACACAATTTGCTGCCTAAAGATACTACTTCGAATTCTTAATTCCTGATAAATAAATGAATGGCGCACCGATCAGGCCGTCAATAACATTGTCCCGACTTGTTCGTTGCAAATAAACCAAAGTCATATATAAAATTTCAGCTTCCTTTTACTACATACTCGACGTGGGACACATAAGAGAAATAGAAGATATGATTCTAAATGGTTCTAATTGGCTTTTATGCCCAGTCAACGAAAAATCATAGAAACTTCATGTTTTAGGAACTTTGCCTTAATTAATAATGGAAGCATGTAAGAGTTAACTAAAATGGCAAATATATGACACACCCCAAAAACAAATTTTTTTTTTATAGAAATTCCAACTTTATATTTAACAATTTACCAACAACTTAACTTCTCATTAAAATAAGTACAGTAAATAAACAAACACACACATTAAAATAATTTCACATTCTTTTTTAGTGTCTTCAATCAAAAAAAAAAAGCAGATTATAAAGAGTGTCGTTTATTCTTCTTCTTTCTTTTAGTTTGTGCTTAGTAGAGATGATGTTTTGATAATGGATCAAGTATCAGTATTCAGGGGGCTCTGCGTCTTCATCCTCAAAATAGTCATTCTCGTCTTCTTCTTCATCACCTGTAGCGTCTTGGTACTGTTGGTATTCAGAGACCAAATCATTCATATTGCTCTCAGCTTCCGTGAACTCCATTTCATCCATTCCTTCTCCTGTGTACCAATGCAGAAACGCTTTACGCTTGAACATAGCCGTGAACTGCTCGCTCACTCTCCTGAACATTTCTTGGATCGACGTCGAGTTTCCCACAAACGTCGCCGCCATTTTGAGTCCCTTTGGCGGCATATCACAGACGCTGGATTTCACGTTGTTTGGGATCCACTGAACGAAGTAAGATGAGTTCTTGTTCTGTATTTTTATGAGTTCCTCATCCACCTCTTTTGTGCTCATCTTTCCTCTGAATAGAACCGATGCTGTGAGGTAACGTCCGTGTCGTGGATCAGCTGCACACATCATGTTTTTGGCGTCCCACATTTGTTGGTTCAGCTCAGGGACAGAGAGTGAAATGTACTTTTGTGAGCCACGGGAAGTGAGCGGCGCGAAACCCACCATGAAGAAGTGCAGACGAGGGAATGGGACTAGGTTCACTGCGAGTTTCCTTAGGTCAGAGTTTAGCTGTCCCGGGAACCTTAAGGAGCAAGTCACACCGCTCATTGTTGCAGAGATCAGATGGTTCAAGTCTCCAACTACATCATCATCATCAATATATATATATATATATAGTTTTTGGCTTATTGGGATATAAGAAGGAATCAATGGTACTTACAACTAGGAGTGCTGAGTTTGAGGGTACGGAAGCAGATGTCGTAGAGAGCTTCGTTGTCGAGTACCATACATTCATCAGCATTCTCAACAAGCTGGTGGACAGAGAGAGTTGCATTGTAAGGCTCAACGACTGTGTCAGAGACTTTGGGAGATGGGAAAACAGAGAAAGTGAGCATCATTCTGTCTGGATACTCCTCTCGGATCTTTGATATCAATAGAGTTCCCATTCCAGATCCTGTGCCTCCTCCCAGCGAGTGGCACACCTGAAACCCTGTTTAATATATTGCAGCCCCATCCATAATTCAAATGATGAATGCAGAACCAAAAGTGTTCGTTCATACATTGACTGAGCAACCAACATCCATCTCTGTTCACTAGCGAGTCATCTTTTTGTTAATTAATTAAGTCAACTAAGATATAACGTTTCTGTCCACTAAAGAAACACATGGATATCAATCATCACTCTCCGCAAAACAATGTGTGAGGCACTAGTCATAGACTCATACTTACATCTGAAGTTAGACAATCGTACGCATGTACATAAGAACTGACCATATGTGACAGAAAAAGAAAACGCAAATTTCCATGAAACCAATTTGTATATAGGACACCATTACATCTCTTTACCTAGCAATCACGGTGCCTTGAAAATTTAGCAAAAAAAAAAGGAAAACAAAAAAAGTTATTTTCGACACGACATTAGATTAATGATGATATTTAAAACACATATCTCTACAGCTTTTATATATAAACCTTCATGTAAAAAAAAAAAAAAATCAGAATAGTATATATACAAAACAGCTTTGGCCCCTAGGAATAATTAGTGATAAACATCCCACTCCAGACTCCACATAAAAACACACAACTTGCATTTTTTTTGGTGTCTCTTGCAATATTACAATAAACGAGACGATTTGATAGATGGGATAATTGTAGAAAGAAGCCACATGTACACCAATAATGGGGATAATACTCATATAGATAAAAAGAACTTAATTGTTGTGTCTATTGTCTAACCTACTAAAACGTCATCTATTTATTGAACTCGTGACTACAACTAATTAAGAGGAAAATTAAAAACAAGAGATATGTACCTTGAAGGCAGTCGCAGTTCTCAGCTTCCTTACGAACAACATCAAGCACAGAGTCAATAAGTTCAGCACCTTCAGTGTAATGACCTTTAGCCCAGTTGTTACCAGCACCAGACTGGCCAAAGACGAAGTTATCAGGACGGAAGATCTGACCATACGGCCCGGATCTGATACTATCCATAGTACCAGGCTCAAGATCAATGAGAACAGAACGAGGAACGTATCTTTGACTAGAAGCTTCGTTGTAATACACATTTATACGCTCGAGCTGGAGACTTGCAGCGTCTCCGCGGTAACGTCCGGTGGAATCGATGCCGTGCTCGTCGCAGATGACTTCCCAGAACTTGGCACCAATCTGGTTTCCGCATTGGCCAGCTTGGATGTGAAGGATCTCTCTCATTGTGTTCGTCTTAGTGTGTGTGTGTGGCCGTTCAGAAATCACAAGACCAAAGAGAGAGAGAGAGAGAGATGGTGATTGATTTATATACACAAGTTGGGGGAGTGACAGCTAGCTCTAAGCTCTCATACCACTAGCTCTTCACTTCCCTCGCTTGAGATTTTTATTCTCATCCCTTCCCACCTAACACTTGTTTTTAGCTTAAGTCATTTTCGTATTTACTTGAAGTTTGCTGTCCAAGTTTTATATTTAAAAATAAATCGTTTGGCAGGGACGAGAGAACGTCATTGTTTTCTTGCCAACATTTTATCGCCGCCCATAATTGAATTCTCTTTGAATAAACGGACCACAGTCACAATCCAAGCTATAAATCCCTATAGCTTTTCATTCAAAAATATATATTTTCAGAAAAAAGGGATCTGTAATTATATGTTTTGCATTGCCAAAAGAAAGGATGACATGATTTTAAGTGTTTTATTAGCAATGATTGAGCAACTTATTAGAGCATGCAAGTGCATATATAAATATGTTGTTGTCTATACTATACACACATGCAATGCATACATCTTTATTTTGCCAATATGTCTTTATACGAAAACAAAATTTGTACTATTTGTGGGAGCATGTTTGTTTACGCAAAAATTGTGTTGATTTAAAACATTGTAATTATGTAAGGGCTTTTCAGTTTTAAGAATTCGATCCATTTAAATAAAAATTGGGCTCGAAATGTAGATAACTCTACAAGCCCAATAAGTAAGTGAAACGCCCACGTATTAAGCTTTAGAAACCCTAGACTACGCTTCATCGTCGTCTTATATAAAAGACAAAACTAGTTTACCACGAACAATATCGCCGGGATATCAAACCTTTTTGCTCTTTTTTGTTCTCTTTATTTTTGGCTATGTTGATGCATTCATTCACGTTTGATCTTGTTTTATTTTGCAAAAGAAAAAAGATTTTTATTTTCGTTGATGTGAAGATGTTGAAAATTTCAAGTGATGAGATTTGATCTAAAATTCTCACGACGGTCGTCTGAGGCCTTTTGTGGCCGATTGATGTACCGATCACTCCTCTCTGATGAAATCTCTTCTTCATTCCCATATCTCTTCTTGTCTTCTATTTTAAACCAAAATATTTTCTTGATTTTATTGTTTAGTTTGGTCCGAAGTATTGGAGATGTCCGAAGTATTTGAGAACAACCAAAGTACAAAATTTGATCAATCGAGAAGCTGTTTTTCACTGAATTTCTAACTTAATTAATATAATCAAGATTGTGAAATTGAATGTTGTATTAGATGTCACATGATTTAGATTTTGATTATGGCCTTAAGAATTGTTGGAAAATTAAGTAAATCCGGTTACATGATTAAAGTCACACAAGCACACATCCTAGCAATAGTATTTTCTCTGCTAGACACAATCAACTACATGTGTTCTACACGTGCTTGTACATGTTGTCAATCCGATAACCGATACCACCTTGTTGTTTGAACTTTGAAGGACATGCCTACTCAATGATACAGTTGGAACTATAAGTTCACTTTGATTGAATACGACGGAATATTATTTGGGTAAAACGATAAATTAGAGAAGTCATGAAATAACATAGCAAACAATCCAATGTTGTATTTTGCGTTTAAAAGACTATATAATACGACAACATCTTGCATGTAAATAAAACTTTTAAAAACTGTATCAGACCGTAACTTATATTACAGTCATCAAAGCAAGGATTGACACCCACTCAAACTTTTTTTTTTTTTGAAACAGGCTTCACCCACTCAAACTTACCTCCATAATTCTGAGGCCTTTCCACGGCAATCTCGTTTAATTTGACATTAGCGTATTGGTTCAGGATGTTGTAATTTGAGTCAAATTATTTGACTATCAACACCTTCACATTTGGTGTTTGATAAAAAATTTTCATTATACAGGTGTTACAAAATTTGGTATTACTAGCAATTGACCCGCGCTCCGCGCGGGAGGCTTATAATTTTGTTTCGTTGATTTTTATTCATATTGTAATATTTTTTTTAATTGATTTTCAAAAAATATTATAATTATTTTCTCTTTAATTATTATCTTTCAATACTCAAATTTGGATTAAAAGCACTTGATTCAATTTATGAAATATCATTTTTTTTCTTTTTGATCATGTTATAAACTAATATTTTACTTTCATTTTTTTTCCTCTTTAGAATTTTATATATACAATTACATAAATGTTGTTTTAGTCTACCATAAATTTAAATTTTACTTCTATTCTGAAACTCAGTAACATATTTAAAATATTAAATTATGATCAATTTAAAATGAAAGTTGAATTATATTATTACCACTAATAAAATATAAAAGTATTATTTTTCTTATTTTAATATTTCATTTTGTTTACATAATTTATTTTTATTTATATAAACTTTCTATTAATTAAATAAGTAACATAAATATGCACTAAATGAATGTTTTAAATGTATTTTAATGTTTAAACAAAAATGTGGCTTAGGTGTCATCATGAGAAGAGAAAAAAGCTAACTTTATATAAATACTATCAGTTGACCCGCGCTCCGCGTAAGAGGTTTATAATTTTGTTTCGTTGATTTTTTATTCATATTGTGATATTTTATTATTATTTTTAATTGATTTTCAAAAATATTATAATTATTTTCTCTTTATCTTTCAATACTCAATTTGGATTAAAAGCATTTGATTCAATTTATGAAATATCATTTTTTTCTTTTTGATCATGTTATAAACTAATATTTCACTTTCATTTTATTTTTCTTCTTTATAATTTTATATATATAATTACATAAATGTTGTTTTAGTCTACCATAAATTTAAATTTTACTTCCATTCTAAAACTCAGCAACATATTTAAAATATTAAATTATGATCAATTTAAAATGAAAGTTGAATTATATTACTACCACTAATAAAATAATTAAAGTATTGTTTTTCTTATTTTAACATTTCATTTTTTTACATAATTTTTTTTATTTATATAAACTTTCTATTAGTTAAATAAGTAACATAAATATGCACTAAATGAATGTTTTAAATTTATTTTAATGTTTAAACAAAAATGTGGCTTAGGTGAATGTTTAGGTGGCATCATAAGAAGAGAGAAAAAGCTAACTTTATATATATATAGATACTCTAGAGATTATTTTGCATATTTATTACAGAGAAAATATATTTAAAGGAAAAAAACAAAAGAGATATATTAGCTTCCTAGTCAAATAACCGTAACCACAACTTTGATCAATGAGATACTCTCTTCTTCAAACCTCATCCACCCATACACCAATGTCTTCCAATCTCTCTCTTATCTTTCTCCTTCTGATTCCTTTTTATATTCCTCTGCAATTTTCTCTCAATTTGATTTCATTTGCTCGGCCATGGCGACTACCATGAATGCTGCTGTTTCCTTCACATCTTCAAACTCTTCTTCTCTTCCTGCTACAAGTTGTGCCATTGCTCCCGAAAGGATCAGGTTTAGTAAGGTATTTTATCGCTGTCAGGATAATTATGAATACAATTATACAAGTTCTGCAGTCTAGATTCTAGAGGTACTCTGCTTTTAGAGTTTTGCTAATAGCCTAATACTAATCTGGGTCATGAGTCTTGATCAAGTTTGGAACTTGGATAAGAGTGCTTCTTCTGGGTCTTACTTCTCTAGAGTATATAGAGAACATTTGCATGAAAAATGAGATTATAAAATATGCCAACTTTGACATATCAGTAAAGTTTGGAACTTTGGATGAGCAGCTTCTGGGTTTCACTTAGAATCTACTTTCTCAAAGATAAGCCCAAATGTTTTTTGAAAGAATAATGTAGTGGGTTTCAGCTCATCTAGTTTTGTTGTTGTTGTGTTTTTTGTTTTGTTTTGAAGGGTGCTTTTTACTACAAAAGCAACAATGTAGTGACAAGTAAAAGAGTGTTTTCCATAAGAGCTCAAATCACAACAGAAACAAATACTCCTACTCCTGCCAAGAAGGTAGAGAAAGTGTCTAAGAAGAATGAGGAAGGTGTGATTGTTAACAGGTACAAACCAAAGGAGCCATACACCGGAAAATGCCTTGTCAATACTAAAATCACAGCAGATGATGCTCCTGGAGAGACCTGGCACATGGTTTTCAGCCATAAAGGTAGAAAATTTCATTACTTGATCCCATCAACTTTAAGGTTCTGTGTATCATTCCATTGTTGGTGGTGATTGAAGTAGCATTTATATGTCTTTAATAGGAGAGATCCCGTACAGAGAAGGGCAATCAGTTGGGGTGCTTGCAGATGGAATTGACAAGAATGGAAAGCCTCACAAGGTCAGACTTTACTCGATTGCGAGCAGCGCTCTTGGAGATCTCGGCAATTCTGAAACCGTAAAGACCATTTCCTTTACAAATTTAAGAAAGAGTACGGTTTGTTTTGTCTGGTTGAGTGAATGTACAAGTTGGTGCAGGTTTCTTTGTGTGTGAAAAGACTTGTCTATACTAATGACCAAGGGGAGGTTGTTAAAGGAGTTTGCTCAAATTTCTTGTGTAAGTACCAATGAATAAGGCTTGTTTTTGCTTAAAGTTTAACTTCTTTCACCTATTATTCAACTTTCGGGTTTGCTTTTCCTTGTTTTTCAGGTGACTTGAAACCCGGAAATCCAGTGAAGCTCACTGGTCCTGTAGGCAAAGAAATGCTTATGCCAAAGGATCCAAACGCCACTGTTATTATGGTCTCTCCCCTAAACCTCAAATATCTTGAATTTCTTATTATTAAACTTCTATAGTTTCAGTTTCTTGAAGCATCATTTAACACTAATTTATCCTTCTTCTTCATGAACGCTACAGCTTGCCACAGGAACTGGCATTGCTCCTTTCCGGTCTTTCTTATGGAAGATGTTCTTCGAGAAACATGATGACTACAAGGTGAACGATTGCTTTGGTCAATAAGCTTTTTAATGATAACCAAACATAACAAATTATAATACCTTGCAATCTTCATTATGCAGTTCAATGGCTTAGCTTGGCTTTTCTTGGGTGTACCAACCACTAGCTCATTGCTCTACCAAGAGGCATATATACATAAACTCTTCTTCTGGTTTATTCTAGTTTCAAATCCTTCCAATTCAAAACAAAAATCAATCCTGTTTGTCTTTTTGTTGTTGTTGTTGTTGTGTGTTTAAAACATCAGGAGTTTGATAAGATGAAAGCAAAGGCCCCTGAGAACTTTAGGGTGGATTACGCGATAAGCAGAGAACAGGCGAACGACAAAGGAGAGAAAATGTATATCCAGACTCGGATGGCCCAGTACGCAGCTGAATTATGGGAGTTGCTGAAAAAAGACAACACTTTTGTCTACATGTGTGGGCTTAAGGGAATGGAGAAAGGAATTGATGACATTATGGTCTCATTGGCTGCAAATGACGGTAAGAAGAGCAAAGAAATAGCACTCTGATTCTTGATACAACCATTGCATAAGCATTGACACTCTAATAATAACTACGTATATGGTTTTTTGTGATGGTCTAGGTATTGACTGGTTCGATTATAAGAAGCAGTTGAAGAAGGCAGAGCAATGGAACGTTGAAGTCTACTGATCAAGACATGCGGTAGCAAGTATAGTGGAACAAAACTGTTATTTTCGTTTGACAATTGCTGTAACTTAAAGATAAGTTTTTTTTGATATATTTTACTAAAAAAGGGCTATTTAATCTTATATCATTCGTTTGCTGCCATTTTTTTTGTTTGGCTCTAAGCTAAAGGATACATTGATAGATACCCCATCTACAAAAAGTCAGTACATTTAAGAAAGTTAGAAACAATAAGTTGAAAGAAAAAATGGATATAGAATTGACAGCCATCTGTATATTGTGGTAGCTAACCAATCCCTTTGACAATGAGATGAGTACTATCCGTTTTAGTCGATAAACATTACCAAATGAAACTCTACCATATAGAATTCATGCATCCATTGGTTTCTTAGGACACTTGAACACTTAACTAGTTAGTTGATCTTGGGTTAGACTCACTAGACTGATTCATGTTCGTTTTAACTTTACAATATTAGCTCAAGCCATAAAAATATCATATGAGAAATACAAAAATCAGAATCTCGAGTGAAGATATTTTCAACTTTTTTATATTAAGACATGGTTGAGAATTTGGTCTGCCGACCAGAAAGGAGCAATCTAGTGGGCTAATGTTTCTTCTCTCTTTTCTTTTTTGTCAGAAGCTCATTTGTCAGTAACCGTTTGATTACAACGGCTAATTCCTAATACCAACCACGTGGCCAGGCATACCGTAACATACCAATATACAGCAACACTTGATTATAGCTATAACTAAAAAGATCATCAACAGTTTTATCTCTTTAAATCACTCCTCTGTTTTTACCATCTCTGTTTCGCTCCCTGAAGAAGAAGAAACAGAGCGTTCACATTATTCTTCAACACAATCATGGCATTGATCTTCTTCTTCTTGTTATCGAATTTGTTCTTCTCCGGTAAGAATCTTTTCTCTGGTTTACCTGTAAATCTCACCGATTCAACGACTGTGTAATCATTTCTAAAGTTTCTTAATTTGTTATTTTAATATCAGGAGCTTTCTCTAGGAGTTTCACAATTGCGAACAAATGCGATTACACGGTATGGCCAGGAATACTATCTAACGCCGGAGTACCTCCGTTGCCGACCACCGGCTTTGTTCTCCAGAAAGGTGAGACGCGTACGATCGACGCGCCATCTTCATGGGGCGGTCGGTTCTGGGGAAGGACACTCTGCTCAACCGACTCCGATGGAAAATTTACATGCGCCACCGGAGATTGCGGCTCCGGAAAACTCGAATGCTCGGGTACTGGAGCTGCTCCTCCGGCGACTCTAGCTGAATTCACTCTCGACGGATCCGGAGGGCTCGATTTCTACGACGTGAGCCTCGTCGATGGCTACAATGTCCAGATGCTGGTGGTTCCACAAGGCGGATCCGGCCAGAATTGCAGCACTACCGGCTGCGTCGTCGATTTAAACGGCTCGTGTCCGTCGGAGCTTAGAGTGAATAGCGTCGGAGGCACTGGCGTTGGTGGGAAGGGGACGGTGGCGATGGCTTGTAAAAGCGCGTGCGAAGCGTTCCGAGAGCCGCAGTATTGCTGCAGCGGCGCGTTTGGGTCGCCTGACACGTGTAAGCCGTCTTCGTACTCCCGTGTCTTCAAAAGCGCGTGCCCACGCGCATATAGCTACGCGTATGACGATAAGTCTAGTACATTTACGTGCGCGAAATCTCCGAACTACGTCATCACGTTCTGTCCTTCTCCCAACACCAGGTAAATCCTTGGTCTATTTACTTTTCACCCAAATCGTGTAAAATAGGTGGTTTAGACTTTAGACTAATGATGATTATTATAATTTTTTGCTTGTTGTATAATCGAAGTAACTTTTAATCATTAATTTTGCTATACAAGTTTTGTTTTCTTCAAGAGTTAAGATAGACATCGTTTGTCACGATCCAATAAAAGAGAGACACGTGGGAACATTAGTCACTTTTTTTTATTTGCAGCCTAAAATCAGCGGAGGAACACAGCCCAAGCACAGAGACAATGACGACGACAAGTCCAAGCTCCGGCAGTACGACGTCATCGCAGATGGTCTACGAAGGTGCCCTGAACGAAAGCAGTGGTTCACCATCTACTTGTCACGGCTTATCAAGTCTGATCACTGTCGCTCTCTCGCTTGCGTTTTGTCGTATGCGGGGGTTATTCTGACTAGATTCTGTGTCTTAGTGTCTGCCCACGTATGCTCAGAACACAAGAACGTATGGGCCTTAGAAGGCCTTTTGCTCGTCCTGCCCATGTGACGTTTGGATTGTATTGTTCCCTCGAGATTGAGATGGTGGTATAGAGTTGTAACTTGTAAGCTTAGAAGATATAATTCTTTTTCATGTAATTCTAATATGACTGGATGACATAAGAAAGGTAGGGATTGTTACTATAAAACAATTTGACTTGAGAAGGAAGACGCTGGCTGGTAAAGTTAGGAATTAACAAAACGTAGTGGATATGGGCCAATAATCCTACCTTAATTTACATTTCGAAAAAGCCCAATGACATGTATATTTGAAAAATATAAATGGAAAAAAAGAAATTAAATTGTCAGAAGTGGGATTTGAACCCACGCCCTCTTTCGAAGACCAGAACTTGAGTCTGGCGCCTTAGACCACTCGGCCATCCTGACATCTTTGATTAAATCGAGAATAGCATTTTAATAACTAAAACAATGAGTCAATCCGATGGTCAACTACTTAATAACTCAACTTATGTTGACCATTATTATTACCAAACAAAAAGACACTTGTAATATGGACCAATGAGTGAATTATTCGGATCGAGGAGATTAGTAGTAGCACATCATCAGCGCACTCAGATCTAAAGTAGTTCCACAACTCACACATTGGGTCGTTGACCAGACACCGAGAAAGGAAAAAGAAAAAACATGGAGGAAACGGCGCATCCGTACGTTCCGAGAGATCTGAAGCTGCCGGGATACGTGCCAATCTCAATGTCCATGTCCACCATCCTCGCTGTCTACCTTGGTTGTTCCCTCCTTGTCGTCTCCCTCGTCTGGCTTCTCTTGGGTAATCCCATTCCCCCTACCTCATCTCTGCATTCTCTGTCGAAACCAGATCATAGTTTTAAGTTGAATTTGAACAGATTTGGAGTAATATAGTCGACAAGATTTGACCTTAGTTTGACCTATTTACTCTGCAAAAACTGAGAGGAATTTTGGTGATGGTTTCAGGGAGGAAGAAAGCTAAAGTAGAGAAATTGCTAATGTGTTGGTGGGCATTCACTGGTCTCACTCACATTATCCTCGAGGGCTATTTCGTTTTCACCCCTGAGTTTTTCAAGGACAACACTTCTTGTTATCTCGCTGAAGTCTGTAAGTTCACTCAATCTTCTTCTCCTTATTCTTAGTGTTGACTGTTGTTGTTCTTGTTCTTGTTCTCCAATTAGACAATTAGATAAAAGTTTGTTGCTTTCACAGGGAAAGAGTATAGCAAAGGTGACTCGAGATACGCAGGAAGGGATTCAGCAATTGTATCTATTGAAGGGATCACTGCTGTTATCGTAGGCCCAGCTTGTCTCCTAGCTATGTAGGCTTCATTTCATTTCAAGTGTGAGTGGTATCTTTGCCATTTGGGTTTTTCTGTGAACTAAAATGTAGTTGAATGTTGTTGATGATGAAAATCAGATATGCCATTGCTAAGGAGAAGTCGTATAGCTACGTGCTTCAGCTTGCGATTTCGCTTGGCCAGCTCTACGGATGTTTGGTATACTTCATCACTGCTATCTTGGAAGGAGACAACTTTGCAACAAACTCATTCTACTATTACTCATACTACATCGGGGCTAACGGATGGTGGATCTTGATACCGTTACTCATTTCTTTCCGTTGCTGGAAAAAGATTTGTGCAGCTGCTGCCAACAACAACGTCCAGCCAAGGACAAAGAAGAAAACCCGTTGAAGCGGAGATCAAAGACTCTTCTTCCAATTCTACCTAGTGTTGTTCTCCTGATCTCTTCAGTTTATTTGCTATGATTGCAGTGACCATGAGTCTCCTTTTGCGGATGATTTATCCATTTCAGAACTTTGGCTATGTTATCTCTTTACAGCAATGAAATTTGCACTTTTGTTAAGCTTTTACGATTTTACTCAAGATCCCATTTATACGGCTAATCACAAGCGATACAAAAAAAAAGGTGGTCCTTAAACCATTTGAGAATATATCATTATACCTAATCTCTTGGAAACTTAAGTACCTTCAGCTTCCACACGAGTAGTCACAGGAGGAAACCCCATATTTTGCTTCAGAACTGACATGCTGATAAGTGCAAACACACAACAAAGCACATGATTTCATGAACAAAGTTTAGGAGTTACACAAAGAATGTGTCATGTTGAACTATTCTAACTCTTGGCTTTGCATCATTCTGAGAGGACAAGTAACATCGAACAAGTAGAGCATCTCTCACCTTAAAACACAAATGAAAACATTAGCTGAATTCATCTGCGCTGGCTTAAATCCCGTTTGGCCCAAGCGGTTTGGGTATTTTTAAAAATGTTGGGTCTTGGTTTTATATTTCGTTTGGGTATTTTAAATATTTTGGATTCGGGTTTGCGGGTTTTGCAGATCGGATTCGGATCGGTTCCTCGGGTTCGGATATTTTTTCCCAGGCTAAAAAAGGCGGAAGCGGGAAGCCCTAAGTTAGAAACCTCGATTTAACAACTACTTCGTTGCTCTTCGTTTTCAGCTCCTCCTACATCGTTGCCGCGTATAATCCCAAGTATACCTCAGCTCCCATCGACGAGATCCACACCAAGCAGCTCGAGCAGCCTACGACCATGTAAATACAATGCTCATAATCGTTTCTATAACACTTGGGCGCTTTTTTGTTTGCATAGCTAGGCTAGGGTTTCCAGTTTGCTAATCTCGTTCAATTTCGTGGGTTTTGTTTTTGTGTACTTAGGACTTCTCTCCCACACGAAGAAGAGCAGAGCTCTAAGGATTCGGAAAGCTCTAAGGGTTTGGAAAATTATGCGCATACTACTTCGGAATTGCGGGAGATGAAAGTACCTCTGGAAGGTGATTTTACGCTTGATAGCGAGAAAGACCCATGCGGTTCCAGAGACCACATTTCCGACCCGGTAAATACTTTATATTTCATCAGATTGTGACAATATCGTCTGTGGCATTTGGTTCTAGCTTTACTTGTTCAATCTTTTTTTAATCCTTTGGCAGCTACATTGCCTTCAAGGCTATGCATGAGTTGTGTTATCTCTGTCTTTGCCTTTGCAGGTTTATATTAAGTCTACAGAGGATGCAAAGCAATGTGACCACAGACTGCTGGGCCAACAGCAAGAACTTTTCTTTTGCCACCCACTCAGGTTCTTTCAGTGGCTTAATGTACTATATTGGCTACTTCTTCCTTTCATTTCGTTTCCCAAAACTAAATTATTTATATATGAAACAATTCAGCCCTGGGAGTTGGTTCTTCCTCCCACTTGGCACTCGTGTATTTAACAAGTTGATGGCATTCATCAAAAATGAATACTGGAACAGGGGTTACACTGAGGTCTTTCCTACTTCTCATTTCACTATTTGATTTCAATGTGGAAGACCGGTTGCTAAACTATAACCTTGCATTTGGCAGGTCATTTCACCAAATATGTTCAACATGAAACTCTGGGAAACATCCGGAGATGTTGCAAACGCCAAGAATAATATGTTTATCCTTGATGTAAGAGTGCATGCATAGCTCAACAGATTTTTTGCTCCTAATGTGCCATATTTAGATCTACATTTCAACAGCTGAAAATGAAAATGACTTTCTCTATTCTTCCTTGCGCAGGTTGATAAACAAGAGTTTGGGCTCAAATCTATGAACTGCCCTGGTCACTGCTTGATCTTCCAGCACAGAGTTCGCTCCTACAGAGGTGTGCGCCCCTGCCCTCTTTTCCTGTAGTGCAGTTTGATCTCATTAAATAGATATAATAGTATTATGTTCCTTGTTTTGTGACTTTCCGGCCACGACAATATGAAGCATTAATACTTTTCTTTTGTGATGTCGGTATGTAGAATTACCCATCAGACTGGCTGACTTTGGAATATTACATAGAAATGAGCCAAGTGATGCTCTAACTGGGTTGACCTGTCTTCGAAGATTCCAACAGGTATTTTGTATCCTTTTTTGTTTACTCTTCTTGTTTCTGTTCTGGGGGTTTTTCAAAAAAATGTATTGCAAGAAAAGTTGATGAGTTTATATATATAAAGAGGAGAATTACTACACCTTTAACGTTTTTTATGAGAGTAAGTCGGACAGACACATCACGAAGTGACATAAAATGATTGTGGTGTAGTTAAGCTTCTTAAAAGCTTACTAGAGGTCTAGAGCTGAGAAGTTCCTTAACAGTGAGATTAAGGTTAGAGCAGAGCTTAGTATAACAATAGAAATTCCTGCATTATGGCATTAGCATTAGAGCCAGTTTGCCATGCTGAAGTGAAGAATCACCACTTTATTTGCTTACCTGTCTCCTTTCCCCTTTTTGCGTGTTGCATATTAGTTACTTTAAATAACATTCACATAACTGATTTTCAGGATGATGCACACATATTCTGTACAAAGGATCAGGTTTGTGATAACTTGCTTCTTATCAGCAACGTTGGAGTTCCTTATCCTCCCGATTTCTTGTTACAAGTATTCTGTCTATTTGCAGGTTAGAGAAGAAGTTAAATGTGTACTGGAATTCGTTGACTCTGTTTACTCAAAATTTGGGTTGACATATGAGCTAAGGCTTTCAACGGTAAGATGTTTGGAGATTTCTTCCACCAAATTTGTTTCACTTTCCTTGATATAATCTTGTAGCTTATTGTTTGTATGTTATATTCAATCTCAGAGGCCAGAGAAGTACCTTGGAGATTTGGAAACATGGGTTAGAGTTGAAGAGGATCTTAAAAAGGCACTAGAAGAATTTGGAAAGCCATTCCTTGTATGTGTACTACTTCTGATGCTTTTACTGAAAAGTTTATTATTCACAGAGTATACATTCATTCTAAAGAGTGATGTTTTGGCAGTTGAACAAAGGAGACGGGGAGTTTTGTGGCCCAAAGATTGACATTACAATTTTTGATGCAATGAAAAAAAATATCCAGTGTGGTACTTTACAGGTTCAGCTCCCAATCTTTTTTTTTTTTTCCGTTTTCCTTGCATGTCTTGGTAGGTTATTTAATTAGCCTGCTGTTTTTGTTGGATTTTCATACCAGCTTGATTTCCAACTACCTGATAGCTTCAAACTGGAGTATTCATCTTCAACTGAAGATGAAGTGAAGAGGGAGAGACCTGTGATGATACATAGAGCGGTGTTGGGATCTGTTGAGCATATGATTGCCATATTGTTAGAGCATTACGAAGGAAAATGGCCTTTCTGGCTCAGTCCGCGGCAGGCCATAGTTTGCTCTTCGTCAAAGAAGCATCATTCCTACGCCGAAAAGGTTTTACATTCGCGACTTGCAGTTTTATGACTACCTGCAATTTCTTGTAGTATCACTGCTTCTTATTAATATATTTTTTCCTCCAGGTGAGAGATCAAATTCACGAAGCTGGGTACTATGTTGATGTTGACGTCAGTGACAGAGATATCAGAGAAAAGGTATAACTGTTAGATGCTTCCAGTCCTGAGCAGATAAACATAGTTATTCACCGTATGCCTTTTGAGTGATGATTTTGGGTTGTTGTGTATAGGTGCGAGAAGCTCAGGTTGCACAGTACAACTTTGTACTAGTTGTGGGTGATGAAGAAGCTACAACTGGACAGGTTAGAGCACGGTTTTGCTTATTCCCAAGCATGTAGTATATCTGAGCTTAAACATAGATCCATTGTTTTTCAGGTGACTGTTCAGCTGAGAGAGGAAGACGGTTCCTACTTCCCAGTGATGAGCATCGAAACTCTGCTAGATGTCTTCAAGCTCAAGAGTGCCAACTACCTCTGAGATCGGTGGGTGGGTTATAATATATATTTTTTGATGTATAGAGGGTTGTTCAAAAATCACAAACACTGCAATGAAAGCTTTTCGTACTTTAACTTAAGATCCCATTTGTACGGCTAATCACAATTCACAAGGGAATAAGAAAAAGGTGTTCTTGATGGTGAAACATAATTGTGGAGATACATCTCAGTGGTCTTTGACAAGTATGACAATGAAAGTGTATGTGTTAGGACTTACGTGACTTGAAACTTTACAGAAATGCAAATGAATCTGATAACGGAGCTTATATACCAAAATTTATATTATCTTGACTGTAATAACAGTTTTTTGGTGTTTATTTTTTTTTATCTCGCGGCTCAAAAACATGGCTTGGAGAAATACCAGACTCAAAAGATTTCACTTTTCCTTTGTATATACACAGCCAGGATTTGATATTTCAAACCTGTTAAGACAGATAATAGAAGGTACAATAATATGTTGATGCAAGTTTGTTTGATAGATGTTAGAGATGAAGATTGTCAGTGAGGAGGCGGAGGAGAGTGACACTCCCTTGGCTTCTTGGTTGTGACACTGTGGTTTTCTTTCCACCTCTGTTCCCCTGCAAGTGAAATGGACAACTTAATCACATCACTTCGATCTAAACATTTTTACCAACATTGTTTAAGTTAGCTTCTTTGTGTCTAGTTCGGTCTTACCTTTGGCTCAGCCATATCATCCTCGATCTCTAACGTGTTTATTTCTCTTGTTAATAACACAGACGAAGCAGGTTGGAGTCTCCTGTTACATGAACATAAGTTTTTTATTTAAGTAAACCTGAAAAAGAGAGACAGATAATGAAGAAAATAAAGATTGGCAAAATATGAACCTTTTTGGTTTCTGTCCATTCCTCTGTTTCTTAGTTGATGTAGGTTCTGCTTCACGGGCGGGGACTTCAATTTCCTGACCATGGATTGATTCTGCTTTCTTTTGAACACGGGTCTTAACAGCTTTAACCTAGAAATGAGAACGAAGTTTATTTATAGCAGTTTGGGGCATTGTAAACTTTGATTTTTGTGCCATGAGATGAAGTTGTCAAGGTTTGTGGAGGAGCATGAGATTGAGAATGGCCAAACCTGTGGTTTCTCAATCTGGATATCTTTTATGTCCAAGCCATTCATTTCCTCAGTTAGCGATCTGGATGACGCTGGCAACAGTCTTCTGTTTCTGGAAAGAACCAAACAGAAATTAGACAGAGAGAAAGAGAGAAAGAGAGAGACCGGTTCCTAGAGCTTCAATCAAAAAGATCAAAATACACTCCTAACCTTTCATGCTTCTCTGAATCAGGACATCTGCGGGATATTGCAGATTTTGTTTGAACGTTAGACATCCGGCTGTTGATGTAATCTTGACTAACTTCAACAAATTCTTGTGAAGGTGTTGGATTATCTTGATTCTGGATGACCTAGAGGAAAATCAGTTTTGAGTTCTTTTCATTCTGGAGTTGTCGTATCTAACGGATTTTACCCAATGAATGAAAATATATCATTATACCTGATCCCTTGATGACTTGGTAACTTCAGCTTCAACAGGAGTAGTCGCAGAAGGAATCCCCACATTTTCTTCAGAATTGACACACTGCTGATAAGTGAAAACACACAACAAAGCACATGATTTCATGAACAAAGTTTCTGAGTTACACAAAGAAAATGTCAACTTGATTTATTCTTACTCTTGGCTCTGGATCATTCTGAGAAGACAAGTGACATCGAACAAGTACAGCATCTTTCACCTTAAAACACAAATGGAAATCAGTTTTGAGTTCTTTACATTCTGGAGATGTCGTATCTAAGGGATTTGACCCAATGAATGAAAATATTTCACTATACCTGATCTCTTGATAACTCAGTATCTTCAGTTTCAACATGAGTGGTCGCAGAAGGAATCCCCAAATTTTCTTCAGAGTTGACAGACTGCTGATAAGTGCAAACACACAATAAAGCACATGATTTCATGAACAAAGTTTCTGAGTTACACAATGACTATGTCAACTTGAACTATTCTTACTCTTGGCTCTGCATCATTCTGAGAAGACAAGTGACATCGATCACGTACAGCATCTTTCACCTTAAAACACAAATGGAAATCAGTTTTGAGTTCTTTGAATTCTGGAGATGTCGTATCTAACGGATTTAAGCCAGTGAATGAAAATATTTCATTCTACCTGATCTTTTGATAACTCAGTATCTTCATTTTCAACATGAGTAGTCACAGAAGGAATCCCCACATTTTCTTCAGAATTGACAGACTGCTGATAAGTGCAAACACACAATAAAGCACATGATTTCATGAACAAAGTTTCTGAGTTACACAAAGAATATGTCAACTTGAATCATTCTTACTCTTGGCTCAGCATCATTCTGAGCAGACAAGTGACATCTAACAAGTGCAGCATCTTTCACCTTGAAAACACAAGTGGAAAGGTTATTAATATCAAAGAAAGTAAGATTGCACCCTTAGAACGAGCACCAGGATATACACACAACAATATAGCAGCCAGGCACTACATTTTTGCTTGGCACAGGTGACTTGCTGGATTCATATCCGCTGGCTTCTTCTTTTGCATGTACAACGGCTTCTACCTCAGGTATACATGACTCTACCAGGCAAGAGGACTTGAGACTGATCAACTCTGTCTCCAATCCAAGAGATTTGAGCTGTTCTCTTCGAAGGCTATCCTTGAGAGTGCAAATTTCACCTTCTGCAACCTAAGGTGCCAAGAAAGAAGATGAAATAGATATATTTCAACTACGATAATCATAGCCTCGAAGAGGTTAGCTCAATCACAAACTGTTAAATGTAAACAGACCCGAATGAAAGGAAAAGTCAAGATATTTACTTTTAGTTTCTCGTTGCACTGCTTCAAAACATTCCATAAGACTTTAGAAAAATTCCGCATGATGATGTGCTCTCGCTCATTTTTATCCTGGGCAACATGTTCCAGCTTCGGAGATGATCTTTCTGTTGGATCAGCTTTCGTTTCCTGCAAATACACTGGTGAGAAAACGTATTAGACATTAGCTTTCTTTTTGTAAACAGGTATTTTCTGTAATTTCTCATGTCCTTGTCTCTCAGGGGAGATAAGAGATCACGGAAAGAAAGCGGCCAATGAAAATTCCGTACAGTCAAAAGTGTAGAAATTTGTCAGAGCAAAATTCTACCTTCCTGAGAAATTTGGCTTCTCTCTCCATTAAATGTTTCTTCAATCTAGAGATGGCAAGCACAACAAATTTTAGTAAATGGCATATGTCAATAAATTTTCAGTTTTGGTGAAAATACAATAAAAATGTATCGAGGAAGCCAAACTTACTTGGGAGTTCTTGGGAACACTAAGTTTAATCTTCTTGTTTTTTTCAGCTCTTGGAAATGTCTTGAGCTGCCTCTTGTTGCAAGGTTCCTCGGTGTTATCAAATCTAGATATAACAACAAATTCAAAGGCATTAGCACTAGCACTAGCGGGAAAAGTAGACTTAAAGACTTCTTCTTTGAGTTCATAATAACAAACATTACTTGATTTTCATATAAGGTGATGCTTGTCTCAAAAGATAGGAGGTATCAAGATAATCCTCTTCCCCTGCTTTGACAGTTAAAATCTGTAAAATTGATAGAAGATGAGAAGAAAATTCTTCAATATTTGAAATTTTACTCATGCTAAAAGAACTCAAGCAGAAATCACAAATCTGTTACGCCTACCAAAGCCATCCTTTTTTTCCCCTCAAGGTAATCTCGCAAGTACCTTGTTAACTACATAAAGCCAAAATCATATCACCGTATAGAATGGGGGGAAGATTATATAACTCAAAAATCATTAAAAAAAAATGAGATAATGTGAAGGGGTTTCAAGGTAGACGCTACCAGAGAATTTTGATGATGTTTCTGCAATCCCTTCTTTCGGTTCTTCTGGTACTCTAACAGTGACTGCCAACATATACCGAGTGTTCATGGTTAGTAGAATTGGGGGCTTAAAAAAGAAGAACAGCGCAAGGGAGACTAATCAATGGCCTTACCCGTAAACATTGACCAAAAACCATCGATGTGTTATTGATGAAATTACTCTCAACCAACCTTTCTCCCTGCAAAAAAAAGTTGAGCGGGCAAACAGGGACTACGTTTTAGTTTATAGCTGAAGACATCTTCACTGTTAAACCAAGTCCTACTTTGATGCTAAGAACAAGTACTGGACATTATGTTACAGTCACCTATAATCTGTAATTAAGCTAGGAATATTTTGACCTAACTATTACACTGAATATGTAATTATAAGTCAAATAATTTCAGACATGATGTGGCTTTGCATATCAAATATGTGAGTCTATATACACAGTGTAAAGACAATAGATTAAAACCTGATTTCCTGTTCTTTTCTCTCTTTCTGCACCCGCAAGATCCACTATTGTCAGCATAGAATCACTGGACGGCATTTTTGTTTCGTTGGAAAAGCCATTGCATGATGCTCGTATGTTTATGATGCATTGTGAGCGACTGCGAGCAATGCCAAAATTAGCATAGAACATGAAGACATCTAGTTAAACATTACTAAAAGTGGCTCTATTTTCCTTGTGAAAGGCTTCTAATTAAGTTGATTATCGATATCGATTAAATAAAGGTGCAAGGGTCTCTTGGCAAAGTTAGAGCAAAACTTTGCCAAGTACCTTGATTGGCTGTTCGAGTTTGTTGTAGCTGTTGCACGTTTCAGCATTGCTTGTCCAATTAAAGACTCTGCTTCCTCCAAATTCTGGATTGAGACCTACTTAACACAAATGGTTGAGAAGAGTCGGAAAGTGAGAATGTTCATCTATCAATTTGAAAAGCAACTGAATGTTATGGTCAACCCAAGGAGCACCACACACAAAAAAAACACTGACAAACCTCTTTCAAACCCCTGATGGTTGATTGTTGCACAGACAATTCAGAGCTTTCACCACCTAGTAAATCATAAGCTTTCTCCCCTTTCCCTCGTTCGGAGCAAATTTCAAATATGGACAAGTTAAATGACCTGGAGAAAAGTACAGATATGTTATGGAACAAAAAGATAAAAGCTATACAGTTTGGTATTTCCTGCTATTGACACATCCATGGTGTACCAAAAAGTACTACATAACCGGTTCAGATAATAGTTTCGTATAAAATATCCATGATTAGCAATAAAGATAGAACAAAAAAAAACAATACCTGAAAGAATCAGAAGAAGTCTCATCACTCTTGTTGAAAATTCGACGGAGTGTAATTGGCACAATTCCAGGATCCTTCAAAGTTCCAAAGACTGTATGAGTCTTCCCAGAGCCACTAGGTCCCAATGCAGCCAACATTCCACTTTTCCCTTTCATGAAATCCTCCAACAAAGGCTGAACCATTTTATCATACACATCCTTCTACAAACACCAAAACAAACGGACAAAACTAGTTATCTCTGAACCAATCTCAAATTAAACAAAATAATGAAGCAAAATCGGTAAGAAATTTGAACAAACCTGGGAACAATCAGCCGGGAAGACATGAGAAAAGCCTTCGTATACCTCAGTCTTGCTTCGTTTCAGCTCTTGCAAAGCTTGAGGCGGTGTTAATGTGACCGAATAAGAATCATTGAGAGCAATACAAGCCTCTTCTTCCTTCCTCTTAACCCTCTTCGCAATCTCCGGATTCCTGTTCTCCTTCGCGATGTTCTTCTTCGAAGGATTCTGCGGCCAGACATTTCTAGGTCTGCTCTTCGCTGTAGCGGTAACTTTGGTGAAGGTTTTCAGAGGTTTGATCCTCAGGAATATCTTCAAACTCTCTGAAACGGAAGGTTTGATTTCGGGTTGAGGGATTTGGATGGAGAGAATCTCGTCGATCGGAAAAGTAGGAACGCCGTGCGAGTTCGCGGAGGCTAAAGAGGAGAGGGGCTGTTGTTTAGTAGCAGTGGTACACGGCGTAGCTCGAGCTTTCCTCGGAGGGTTTCGTCGGACTGTTACAGTTGAAGGACACGGCGGAGGACTGAGACTTTTCTGCTTCTCTTCCATTGTCTCTTTCTCTCTCAATGGCGGAAAAATGGAGCGTTTCAATTTTCAACTTTTTCAAATTGAAACGAAAAGAAAATTGTAAATTGATTTTGTCTTTTTTTTTGTCGCCAGTTTTCGAATTTTTTTTTTTTTTTTTGCCTGCACCAGTTTTGGAATTTTTTTTGGTAGGAATAATTTAAATAATTACGTTCAAAACACATTTAAGGCCCATATATTGGGCTTTTACTTAAGGCCCATTAGATATGTGCAATAAAATAATATTTCTGTTAAGTCTTGTCTTCTTGTTTTGTTTCAACGAATGTGTTTTTCACCAGAGTTTTCTGATTTACAGACAAGATCAGCGGATGAAGGACAACAAAGTAACATACTACACTTGCCCGGTTGTAGACATAGATAATAGATTGAGAAGATTATTATTATCTCCGGCACAGAGTAGACCAGATTGTTTTGCTTCTTACATTGATGTTACAAACAATATTCAATATCATTATTATAACCTTATGTATTGCTTCTTACGTAATGATGTTACAAAACCCAATATTCGATGTCATCATCAGAAACATATCTTTATATAAGTCTTGAAGCAATTGAAAATCTATTACCGCCAGGCTATTTTGTGCCAAAAGAGCCTTTTTAAAAAGTCATGGCTTAACAAATCACACAAAGTAGAGAGAAGAGTTCTATCAATTATAAAAAAACAAGACAGACCCAAGCCCAATAAAGTATTTAAAAGCCCATAAGCTTATTTTATTTGTAACATCATCAAACGTTACGTAGCCGTAGCACCACCTTTCACCGGAGCTGTAAAACTCGCCGGATGTTATCGGTGGCTGCGTCATTTTTGCCAGCAGCTTCTACGTTGCAACGAAGCTTCGGTTTGATCGAAAACCTAGGCATAGGCAAACTACTCGGCGGCGGAGATAATAACATGATCGCTGGACCGGGGTAACCATCAAAACCTTTAGGAAAATCACGTAGATGGTTAGACCGGACCGGAACTGAACCAGCTCGAGACAGTGTCTGTACAGACTCGACGAACTCTACTTTTTTCTTGTGTGCTTCAGATATTGCTTTCGTCTGAGCGACGCAATTGAGAGTAGAGTTGTTGTTGTTGACACGTGGTCGAGAGCTGTTGACGCGCTGCAGAGGAAGAATTGAGCTGTTGACACGGGGCAGAGGGAGAAGAGGAGGCTGAGAGTAACAAGGATGCGGCGGATATACCGGCGAAGTTCCCCAAGACGACGTTGGGGTAGTCGGAAGAGCCAAACTTCCTCCGGATCTTGAAAGGGAACCACGAGAACTCCTTCTTCTAGGGTTCTTGAATGGTCTCAAACCAGAAACCTGTTTACCCGGTGAACGTTGCACTGCTATTGTTTCCATTGATTAAGCTTTGAAAATTTCAAGTTTTTTTAAAGAAGAGTATTTAATGAAGATTTGAAAGAAAAACAAGAGAAAGGTATATTATATACGTTTAAATGGCGACGATCAACAAAATAATACGATCGAAAGCCCTATAATTTGATAAATATTCGAGGTTTATGACATAAAAATGGAAAGACTATATATCTGAAAGATGTTAAATAATCAAACTTCCATTACGAGATCCAAAGGATCGTTCGATATTAAACCTCTCTAATCTCTAAAAGAACCCTAACCTCGAGAGGACAGATGTTGTCAGGCACTGAGCACGGCTGGTTCCTTTTATAACCGAAACCACCAATAATAATGCGAAATTTTAAATTGACATTTTAAAAATATTATTGATTTTTAGAAGAATATCAAATTTATTATTATTAATGTTTATATCTTCTAGTCAAGTATACATAATATACGAATTGCGCAATACAGCACAAGTCCCGGGAAACACTATAGGACGGTCACCGCCGATTGAGTGTGAACCGTTGGATCGTGAAATAAGTATTACAGTTGCCGCTGAGGGAATCTGAGCCGTGTGATAAGGGATCTTGCTTTAGGCAAGATCTTGACCATACACATCTGTATCATCCGGTGGCTTTCTCTTCCTTGATGACCTCACGTGGAGGGCATGTGTGGGCCCGAGTCAAGTCCGTCGCCGTCGATATTGACACGTGTCATCATACCAGCCATTCACCGTTGTCGTGGGGCTTTCCAAGAATAGGATTGGTCGGCTCTCATGCATGGTTGCATGTGCTTGCCATAAAAAATAAGGGAGAATATATATTATACGAAGGAAGAAGATATCGAATAGTATTTTATATGGTGGACATATATCACATAATAATAGAAAGCATCGAGGAGGATATCACTACGATATTGTCTATTGCGTGAAGATTAATTATAAAATAGTTATGTAATATTTAATCAAAATGCGAACGAGAGGTATAATGTTTATACCATGTGAACGACAGTGCCCAAAAATATAATAGACTGATAAATAAAACGCCGTACTGCGAATCAAAACCTTGGTCCTGCGTTTGTCATTTTCTTAATGTTACCATTTGAACAATTGAGCCAATTAGCACGACCAAATTTTTAATAGCTTGGGGGATATTTTATACTATATATAAAAGAGAAACGTAACTCATAATTGATGGCTATCACTATATGTACGTACAAAGAATATAAGAAATATATATATCACCATCGACCAATCAGTAAGACATGGTGAATAAAGATTCGTCGGTGTAGATCGATTTCTTTTCATAGCGATTTGACTATGGCTCGTTAATAGCTTTATATAAACTCTCTATACGACGATACGAATATAATATCATATATTATGCGAAGGGTGGTTGCTTGATATAGTTTGTAGTCTGTACGTAGGGTTATTGTATATATAACTTATATGATGATCGCAGCTTTTTCTAATTAATCCTGTTTTGGCATAATCATGGTTAGGTGTGGTCACTCTTTTCTTTTCATCTTTTAATATATTACAGCGTGTTTGGTAGAACTTTGGTTTTATTAGCTGACTTTCATATTTCAACGAAATAAAATCAAAGTTTAACGCAAATTGCACATGAGTCCAACATTATGTACATAAATTTTTAAAATTATGATCGACGATCAAGACTTAGGATCTCATATAACCAAAGTTCCCTTCTTATCGATAATTGTTAGTGTTTTTTTCCCTGGTATCCCATTCGTCACCATAAATTCCAAAATTCCTCCACAATATGCGTAGTTGCTAGCTAGGGTTTGTGTGGAGTTAGCACGAGATAAGTCAGTGCATTGCTACTTTTGGTGTCGCCTTTGGCGGATGACGTGCTCCATTATGATTATTATCTCTTTTTTGCACCGACCATATCTAAGTCCACGTCCATTTATAATTTAACTTTTTTATTCTTTTCTGTAAAGAACGTACATAACTTTGTATACTTTTGTTTTAGACCTGCTTTTTATCATTTTATGATCCTAGCTTGGTTTGCTTCCATATTAAGAAATTTAAACAATTTGGTTTTCTAAGTATAACACATCGACTAAACTTTTGTACGCAAGTAGCTATGTACTGTATATGAATCATATGATACATCGTACATCTATTTTTTTCTTAATTCTATAATTAGGGATTTCTGTATGAACTGCATGTAATCCGTATATCTAATTGTTGGTCGAGACTATAGATATATATATATATATTGTAGAGTGTAGTGGAAAGGCATCCCTATAGATGCATATGGGCTGTTTACTTCGGGGCATATATAACTTAACGCTTACACATTCATGATTCATCCAAGTTTTTTTTGCTTTGTTTGGCCTTTTTGAATTTTAGTTTATTTTAATTAAGTTACGTTTTACCCTTTTAAATTGTTGAAAGTATATTGAAATGAAAATGTTTTCCCTTATCTCGATCAACAAATTAAGCTTAATTTCGATATTTTCAACATCATGAAAACAATGCACCTTAACACAACTAAAAGAAATAGGACAATGAGCAAACAAGACGAAAAAATGTTGCATAAACATAAGAAAAAAAAAAAGAGAAGTTTAATGAGTAAAGCAATGAAGAAGTTGAAACATCAAAGGTTAGATGAAATGGACAATTTAAATGATCCCTTGTAATAATAACAAAAGTCCTTGTTTGTCGATACTATTGAAAACTATTACAATCCCAGCCAAACACATGGACGTTTCACATAGACTCCCCGTACATAACGCTCTTGAATATTTCCTATTCAAAACCGTTTATTTTTTATTTTTATTTTTCCCAAAAGTCTGTGATATCAATTTCTCTATCAAGTGAAGGATAATAGTAATGTTGTGTGACTATTGTGTATAGGAGCGAAGTTCTCTTTCTGTAACGTAAATCCATGGCAAGATCAGAAATATTAATTGATATTTAAATCTCCTCGATCGATCCAGTTAATTATGCGGTTTCTCTTTTTCGAATTATAATTATTTGGTTTTGGTGGTTCAAAAGAAGGAGAGATCCCAAGAGTGAGGTTTTGATTTGATGAGAAAATGGGAATAATCAGCACAATATTGGGTGTGTTTGGTTTCGGGTTCGGAACAACCATTGGAATCGTCATTGGTTACTACTTGTTCATCTATTTTCAGTCTACTGATGTTCAGGCATCTTCCAATCTTCTTTACCTTAATCATCCGTTTTTTTTTTTTTTGTCATTTCCTGATTGGAGATTTTGTTTAGTTTCCTCTTTGAATGCGACAAATCGTGTTAGATGTATTTTTTTTTTCTATAATTCATGTAATGGCCCATGTACATTGTTACATCTCCGAAAAAATTTGCATGCATGAAAATACAAAACAATCACTTGTTTGTTCCTTGTCACTTTTTTTTGTTTTTTTTTTGTGTGATTTGATCTGTTGGATTCTTAAAGGGAAGATTGATATCTAGAATTGTAATGTGCTGTTTGGTTAGCTTATAATTCATTGGTTAATTTGTTAAATCTGTGGTCAGGACCCCGAGATCAAGCCACTGGTGGAGTTAGATTCAGAGACTATAGCAAAAATGTTCCCTGAAATACCTTTGTGGGTGAAAAATCCTGATTTTGATCGTGTATGTTTCCTTATATTCTCTTCATCTCCTTAGTTAAATGCTATTATGTAGTATTATGGTATAATTTGTAACAAATTTTCTCTTTCTTTTTGAAGATTGACTGGCTTAACAAGCTCGTTGGCCATATGTGGCCTTTTTTGGACAAGGTAAAGTCTTCTTCTTCTTGCTTTCATAGTTTCATGCATGTTTTTTTTTTGATATTCAATAACTTGTGAAACAATGTTTCTTGTTGTAATCAGTGTTTTTTTTTTCCAGGCGATTTGTAAGATGGCAAAGTCAATAGCAAAACCCATTATCGCTGAGCAAATTCCAAACTACAAAATCGATTCAGTTGAATTTGAAATGCTCACTTTGGGTTCATTACCACCAACTTTCCAAGGTACTCCATGAGTTCAACACTCATAGATACACATTTTTGTCCTTTAGTTTCTTCTTCCTTTTGGAAATAACGTATGTTTTGATTCTCACTAGCTATCTTTTGCAGGAATGAAGTTTTATGCAACTGATGACAAAGAACTGATCATGGAGTTATCAGTGAAATGGGCAGGGAATCCTAATATCATTGTTGTAGCCAAAGCATTTGGCTTAAAAGCTACTATTCAAGTAAGTTTTTGATCGTTGTATCGACAAGAAACTAACTAATTTTTTTTTCTGATTACTTGTGAGATTAATTGTATTATCAGGTAGTTGATTTGCTAGTTTATGCTACTCCAAGGATCACTCTGAAGCCATTAGTCCCATCATTCCCCTGTTTTGCCAACATATTTGTCTCTCTTATGGATAAGGTAGAACCCAAAAATGAGCAAAAAATTTTGTGCGTAATACATTAAAACCTTAAAACACAAGAAAGTTTAAAATGTGATCTCTTATGTAGCCACAAGTTGATTTTGGACTGAAGTTACTAGGTGCAGATGTAATGGCCATTCCTGGCTTATACCGGTTTGTCCAAGTAATGACGTTTTGGAAGCTGTTTCTTTATCTTTTTCCAATCTAAACAAACAGTCTTGTTCAGACCTAAAACTATGTTCCTTGGATTCACGTCTTATTCTAGGAACTCATTAGAGATCAGGTTGCAAACATGTATCTATGGCCAAAGACTTTGAATGTACAGATAATGTATCCTTCTAAGTAAGTATTTTTATTTTGTTGGGGGATCAATTGTCTCACTTCTGTTACTCTTACAGTTTTTGATAAATGTCAATTTGCACGATCTGCAGAGCTATGAAGAAACCTGTTGGATTGCTTAGTGTGAAGGTCATAAAGGCAATAAAGCTTAAGAAGAAAGATCTTCTGGGCGGATCAGATCCTTATGTGAAATTAACACTCGCTGGAGACAAGGTTCCTGGTAAAAAGACAGTTGTTAAACACAGTAATCTGAATCCTGAGTGGAACGAAGAATTCGATTTAGTTGTCAAAGAACCAGAGAGCCAAGAACTACTGCTCATTGTTTATGACTGGGAACAGGTGAAAACCTCTAGCTAGGTGAATTGGCTTCTTTTAATAAATATCTCTGGAGATCATTTTGCGTAACGAATTTGATATATTTGCAGGTTGGTAAACATGATAAGATAGGAATGAACGTGATACCACTCAAAGACCTTACTCCTGAGGAGCCAAAACTCATGACCCTTGAGCTATTAAAATCAATGGAACCAAACGAGCCACCTAGCGAGAAATCGCGTGGACAGCTTGTTGTGGAGGTCGAATATAAACCCTTTAAGGATGATGAGATTCCAGACAACTTTGATGATCCAAATGCAGTAGAGAAAGCACCAGAAGGCACACCTTCTGGTGGTGGCTTGCTTGTGGTCATAGTTCACGAAGCTGAGGATCTAGAAGGCAAATATCACACAAACCCTTCTGTGCGTTTGCTATTCAGAGGAGAAGAGCGTAAAACAAAGGTATCAAAACTTATCTTTAACTCATAAGACATCAAGAACGAGTGTTGAAACACATTTGTGTTTTGATTTTGCAGCGTGTGAAGAAAAACAGAGAACCAAGGTGGGATGAAGATTTCCAATTCCCATTAGATGAGCCTCCCATAAACGATAAGCTTCACGTTGAAGTCATCAGTTCTTCTTCAAGAATGGGTTTAATTCATCCCAAGGTTAGAAACAAAACCAGATCTTTTTTTTTTCTCAAGCCCCTTTAAAGAACTCATCACAAAATCCAGATCGTTGAGCAAGAACAATATTTTGATTTGATTTTTGATCAGGAAACTCTCGGTTACGTGGTGATAAATCTTGGTGATGTTGTGAGTAATCGGAGAATCAACGATAAGTATCATTTGATAGATTCCAAAAATGGTCGGATTCAGATTGAGCTTCAGTGGAGAACTTCTTCTTGACTTCAAATGTTTCGTTTCTTAGGGTTCACGAGACAATACTCTTTTTGTTTGCCTTCCTTCCTTTGTACGTAAAAATTTATATAGTAGCATAAAATATGCCATAAAAACATAATGGGCCTCGCGCGTAAGCCTTTTTGTTAAGATGGGTTTATACTAATTACTGTTTGAATTCTTGTTACATATCTGATTTATTTCTTGGTCCTTTCTAATTTATTTTGCAGCTTACTGTGATTCAGTTGAAGTGTTTTTTTTTTTTCGAATTTATTTCTTAAAGAATTCTGTAATCTAATGATTTTTCTTTTAATAGAAAACATAAATTTTGGAATGAAAAAAGAAGTGGAGTTAGTTAAAATAAAGAGAGATGCATGGTCACTGGTTGGTGAATAGTTTGGTAAGCTACTAAAGTTTTAACTTGTTTGATATCATGATTTGGTTAAAATCATCATACCTTCCCCGCTTTTAATTCCGTAATTACTTTCTCTAATGTCTATGATCTTGTGGTTCTAAATTTAATCTAATCCACTAAAACACACACACACACACACACAGTTGATAAATATATTTGTGGGTATTATACTCCTAAATTTCATAGCTAAACTCAGTAGGCACGAATAACTCAATGTATATATATTTCTTGTTTTGTCAGCAAAGTATAAGAGCTTATTATATATGGACTGAAAAAAGGTTTAAAATATCACATGATGCCCATATTAGCAACTAATTAGAACAAGCTACTTATCTGGTGTGATTATGATTAGGGTGATGGGACAATATCGGTGACGTGGTGGATCGTTATTGGTTAAAATAGTTAGAGTTGGGCACGTCCCATACTTCCGTTGGACCTCTCTCTATCTCTAGTCACCTATGAGATGTTCCGTAATCCGAAGGGAATCGAAAAGAGAGAATAAAAAGAAATTGATACTCCACATATAATAAGAATCGTGCGGGCACGTTCTTGAATGAGTGAGAGAGTTGCCAAATCCAATGATTATATGAGATTTTTTTTTCATTCATGCCTCTCCGTATTTTGCTAACTATACTATAAAAGTCTCTGTCGTATGTTATCTTTTTGCTTTCTTTCTTTCTGTTTCTTGATATTCTATTAAAGTCTCTTTATCTTACATCAATTTGAAATTTACCTCCCTTCAATGAAACTAAAGGACACAAGAGAGAGAGACTTTACAAGTAATTTTACGTAACAGTGATTTTGATATTTTGGAAGTTAATTTGTAGAAGTTGTGAATGGGAGCCATAACATAACAACTTTAGTTGTTGTAACGGTGAATTGACAGACTTGTATAGAGTTCCTCTATGCTGTTTTGGTAGGTGCGAAGAGGATTAGACGGATAAGCAACTTAGTTACTTTTAACCAATACAATTGGTTTGAGGTTAAATAACAAAACTTCAATAACTCATGATAGATGATGGTTTTGTACAACTACTGGTAGAAGAAAACAAATTCAGCTTCATCTGTGTACAACTACTCGTTAATTGCATTTTGGAAAACAATTATTTTAAAAATAGTTAAAGAAAACAAATAGATAATACAAACATATTGATGACATTTGTGTTTTTTCTTGTTTTTTTTTTTTATTTTAAATAAAAAACGCACAGATCTTCATTTCAAAATTCAAAAATCCGTGACATAAAAGAAAAAGGATATTTCAAAATTTGAAAAGAAAAAAGAAATAAATAGGTGGTGAAAACATAAAAGTAATAATTTTAAAATAATGAAAGGGGGAGTGAGTGTATATGATAAGGAAGGAGGTGTTGTTGTTGTTGTTGGTGGAGTTCTCTTAGCTGTCTCAGAGTTGTTATTGCGCATAGTCAGTCCCTCCTCCCTCCTCTGCCTCTTTATCTCAAACTCATTAATCATTCAACCGCCAAATTAGTCTTCTTCTTCTTCTTCTCCTTCTCTCTCTCCAATCGATTTTTGAATTTTCCCGTTTCTGCAATTTGGGGATTCTCGGATTTTCACAACCTTGCGAGCGAGAAATGTCGAGGAATTGAGGAAAGAAGCAACAGCAAAGGGTGTTAATTCTATCTTGCGGCGGAGATGAGCGCTTCAAGGTTCATAAAGTGTGTGACCGTCGGAGATGGTGCCGTCGGTAAAACCTGCATGCTCATTTCTTATACTAGCAACACTTTCCCTACAGTAATCTCTCTCTCTCTCTCTCTCTCTCTCTCTCTCTCTCTCTCTCTCGATTCTCATCTGTTTCTAGTTTTTATCTTTGTTTGAGCTGTTTCTAGTTTTTATCTTTGTTTGAGCTCGTTCGCAATACTAGATTATAGTGAATCTCGAAGAACGCTTCTTCGAATATGGATTCGGAATTTTTAATCTAAAACTTAACGATGTTTTGTTTCCAAGTTCATTTGCTATCTCATAGCTGATGTGTTTTAATTTTGTTGTAGACGCCAATTTAGTTCTTCTCATACACAATTGAAAGTTTTGATTTGTAAAATCATGTCTTCTGTTACGAGCTGTATACTAGAACTTTTTCTGATTCTGAGGATCTAGCCTCTTTATATGTTTCAACATTTTGGGACTCTATGCCTTATCTATTTTTAGCTAGTCTGCTGTTTCAGAATCTGATTTTGTGATTTTCAGGATTATGTTCCAACTGTTTTCGATAACTTCAGTGCTAATGTGGTTGTTGATGGGAACACTGTCAATCTTGGATTGTGGGATACAGCCGGTAAATCTTTTGAATACTAGTTCATCGTTGGAATTTTCTTTTTTTGTTGCGGGTTACTTGAATTGGTTTGTGTTTTGGGGTTCGAAACAGGTCAAGAAGACTACAACAGGTTACGACCTCTGAGTTACCGTGGTGCTGATGTTTTCATTCTTGCTTTCTCTCTGATCAGCAAGGCTAGCTATGAGAATATTGCCAAGAAGGTTTGCATCTTTTGCTTATAGTCCAATATAGCTTGTGATGAGTGGGTTAGTGAATAAATCTGATCTTGTTCTTTGTTTGTTCCTCTTTCAGTGGATTCCTGAGCTCAGGCATTATGCTCCCGGTGTTCCCATTATCCTTGTTGGAACAAAACTCGGTAATTTTAACTCTTTCTTGATTGAACTGATCATGTTATTATTGGTTTGATTGGTTTACGTTTATGCAAATCTGTCGACTCCAACCATTTTTTTCCAAGTTTTCAAACAAAATTAGTATGGTCATGGGAGATTTTTGAATTCTGTATTTGCAGACCTTCGAGATGACAAGCAATTTTTCATAGATCATCCTGGTGCAGTGCCAATTACTACAAATCAGGTACTTAATTTTTTTTAAACGGATAGTCTCACTGTGATTGCCAGCTCTTGATGGATTATTGGCTGAAGTTGTTATGAATGATGCAGGGAGAGGAACTGAAGAAACTGATTGGATCTGCGGTCTACATTGAATGTAGTTCAAAAACACAGCAGGTATACCTAATAAATTACTTGTCCTGGTTCTTACTGTTTGCATAGATTCTTGTTAAGAGGCTGACCTTTTTTCTTTTTCTTTTTGGGGATTCTGCAGAATGTGAAGGCAGTGTTTGATGCAGCCATAAAAGTGGTGCTTCAGCCACCAAAGCAGAAAAAGAAGAAAAAGAACAAGAACAGATGCGCGTTCTTGTGATGATGAAAAATCACTAAGACTAGGTAAACAAGAAGGAAGAAGAAGAAGATTTCAACTATTTGATTCGTCCCCATTTTAATATGATAGTTTCGACATGAAGGGAGACATTTCGGGTAGCTTTTTGTATAGTTGCTAAAACGAGCTGTGTTGTTGTGTCTTTTACTCCTTGCTGGTGAATCATTTGAGTTCACCGAGGAAGAAATGGTGTGTTCCACTCTTGCTATGTAGACTAATCTCTCTCTCTTCTCTTTTGTTCTTGATGGGGATCATTTTGTATTAACATATGAATCTAATTACTATTGCCTTTTGTTTTCTAGCTCTTGTTCTCTTCTTCTGTCCCCAATTGTATGATCCACTTGATCTGATTTAGACCTTTCCTCAGCTGGATGGTCAACTATCATAAAAATTAGGCAACTCTTAATGCCGACTAACTTACACTACATTCAAGAAGAAGACCAACTGGAGAACAACAACTGCTATCAAGGCATCATAGTACTATTTTAATGGTTGCTCAGATTGCATATCCTTGAATTGAGCTACCTACTCGCATTTGTTCAATTAACCAAAAGCTTCCAGTTGCAGAAATTGATCTTCAAGTATTACATAGATCACTGTGATGGTTACAATCAGTATGTACAAGCTACAGCCTAAGGCTAAGCTGAGAAAGAACAAAACAATATGGGAACTAAAACGGGACTGTGTATGGTAATGAAAAAATTCCGACATCAGACAAAAACCGAGCTCTAGGAAAAGAGGAAGAATCTCCAGAGGTCTGCAAGTTCATGTTCATGTCTTCACTATTTTTAATAGAAGCTTTGGTCGAGGAAGTGTTATCTTGCCGCCTTGTACCAAAAAGCCATTCATCGCTGCTGCTAACATCTTCCTCCAATGAAAGACAAGGAGGACAAGGAGGAACCCATCCATCAAACAAAGAATTGTACCGAGATTCTTTGCTTGGCTTATGTTTCTTTCTCTTCTTTGATTCAGAAGGAACTGTAATCTTGTTGCTCTGAAGTGAGGTAGAGAGCAGATTCACATCATGGTCGCAGGTCTTTGGAAGAGAGACAGAACTTGGTATCTCGCTGGGTCTCTCAGCCCCTGAAGTTGAGCAAAGACGATCCTCTTGATGTACAACCTCAACTTCTTTTGGTTTTTTAAAAACAAACCGTATCCTTAGCGGTTTACCAGCTACAGGCGTAGCTGCAAATGATTACATATAAAATTTTCAGTACACGAAGCACAATACGAGAGTCAGAAAACTGAACAATCTAGTCGAAGAAGGGAAAAACACAAACCTTTAATTTGACTCTCAACAACAGCAGGAGAAGTTTCTCTTCTTCTCTTCTTACTGTTCTGACTACCATCAGACAAATAACCAACATGTTCTTCTGTCAAACAACTCTTCTCAAGTTGTTCAGACTCATCTGAGACTTGCTTAGAATCATCTGAGACTTGCTTGGCTGAGATATACTCTAGTTTAGGGGATTTCTTCTCTTTCTTTGGTTTCTTATCTTTCTTTTTCTCCTTCTTCTCTTTCCGATGCACCTTTTCAGAGACTATTTGTCTTTCGATCTTTATAATCCATCAGAATAAAGGATTTAGACTAGAGGAAGGATTTATCAGGCAACAACCAGAAACCCATATACGTGGGTAACATCATTCAATCAGAAAACAAAAAACTGTTAATTAGTCAAAACACACATCTACAACACGTCTTTATGGTTGACTATACGATTCAAGAGTCAAGACCAAACCAAACAACATACACGTTTACACGACATCGTTAAGAGTAATATACATACAAAACAGTGAATTCAATAAGCTAAAATAAGAATTGGCTAGATATATTCCATAGATCTATGAGCATAGTGAAACAATTCAACCATAGATATATTACTACAGCTATAACCAATCAGAAACTTATATACAACCTAGCCATTTTGCTACAAGGAGGATACTATCAGGAAATCCGACCGAACATAGAAAAGCCATGTTCAGACGGGAGTGAAGACGGTGCGAATCAATCACAACAACTGAGTGCTCGACGAACCTTAGTCGATTCGACCAAGTTCTGACCGTTTCCCCAGTTCCTCGCATACACAGGTGGTGGAGTTGTGAAATAACGCGACATCTCTTTTTCTTTTTTCTTTTCCTTCTCTCTCAGATCGAATCGAATAACGGACAAGAAAGCAGACAGGAGTAATCAAATTCGGACAGGACTAATCGAACCTACGGTTAGGTTTCAGATTCACGCGTACGGAGCCTTCTTTGTGGCGCCAAATCAAATCGAAATCGAAGCGTGAGACGGAGGAGGGAACCCTAACTTCTGTTCTTATTTTTTTTTCTTTTGCCTTCGACTCGTATTTTGCTAATCGATGAGAGAGAGAGAGAGAGAAAAGATAAAACCAATTGCTGTTGAGAAAATAATGGTGAAGGCTAAAGCTCTATTTAAAGACGCGTGAAACACTCAGATCCGCCGACTCGGCCTATGCTTACGTTTTTGTGGAATCAATAAGAAAACCCTAATTTTTTAAGGGCCATTCCCGTCATTATCTCTTCTCCGTGAAGCTCGGTCCGAGATTGCTACGTCATCTGAAATCCCCTTTTTTAAATATCCTTTGCGTCTTTCTTACTCTTAACATTATTATTGGGCTTAACAAATTAAAAAGCCCAGATATATAATCCGAAGCCCATAACAACTTTACTTCATTATGAGTCCTGTACTCTTGTCCGACTCGGTTTCTCGACACTTGCATAGAAAAACAATCACGCGTTAAAACCATCTCTTACTTCATCAACGGTTCACTATAACGCCACGTGTATTCATATAAATATTACAAAAGTTCGCGAGACATACAATACTTCCCGTACCAAATATTCCCTTGACTCGATCTGTCTTTCATCTTCTTCTTCGTCATCGTTTCCTCTTCCGATTAAACCATCGCCGACGTTAGCTCAAATCACCGATTCAACGATGCAACAGGGAGATTACAATTCGTACTATCACCACCAGTACTCTCAATTTCAAAACCCGACCCCAAATCCTAATCCTAATCCCAATCCCTCTCCGCCGGCGCCAACAGCCGCTGCTCCCACCGATCTTTCTCAGAACACGTACGCATCAGCGCCACCGTTCACCGGCGGTTACGGTGCCAACGATTACTCAAACTATTCACAGAATTATACTCCGTATGGGCAAAACTCTGATCATGTCCCTCCTTCAGCTCCTTCCTTCACTCCACCATCACAACCGCCTCCTCCTTCTCCTCCGGCGACTTCCTTAAACCCTAATTCTTATTCAACCTTCAACCAACCACCTCCGCCCACGATTCATCCACCACCTGTATCCTCTTACGGATCATTTGATTCTACTGCTCCGTATCAGCAATCTACCACGCAACCGTCGTATTATTCACCGTATGATCAGCATCAGACCTCTGGCTATTCTTATGCGCCTCCTCCTTCATCTGCCCCTGCGCCGAATCCTAATCCTGCGCCTTACTCATCATCCTTGTACTCGGCACCTCCTTACAGTGGCGGAGGATCATCCGTACCTCCTTCGTATGAGAAACCATACGACAAGCCTGTGAAATTTGATCAATCTGGTTATGGCGGTTACGACCGGAGCAGATCGGATTTAGGATCTGATCTATATGGGAAACGATCTGATACCGGAGGATATCCCGCTTTTGAAGACTCATATGGCGATGGCGTCTATGCTTATGAAGGAGGCAAAGTTGAGCCCTACGGTTCTCGTGGAACAGCGCCGAAGTCATCCAATTCGACCTTGTTCGACGATTATGGACGATCCATTAGCTTTTCTTCAGGGAGAGATTCTTCTGCTAGCTCGAAATCTGCTAAGATCGTGAGAGCTGTCCCCAAGGCTGATGTACAAGAAGATTCCACTGGTGGTGTGCAGAAGTTTCGTGTCAAATTGTTGGCTGAGACTTACGGACAAACCACAACAGATGTTCTTTGCCAGGTACTGTCCCCAATTCAAGTTTCTTCATGTCCATTTAGAACGATGTGAGATTTATGTAGCCTCCGTACTAATACGTCAAAAATATAATTTCGAATCGTAATGGGATTTTTGAAGTTCATACACGCAATGAGGAACAACAACTCGTGTACTCTGCTATTAGTTAAAGCTGATTGGGTTTGTGTTAAATTGTTAATAAGCTGCCTGATTTGTGCTAGCAGATTGGTTTAGATGGCCTCCGTATGCTTGATCCAAGTACTAGCCGAACTTTGAGAATATATCCTCTTGAGAACATCACAAGATGCGAAGTAAGGATACGATCTACTTTCTTCTTTAGACTTATTCTGTTCCAGTTTCTTGACTGGAGTCTTATATTTTAAATATCTTTCTATCAGAAACTAGATTCTTCTATTCTGGCTTTCTGGTCGAAGACTCCAGTAGACTTTGAAGCTAAACGTATCAGACTGCAATCAAATAGTTACACCACCAACACCCTTCTGGACACAGTGACAGCTGCAATGTTTCAGGTTCCTAAACTGACTAGTTATATATCTTTTTTTCTTTTAACTCTATGCGTCAATCCTATTACTAATCTGATGTTCTTCTGTTGGTGGGTTTTAGGCCAAGGAGATTGGGGGAAGTAGCAGGCCTCCTGCCTCTACAAAACTGGTTGAGCAATCTGCTGAGAAGAAAAAAGGATTGGGTGATTGGATGAACATTATAAAGCCTGTAAATGAGGAGAAAGATCATTGGGTATGATTTTTTTGTTGAAAACATAACTCTCTTTTTAGTCAAAGTAAAAAGGCTAGGGTAGTTTTGGTGATCAGTTGCATCCTTATTCTTAGTGTACTTTCTTAGGCGTGGCTATATTGTTCTCACTCTCACTCTTTGATATCTATGATGGCAGGTCCCTGATGAAGCTGTATCTAAGTGCACATCATGTGGGTCAGATTTCGGTGCATTTATACGAAGGGTATTATTTTCTCCCAATCTTACAATCTGAATTAAATTGTTGACCATGTTGGGACTGACAAACTTTATGGATTTTGAAATTTAATTTTCAGCACCACTGCAGGAACTGTGGTGACGTCTTCTGTGACAAGTGTACCCAAGGCAGGATTGCTCTCACTGCGGAAGAGAATGCTCCCCAAGTCCGTGTTTGTGACCGGTGCATGGTATGCTTATCCATCTTTTTATTTTTCGTTAAGTTGTGGAATCATGTTCCTTGGAATCCTGAGAATGTGTTGATCTAGCGTTACCATGGAGAACCTTGGTCACGTGTTTGGTTAAAAGTGAATCTGTCTTTAAGGCCTTTCAGTTCAAAAAGTCTGGCTGCTCATGTGAATATGTTTCTGGATGTGCAGGCAGAAGTGTCACAAAGGTTGAGTAATGCCAAGGAATCAGCTGGCAGGAATGCGAGCGCGCAGAGCCATGAAGACCTTGCTAGGAAGTTACAGGTGGGCTAATCTTCCTGGGTTCTTTATAATTTGAAAGATTTACAAGTTGAGTTAATATCTGGCGCAAAGTGTATAATTGTTTTCTGACGGTCGATCTGTTTGATACAGGAGGAAATGGAGAGAAACCGCAAGTCTTCATCTGGTAGTTCACCATGTTTAGTATATTTCATGCTTTTGATAATTGTTTCTGGTTTTTTATGGTTACTGACAATGGTAGGTATAACAGGTTCGAGGGAAGGATCCGGAAGGCGGATGAAAGAAGTAGCTTGTCCAACATGCACAGTGCACTTACAGGTTTGATCCTTAGTCTTTCTTTGTATGATTTTTGGACTCGATAGAACAATTGAAACAGGGGGGGGGCGGGGGGTCCTCATAGTATAATCATTTGTGTCGGTGTGTATGATCATCTTGCATATACATTTGACGAAATAGAGTAGCTAGACGAATTTTGATGTCTTACCATGCATCTATGAGCTCTCTTTATCTGACATAACATTGGAGACACCTGTTATAGATGTGAGGATAACACTGTTATTCATGCGAGCTCTACTATTCAGCAGTTTAGGTTGATGTGATTATCTATTAAAATTGGATCATGGAGATTGTCGCTTAATCTTGTGAACATTTAGTTCATGCAAGTGGATAATTAATTCGAGACAGATTGGAATTTTGACATTGGCTTGTTTGTAGTGTCTCCTGATACCATCTATGCGATTATGAGAGTATTTCCATTTAAATTTCAGGTCCAGGTTCCAGTCTCAGGATCAGAGACCATCGAGTGTGGAGTTTGCCAAAACCCTTTCCTCGTGAGCGCGCATTGATCTTCCAACCCACTTTTTTTGCTTGACATATATATCAAAATTAAAATTATGGGATTTGGTCATTTGGTTATTGAATTGGGTTTTATCACACCAAAATAAGTTCATGTCCTGTCTCATGTGGATGATGTTTCCCCTTTGTGTGTATATGAAAGTCTTTGAGTGATGAACTCCATCTACTTTGTTGTTCCCTGATGGTTGATTGGTTAGTTTACTTATCAGAACTTCAATGTCATTGCCGCTGCTTCAATTTCTCTGACTACTCGTATGTAGTCCAAAGATGTCGTTGTTCATTAGTGTTATTTTCTACTATTATATGAAACTACTTATACAATAATGAAACAGAGCGGATCACACCTGACACTGAAACAGAGCTGTTGTATTTTCGCATGCAACGTCGAAATTGAGTTCCATCGATTTCCCACGTACATAAAAAGTTAACCTGGTCTTCTTGCATTTGCAAATCCTCTGATTGGAATCATTTGAGTGCTGCAATGGTGTAGCTAAACTTTCAAGCTTTCCTTCCATATTCAATTGATTCGATTAGGTTTAAGTATCATCAAACGTTTCAAAACTCAATACTAAATTCAATACTTGTTCTTCCAGGAGGCTCGTGTTTGTGATCACTTGTTCGAGTTGTCTTTGGTAGAAACTGTGTTCTTATAGTTTAGATAGTATTACGATTACGATTATGAGAGTGAGAGTAGCAATGGACTACTGAATTTAAGGAAAGTTCAAAGTGTGTGAATGAAAAGAAGCCATGAGAGACAAGTTACTTCTTCTGATAAGCATCTAAACCACATGCTTCTGTCCACTTTTTTTCTTTTCTTTCCGAGTAAAAACACTTTGGCTACTTTAGTCTCCCACTCTCTATATTTTGGAGTTTCACAACAAAAATCCTTTTTTATTTTTCTCATCAGGCATATAAGATCATCATATAGCGAATATGTTGCAAGATAGTGTGGTTTCTCGTTCTTTGCCTGGTTCGAAAAGATCTCCATGTCTATTGTTTTCCTCACTCTTTTATATCCTCTTCTTGACAATGCATGCTTCAGCATATGGCTTACAGCGAGTTCCAAAGCCAGGACCTCTCCCTGCACCATCCCCTGCATCAAAGCCAAAGCCAGGTCCGTGTGCAGGGCCATCCCCTGCAACAAAGCCAAAGCCAGGTCCTAGTCCAGCGCCAGCCCCTGCAGTACCAAAGCCAAAGCCAGGTCCGAGTCCAGGGCCAGCCCCTGCAGTACCAAAGCCAAAGCCAGGTCCGAGTCCAGGACCAGCCCCTGCACCAAAGCCAAAGCCAGGTCCGAGTCCAGGGCCAGCCCCTGCACCAAAGCCAAAGCCAGGTCCGAGTCCAGCGCCACCCCCTGAACCAAAGCCAAAGCCAAAGCCAGGTCCGAGTCCAGCGCCATCCCCTGGACCAGCGCCACCTAGGAAACATAACATGACGTTTCCCGCGATCTTTGCCTTTGGAGATTCGATCTTAGACACAGGAAATAATGATTACATTTTGACATTGATCAAAGCTGATTTTCTCCCCTATGGCATGAATTTTCCGGATGGAGTTCCCACGGGCAGGTTTTGCAATGGCAAAATCCCTTCTGATTTTATAGGTGAATTGACTCTTGTACATGAGATTAAAGATACATATAATTATATACATGTAATGTACCTACATAATAATATTCATGCTTCTATATATATAGTTCATATGCCATTGCATCATATGAAACTAGAGAATGTTGTTGAAGCTAATAGTATTTTGCATGTATATTTTCGATGGAAATATTCTTATGTAATTTTGTTTTTCTTTTTCTGAATTTCACAGCGGATTATTTAGGAGTAAAACCAGTTTTACCGGCATATTTGACACCGGGACTAACCAAGGAAGATCTCCTCACTGGTGTTTCCTTTGCTTCGGGTGGTTCTGGTTTCGATCCTTTGACACCTATCGTAGTAGTAATGACGTCAATAAATTCTTTAGCTTTTGAAATCATCTCCTTCATTATTAATATTTCCATTTCATTTGGTTATAACTTGTTATCAATGTGAATAAATGTGTTAACAATGTTTATACGTAGAGTGCTATACCTATGTCAAACCAATTGACATACTTTCAAGAATACATAGAGAAAGTGAAAGGCTTTGTGGGAAAAGAGAAAGCTGAATACATAATATCTCAAGGCCTAGCCATTGTGGTAGCTGGCAGCGACGATCTGGCTAATACCTATTATGGTGAACACTTGGAAGAATTCTTGTATGACATCGATTCATATACCTCTTTTATGGCTAACTCTGCAGCAAGTTTTGCTATGGTACGTGAAACTAATCCTCTCGATCTAATTGTTTATATGAGCTAGTAAATTAATCCTAACGAATATGAGTTAAAATATTGGCAGCAACTTTATGAATCAGGAGCAAGAAAAATAGGATTCATTGGTGTTTCTCCCATCGGGTGTATACCGATACAGAGAACCACAAGAGGAGGGCGTACTAGAAAATGTGCTAAAGAACTAAACTTCGCAGCTCAGCTTTTCAATTCCAAACTCTCCACAAGTTTGAATGCATTGGCCCAAACCTTGAAAAACTCCACATTGGTGTATATTGACATCTACGCTTCTTTTGCTGATATGATTCAAAACCCCCAAAAATATGGTAACGGTCAACTGCTAACACTCTACACAGTGATGTTTTTGTGAGAATGAGCTTGAGAATATGTTTTTTTTTTTCTTTGGAAATTTTGCAGGATTTGATGAGATTGGTAGAGGATGTTGCGGGACGGGGCTATTCGAATTAGGTCCGCTTTGCAATAAATATACATCATTTCTTTGCAAGAATGTGTCTTCATATATGTTTTGGGACTCTTACCATCCAACTGAAAGAGCATATAAGATCTTAAGCCAAAAGTTTGTAGAGAATGACATGGGACCTTTCTATGAGAAATAAATAAATGTAAATTTAAGATAACATACTTGAGGATGTTTGAGATATAATTTGGCTAAGTTAAAGTAATTTAAAGATATACCTCATTTGGATTAATGTATTAAAACATGATTATGTATTATACATGTAATCACGAGAAATATAGTTGGTTTGACAGAACAGAGTGTCAAATGCTGTTATGTTGTGTGATTAATTTGACAGAGTCAACTTGTTTCACTTGATCGGAACCATCTCATTCCACCTTAGAGGGAGAGAAAAAAAATGATTGGTGGAAAGTGGAAACAAAATTTTAACTAAATATAATTAAATCATATGATACGGCTATTAACAAAAGTATAAAAGAAGACCAATCCATTAGGAACTTCTCACCCTTTGACACAGTCGAACATGCGCCATGCATTAGCTTTTGCAATCGGGTTACAAAATTTTGTAGGTAGCTATATATTACGTAGTCATAATCCTTAACTTCAATAATCCAATTAGTTACTCTTATTTCTAAATTCTGATAAAATTTTCTTGTTAAGTCAGAGATAGTGGAGATGTTGTAACTGATAGTGTTTCTTTCACATGGGTTTCTATGGATTCGAGTGTCACGAAAGATGCTAGGAAGAGTTATAAGTTCCAGCTTGTGACAGGAGACCGAATATAAGGGAAGTCTCAAAGTGTGTGATGACAGAAGCCTTAAGACACATGCAACTTGGACAAGGCCACATAAATCGCATGTCCTAATCTACGTAATAATGCATATATATACATACGCACGCACATATTGGCATAACAGTTGCAAACACTTAAATGGAAACTGTTTCTTACTACTTGTAATAAAACCATAACCATGACGCGATCTTCCTTGGTCGATTCTTGTTCATATTCAAGAATTTTTCGTTGTATATTCTTTCTCTTATCCTTTTGTATCTTCTTCTTGACAACGACCAATGCTCAAGTCATGCACAGACGGCTCTGGCCTTGGCCATATTGGCCAAGGCCTTATCCGCAGCCGTGGCCAATGGCACCACCAGCACCAAAGCCTTCCCCACCACCTGGTCCATCACCAAAACCTGTCCCACCACCAGGACCATCTCCATGCCCACCAACACCACCGAAGCCTCAACCCAAGCCACCACCAGCACCTAGCCCATCTGCATGCCCACCACCAGCACCAGCACCTAGCCCATCTGCATGCCCATCACCACCACCTAAACCTCAACCAAAGCCAGCACCACCACCAGCATGCCCACCAACACCGCCTAAACCTCAACCAAAGCCAGCGCCACCAGCTCCAAAGAATAAGCCACCACCTGCCCCAGCTCCAAAACCAATCCCAACACCACCGCCAGCCCCAACGCCAAAACCTGCTCCACCCCCACCAAAGCCAGAGAACAAAACCATACCGGCCGTGTTTTTCTTTGGGGATTCGGTCTTCGACACCGGAAATAACAATAACCGAAGCACAAAGATGAAAAGCAACTATCGTCCCTATGGTATGGATTTTAAAATGGGAGTCGCTACTGGTAGATTCAGCAATGGAAGGGTTGCTTCCGACTATCTAGGTTCCTACTCTCTCCCTCTCTCCATCCTTTTCTTTCAAAACATAATGAAAAATATGGAAACCAATTAATTACAAATTCGATTTTTTTTTTTTTTTTGGTTTCCTTGCAACCAATAGCCAAATATCTTGGAGTTAAAGAAATCGTACCGGCATATTTCGATCCGAAAATACAACCAAACGATCTTCTTACAGGCGTCTCTTTTGCTTCGGGTGGTGCTGGCTACAACCCCGCGACATCACAATCAGCCGTAAGTTCGAATCACATTTTATCATCATTTTAATGATATGCATGATTTATTATAACTAAAACCATAATTGAAAATTCATTTGATTTATTTAAATCAGAAAGCAATACCAATGCTTGACCAATTGAAAAATTTCCAAGACTACATAGAGAAAGTGAACAAGGTAGTAAGGCAAGAGAAGACTGGAGAAGTGTTGGCAGGTTTGGAGAAGACCAATCAGCTAATATCCAAAGGAGTAGCAATTGTCGTCGCGGGAAGCAACGATCTGGTCATTACATATTTTGGAAGTGGTGCTCAACGACTCAAAAACGACATCGACTCTTATACCTCTATCATTGCTGATTCTGCTGCCAGTTTCGTTTTGGTACGTATTCTTTATTATATGTAGCTTCTTATATATCCTCCTATTTTATTATTTTCTAGCTAACTTCATAATTTTACGTCCAAACATTATTTAATTTGCCAAATTACCAATTTTTTATTATGTGACTTGATTATATATATAAAAAAATGATATTTCGTCAAGTTAATAAATAATGTAAGTGATGTATAAATTGGGCAGCAATTGTATGGATATGGAGCAAGACGTATAGGAGTGATCGGAGCACCGCCACTTGGATGTGTACCATCACAAAGAGGAAAGAGAAAGAAAAAATGTAATGACGAGCTTAATTATGCTGCTCAGCTTTTCAACTCTAAACTCCTCCTTGTTATGGGTCAAATGTCAAAAACCCTACCAAATTCTACATTGGTTTATATGGACATCTACACTATCTTCAGTCAGATGTTAGAGTCTCCTGAGGACTATGGTAAATAACTGTACAGTTCATTAGATTAAAGCTTATAATTATACATGCATGCATATTAATTTTGAAAAAAAATTTGCATGCAGGATTTGAAGAGACAAAGAAACCGTGTTGCAAAACAAGATTGTTGACCGGAGGTGCACTCTGCAAAAAGTCAACATCGAAGATATGTCCCAATACATCGTCTTATTTGTTTTGGGACGGTATGCATCCAACTCAAAGAGCTTATGAAACTATAAACAAAGCACTTGTAACAGAATACGCCCATGTTTTATCTAAATAATTAACTATTTTTATTACATTATTTTATCTCACACGAAATTGCAATGTACTAATTAATAATGTAGAAGACACATGAGCCGTTTCTGTGACTAATAATGTAGTTAAGCAAACAACATTTGAGATAGTTATGTAAGATTTTTCTTCTGTGTCAAATGAATCCTCGTACACCCATGTTTGTGCTGTAATGGCTAAATATTTTTTACGCATGGAAAATCTGGTTATTTTAGAGTTCTTCTCAAAAAATTTTTTTTAAAAAGAGTTCATGGGGACATATCAGGAACTCGTAGACATTGATTGATGTCTTCGTAATGGGATTCAAATGCTCTTGATTAGTAGTAAAACCAGAAGTGCCTAAAAGAATGGAGTCTGATTAGTACCCACATATAAAGCTAAATGCTAGGACTCTAGGAGGTTCCAAAATGTGTGAGCAGAAAGAGACACAACCAATTTCACACACCGTCACATACATCGCATGTCCGAAACAATGTATTTACTATTTGATCATTCGATTTTCAGAGATTATCTCATTTACTTTTAATTTACATGATTTCAGATAATCTTATATTCAAAAAAATACATGATTTCAGATATCCAAATTTTTTGTCATTATGACCCAAAAATAAAAGATAAATAATATTGACTTATAACATCGATGATAAGATAAAATAGAATGATCATTTATGTTACTCTATTCATTGCTAATTAAGTTGATAGATTCAATTAGTTTCTTGCTGAAGAGATTTTGGTAAACCATGGTATATTGTGATTTATGAGAGAATAAGGTTCGATTTGGTAACTGGTTTACACTTGTCACTAACGTAGGAATACTGTTTTGGATCCAAATAAGGATTTTTAAAGTTTAACGTAAGGAAACCCTCAGAACGTGTGATAAAAGAAGCCTTGAGACATACGCAACTTAAACACGGCACAAAAGCCGCATGTCAACTAAGATATGTACCCTGTACACACATACACAATGACATATTAGTGGTATAAAGTATAAACACATACAAAATAGTATCGTTGGTACATTGGTAGAGAAGCTTGTTTTTCAGAGATTGATAGGCACAGAACCATGAAACAATATAGGCTGATTCATTCAAGATTAGTTGGATTTGTTTTCTTTCTTTTATCATCCTTTAGTATATTTTTTGTGACCACCACACATTCCCAAGTGATCCACCACCGACGTCTATGGCCACGTCCACTGCCAGAATCAGGGCCAGGCCCACCACCCGAACCATCTCCAACACCACATAACAAAACCATACCGGCAGTGTTCTTTCTTGGGGATTCAATCATAGATACGGGAAATAATAATAATCTATCAACGGAAATGAAATGTAATTTTCCTCCATATGGTAAGGATTTTCCATTGGGAGTTGCCACTGGTAGATTCAGCAATGGAAAGGTCGCTTCCGATTATATATGTTCGTGCTCTTTCTTATTCTTTCCTCTTCGTTTCGAGCCAAACCTAGGCGGCTACGCCTAGTATATATCTTAGTTTGTTTTATCTTTATTCTTTTAATAACATGCAGTAGTATACGAGTTTAATCATAGATGGTGATATATGGTACGTTAAAGAAAGTATTGTTAGTATCAGTTCGTTTGATCAATTAACGTTGCTTCCTATTAACATATATTGACAAAAATATCGAATTAATGAAGAAAACAGTTTGGACATTACAAAAAATTAGAATTAATTTACTTGGAGATTATTTTTTTTTAACTTTGTTTATTTTATTTTTTTTGGCTTTTGTAATTATTGTAGCTGAATATTTGGGAGTAAAACCGATAGTACCGGCATATTTGGACCCCAATGTACAACTTGAAGATCTTCTCACCGGTGTATCATTTGCTTCAGGTGGTAGTGGCTATAACCCTTTGACACCCAAACTATCTGTAAGATGCAAATAATTAAGTACCCTCTAGATTCATATCTAAGCTTTTTATCCTAACTATATGGGAAAATTTTAATCAGAGTGTAACGCCAATGTTGGACCAATTGACATATTTCCAACGACACATAGCGAGAGTAAAGAAGTTAATAGGGAAAGAGGAGACCGATCAACTTTTAGTGAAGGGCTTATCCGTTGTGGTCGCAGGCAGCAACGATTTGGTTATTACATACTACGGTCAAGGGGCACAATGGCTCAAAGATGATATTAACTACTATACTTCAAAGATGGCTAATTCTGCCGCAAGTTTTGTCATGGTACGTACCTCTCACATACATCTAACTTTTTCTTTTCTTTTCCAGAGTTCATAAATTTCACCAAGAAGTATGTTCAGTCACCTTAACAATCGTCTATATGGATACGATTGAACAGCAACTATATGAATATGGAGCAAGACAAATAGCAGTGTTAGGAACACCACCACTTGGCTGCGTACCATTACAAAGAACTCTAAAAGGAGGTCTTCATAGAGACTGTGCTGAAGATGTAAACTATGCTTCTCAGCTTTTCAACGCCAAGCTCTCCATCACTTTGGACCAATTAACAAAAACCTTACCAAACTCCAATATCATATACATTGACATATACTCTGCTTTCAGCCATATCATAGAAAACGCAGCAGATTATGGTAAATGTTGGACCGTAACCTTTTTATATTTATATAAGTACTACTTTCGTGGGATCATGCACTTGAGTTGAAAACTAATTATGCAGGGTTTGAAGAAATAAAGAAAGGTTGTTGTGGAACTGGATTTGTGGAAGTTGGTCCACTTTGCAATCGGTTCACACCATTTGTGTGCTCCAATGTTTCTGCTTACATGTTTTGGGATAGTTTCCATCCAACCCAAAGATTCTATAAAATCTTAACCAAGATACTTGTTGAGAAATACATCCACAAATTAAATTGAGTGGTAGATCACATACATTATTTGTATACATTTTCTTTAAGCTCATGTAATTATATAAAAAATACTATTATGGATTATCAGTTAATGTTGAGAGAAAATTTCATCACTCTTCGCCTGGTTTGAAACATCAGTCCATCATATTATACAATACAATGTGGACTAAACAAGCCATATTTAAACATATAAGATATTAAATATTATTTAGTTCACAATCTCGATAGTACATTTTATTTTACTATAAAGAGAAATTACTGTTGTCTTGATGACACGAGAATTTCATTACTATTGACGTGGTTCGAACATCAAATATTCAAATCTAAATCAATCAGTTCCTTGATTGTTATATATAGGTATAGCTATTTTCCGGTACAATGTATATAATGATTTTTATAGTGTAGTATGCTTATCACTCGGAGTCTAAAACTTATGTAGCTTGTATATTGCATTTAGTGAAGAAAAATAATATTATAGCTGTGACTTAATCAAACTATATAACATGAAATATACCCACATTATATACTTCAATCTCCTTCTTGTGGATGGTGTAAATATCAGTCAAATAAATGAACACGAACTGAGTGGTAAGACTTGTTTTGCTGGGTTGGCTAAATATATATAATGAGTCTAATGATAGAAGGGAAGAGTACAGTGCTTTAACCACAAAATAAACAAGTTTCATACCATTATTTAAGGTACTCCATTAACTCTCTCAACCAGTGTGTATAAAAAATCTACGTAATACGACGATAGAGTAAATCTTTATTAAATAATAAAATAAAAAGAACTATTGCAGCTAAATTTCAAAAAAAAAAAAAAAAACATTTTGAGATGGATAATACAGCCATCAAAGTTCTAGTAGTATTAGTTTCTTTATGGATTTCATATGTTCAAGCTATACAAAGTGGAAGATTTTCAGCGGTTCTTGCATTCGGCGATTCGATTCTAGATACTGGTAACAACAATTTGCTTATGACAGTGTCAAGAAGCAATTTTATACCATATGGACGAGATTTTTCTCATCATGTTCCTACTGGAAGATTTGGGAATGGAAGAGTTCTATCGGATTTAGTTGGTATTACTTGTTCTTAACATAGACCAAAAAAATTTCTAATACATTCATTAACCTAATGAGTAAATCAAATAGTTCAAGAAGCATCATTCTAAAATAAAAATGTTACAAATATGAATGTAGCCGCCGGTCTAGGGGTAAAAGAACTTTTACCTGCCTTTCGTAGCCCATTTCTTAAAAGTAGTGAACTCTCTACGGGGGTTTGCTTTGCGTTTGGTGGTTCAGGGTTAGACAAATTCACCGCATCTATACAGGTAAACCACTTTTTAACTGTTACTTTCAATAAAATAAAGTAATATTTACTATATGTGCTGATTCATTTTATTATATGGCCTATTATGGGTAAACAAACTATATAGAATGTTATATGGGTACAAGATCAGGTAAATGACTTTCAAAGATACATAGAAAAGTTAAACGCACAAGTTGGAGATCCAGCTCAAGTCAAACAGATTATAGCCAATGCCGTGATTCTAATTTCTGCTGGTAATAACGATCTTGGCATCACGTATTTTTCAACTCCTGCCAAATCAACGAGATACACTATCCAAGCATACACTGATTTGCTCATTGGTTGGAAAACTACTTTCATTAACGTATACAAAACAAATTTCTTTATATTATCTTTTTATATAGTTTTTGCTTTTTCATATTATTATTGCTACGTATAAATGATTATTGTTGTATGAATATATAACAGAGTCTATACGATCTGGGAGCTAGAAAATTCGCGGTGCTTGGAACGATGCCGTTAGGGTGTTTGCCAGGGGCGAGACAACTTTTGGGAAATTTGATATGTCTTCCAAATGTAAACTATGGTGCTAGAGTATATAATGAGAAAGTAGCCAACTTGGTCAATCAATACAGCCAAAGGCTTCCCGATGGCAAATTCGTCTACATCGATATGTATAACTCACTTCTTGAGGTCATCCAAAATCCTACCCAATATGGTAAGGAATTGATTATACACGCTTATTATATATACTAGTACTATATGGTTTTTGTTGTAGAGTAAAAGAAAAGTAAGGGTGCTAATTAATAAAATTTCAGGGTTTACAACGGCAAGACCATGTTGTTGCTCGGTGATGACTCCGATTCCATGTTTATTTTCGGGTGGTCACGTGTTTTGGGACTTTGCACATCCTTCTGAAAAGGCATATAAAACTATCCTACCGAAGATCCTCAATACAATCCAAAGCAACCTGGCTTAGTCACTAGAACTTTTCTCTTAATTTGTTTCTTAGGTACGGTTTGGTGGCGTTTCTCCACTTGTATGTCTCGATTGTTGTAGTTTGGTTGTAGATTATTTCATTTGCAATATACTGTATGTGCTTATTAGTTGAGTTTACGAAAACCAAAAAAAAAATGTGTTTGGTAGTATAGTATATTCTCTTGTACTCATGTATGTTTCGTATAAAAGAAAGGATTAAGGACTACAAAAATATGTATATTTCCGTATTGGTCACCTAATTTTTTCTATTTTCCTTTTAATTCAATTGCAAAAATCCCCTAATTATAAATTCATAATTTCACCTAGATTTCTCAAACGTGTAAAATTTTCTTTTACTAAAACAGAAAACCGTAGTTAATGATTCCAACACGAAGACAAACTGTATTACAGTCACAGATGCTGAAAATCTTCTTTTTTTTTCTAATCATATCATCAAATAGGATATGGAAGGTCTATTTCATGGAAATGTAACAAGTATTTCCATATAACTTTTTAACAATATTCCAAAGAAAGTTTAATTTTATTTAACTTTCCCATTAATAAAAAAAGATCATATTTACTCTTTTGTTTTTGTTTTGGGTGAAGCAAGGACTTTTCACTCGTTTTCCTCTGTTTTAATTTTGATGCTCTTTTGAATTTGGGGATTTTGCGGACTCTGTTCCTTGGTTGGTTTTTTCAGGCTGTTAACTATCTGAACATCAGTGGACTTCTTGACCTTACCTGCAAGACCGTGGCTGATCATATGTAAGGGAAAACTCCTGAGGAGATGCTGGAGGAAGAGCTGGAGATTCGCATTGAGAACAAGTAGGCGTTCGAGTGATTGGTGTTGGATTGGAACCTGGTGTGTTTGGGAGAACTTAGTCTCTAGTGGTCTTCTTTCTTAGATGTGTTTAACTTTGGAGATTTGGTTTGGCTTTTTATTTCTTTTCTTTTGGTTTGGAGACCGAATGCTTTGTTACTAACAAGATCTATTGGTTTTAATGGAAATTAGTTTAAGATGAAAGTGTTTGTTTTGCTTAATCTTTTATTATACCCTTCTTGCTGTTGTTTTTCTTCCAATGTCGTTTTGTCTTTTATCTTAGACATTGTGTGTTTTCCTTAGATATATCGTTAATCTTTGCTGCTATCGTCGCCTTTGCTGCTTACAACGAATGGACTACGCACGCTGAACATTCCGTTAGACCATGTGACTGATCCAAATGCATCTTCCTTGAGTGTGGAGGATGTAGTAGATGAAAATATCACTTGGTAGTTAAGTTTATCTCCTATCTTCCTAAAATGTAGTCTTCTTGGTATAACTCTGACTAGTAACCCTTCTGGTGAATCGATGCTCACAGTGTAGATAGTATCTTCATCTCCAATGAGTCGTGATGCTACATTTGTCACTGTTCTCCTTACCCTTCTACTTTCTTGTCCATTGAAGTTCGATATTGAGATTGATGGGTAGTTGATGTTAGATATGTCTTCCCTGCTGCTTTGTTCAGGACATGCATAACCATTTGGTATTCGCTTTGAGATCTTTCTGATCTGGTCTGTAGTGTACCCAAAGTAGCAGAGAAAGTTCAGGTAATCCATGTGATTGGTTTCATAAACCAGTCCAGGGGACGAAGGTCCAAATATAGTGACCTGTCCAGCACCAAAGTCATAAGGTGTGGCCTTGGCCCCTGCCTCTGTTGTTATATGGGTTCCTAAGTTGGTCATTTGCACAGCTGCAGATAGAGTGTAAGAGTTGGGTTACACTGGCCGAGCAATATGTAATCGACTGATATCAACTTGATTTTTATTTCTCACCTGTTGTCATGATGGCGGATCTGATTGCTGCAGGACTCCATAAAGGGTATCTGGATTTGAGTCGAGCAGCAATACCGGAGACATGGGGGCATGACATTGAAGTCCCTGATTCAATGTTGACGAGTGGTGGTGGCTTTCCTTCTGGTGCAGCATTTAAGTCACCTACTAACCACGAGGCCAGTATGTTGACCCCAGGCGCTACAATATCAGGCTGTAACAGGTTTGTCATGGGGTTAATTATTTGAAAATGAACTGTTAGTATCAAGTTTTCTTTATAGAAATATCTGTAAATTTCTTTATGGAGATCATATTTATGGTGAATTTAAGTGTTTATATACCTTGAGGATGCTTCTGGTAAGCAAGTAAGGTCCTCTTGATGAGAAGGATGGTATGGATGGTGCTAACATATGTCCTGTTCGTGATCTTGTAGGCATGATCGTTGCAATTGGTTCTCTACAATGTGGATTTTGATATATTAGCTTTCTGTTTGAAAGCAATATCTTGTGAAATAAGACATCTTATTTTTTACCTTGTTGAATTTATGTAGGACTTTATTTGTATCCCGTCCTCTGGTTTTATTATTGTCACCAGAAATGAGGGATCAATAAAAGACAGATCCAGTGTCTCGTCGTCAATAATTATCATTACAGCCCCTCCAAGTCTCTTAACCTCTTCGCTTTTCCACTGAATCACCTGGTCACCAAGATCATTGTCGCACACAACAATCTTTCCCTGAACAATGGTTTGGTTCATTGTATCAGGTGCGCAGTTCCTGAAGGGTTGTAGTCATGTTGTCTTGTTAGAATCTATAATGTTATTCTATAATGTTAAGGGTAGACTGTTACCTAGCAGCTTCCTCATTAGCATCTATCTTCTTGGCTAATCGTGCGTGTATAAGTGGGTTAGCATGGGTACTATCTATATTAGCAATATTTATTCCAAACCCCTGCAAAATATATATATTTTTTTAAGTGAGTAGGATGTTAAATGAATAAAGATTTGGCGGTTTACTGTCTTTCCCTTGATACCTTGATTAATTTGCTTGAATTTCCTCCCAGAAGAATGTTGGACTCAAAGCCACGGTCAATAGAGCTGGCAGCAACAGTGATCATCCATGGAGCAGCATTGACCACACTTTGACTCGATGGGCCAGAATTTCCTGCAGAACAAACGACAGTTATCCCTCTTTCCACGGCATGAAATGACCCGATGGCAAGCGGGTCTTCAAGTAAATTGTCTGGCCATAAGCCCATTGATATTGATATGACATCAACTCCATCTGCGATTGCATCATCAAATGCAGCTAGTATGCTAGAGCCACGACAGCCAAGGACTGAGCACGCTCTGTACATAGCTATTCTTGAATTTGTTGAACCTCCTCTCATAATTCCACTTGCCAAGCCATAGTAGGATGCATCAGAGATTATTTGCCCCGCTGCTATTGATGCCACATGTGTCCCATGCCCCAAAAAGTCTCGTGGTGTCTCATAATCGGGGTCTAAGAAGTATGACGAATTGTAATACCTTGCTCCTATTAGTTTTCTATTTAAGCAACATTTAATATAAGTCCAAGGTGGTAAGGTCAAACATATGGCATCTTAACATGTGTGCTACTTTCTCTAGGTTATGTTTACCTGTTGCAATGGAAAGAACCAGGTTGTGTCTTCTTCCCTCTCATACAAGTTCCCTTCCATCTCTCTGGAACTGGACCTATGTGCCTGTCATCAAAGCTCTGTGCCTCGGGCCAGATTCCTGTTTTCTCCATCAGAATATGCAGCATTAAGTATTTGTTTTACTGGAAGTCAAGAAAAAGCACATATAAACAATTCATTGCTCCATACTGTTCACCTGAATCAATGAAACCGATAATGGTGTCTCCTTCATGCACATCGAATTCTTGTTGATTGTTCATTTCAGTGAAGTAAGTCTCTCTTTGATAACTTTCTTGCACCAGGAAATCCCATGAACGAGTTGTGTGGAGCTCTAACATCTGATCAGGGAAGACAGATACTACTCCCGGTTGCTTAGCCATGAGGTGTGCTTCATCTTCTGATAAATGGGCTGCAAATCCAGAGAAACCATGTTTGTATATGTGCATAGGGGTCTTGCCGCTCCTGATGTATGTAAGATAATTTCTTAATATTTGCATAATATAAATCATAGTTAGAAAATCAAAGAGTTCTGGATTTAGTTATCACCGCTTGAACATTGAGCTCAGAAGTTCAACATGGTCATTGTCTGTTGAGCCATCAGAAGATGCTGCTCCCATGTATATGATATAATCTCCTGATTTACTTGTTTCAGACTTACAATTTTGCACCACAGACAAAAAAAGAAACAGAAAAATGATGACGGTGACAGTGAGGCATCTCATCATAGGTGAACCTTTAGAAACAGGAGAAGACTACTCCTCGTTTGCCTTAAAATTTTGCCTTATGTTTCCACGTAAAAACACTATGAGTACTTCTTAATAGTCCCTATAACAAACATATATAATATCGGAGTTGTTAGGTTAATTAACTTTTATGCCTTGCCTCTTTTAATGAGGGAGTGAAGGTATTTCGTTTCATAGTCATGCATGCTCTTTGAGTGAAAGGAAGATTGCCTAACTTCAAGGAGACTTTTTCTGCATGGTTATTAAAAGGGTGGTTACTATAACTTAGTCCCCTCCAGATTGGTAGAGCTATGAAAAGACTTATTGATGTTCTACTTTATATGCAAAAATTCAGTTAATAGTTTTACATATCACAATGTTTTGGACTGTTTCCTGCTAAATAGTTTGTTCCACTTGAGCTTTCATCAGTTCATTAATTAGAAAAGTGTAGTTTACTTTGCTTCAAAGTAAGTTTTATTATTCCGTATTTATATTGAACTTTATACCATTTACTCAGTTTGTGCGGCTACTCTCGCTACTAATTACAATTGGACTTCTGACCTTGTACTTGGCATTAGACCAAGTAAGAGCCCCAAATACATCTTGCTTAGGTGAAGCAGTAGCAGACACTATCACTTGGTATGTCAACTTCTCACCATCTTTTGTAAATTGGAGTTTTTCAGGCGTCACCTTAATAGTAATCCCTGGTGGTGTTTCCACGCTGACTGTGTACTCAGCCACACCGTCTCCACCAACATTGGTTACTGTCCTTGTAACTGTCTTATTCCCAGTTCCTTTAAATCCAGAGATTCCAATTGACGGGTAATTGATGGTTGAGATCAAGTCTAAGTTGGAATCTGCAGGGCATGTGAAATTCACTGGAAGTGCTTTTGATATAGCCTTGATTGTGGTTACGTTGTATCCATAGTAACATAGAAAGTTCAGGTAGTCAGTTTCAGTAGTCTCGTAGACTAGTCCTGGTTGCATTGATGCTGTTGAGCTTAGTTCCCCTGCTCCAGAGTCATAAGGCGTGGCTGCTGCACCAGTTTCTGTTGTTATAAGACCTTTATCGTTGTTGGTTTGAGTGGCTGCAAATATGACCGTAAAAGAATGATTGTCAGAGCACATCCGTATTTGCATGCCATAATCTCAAAATATGCAATGAAGGGGGCCTAACCTGTTGTCATAATTGCTGATCTGATCGCAGATGGACTCCATGTGGGATGCTGTGATTTGATCAAAGATGCAACAGCTGTGACGTGGGGAGCTGCCATGGAAGTACCCGATATGACGTTATACTGAGCAGCCGGCTTGCCTTCTAGTGAAATGGCTGAGTCGTTTCCAGTCCATGCAGCGAGTATTGCCACTCCTGGTGCTGTAATGTCAGGCTATAAAATAAAGGTAAGTAGATGGTTCTAATCAGGTAAAAACTAAATAAGGCACATGCTTTTGAATTACTTTGAGAATGCTTCTTGTGAGGCTTGAAGGTCCTCTGGAAGAGAAATATGCAACAGCAGGCGCGGGTGTGAACTTCTCAACTGTTGCAGTTGGAAGAATTGTTGCCACAGGATCTCTGCAACACAAGGAAAAAGGTCTCATTCTTTAGCTCTTTACCGACTATTATAGTTCATAGAGTTTTTTTTGGAAATAGCTTAGTTAAGTACTTGGTTGAGTTGAGATAGGAGAAGATCTCAGCTGCTTCCATTGAGTCAATAACGGTCGTTGGAAAAGCACCATAAGCGCTAGCAACTGCTCTAGTTCTGTCATCTACAAAGACGCATCCAATACCTCCTTTGCTTTTCACTTCGTCTCTAGCTGCTGATGCATATGATGATCCACCAACGTTCTCGCATAACACAATTTTCCCTTTTACCTTATCTTGATCTAGAGAACCAAACTCACAGGCCCTGAAATTGTAAAGTTTAAGGAAAACTGAAACAGTTAGCTTCCTTAGCCTTTGTACTAATTCTTTATAATAAACTAAAATAAGCTCAAGGAATTTTTTTTCAGTTCACCATTTTTTTTACCTGGCTTCTCCTTCTGATGCATCAGCGTTCTTAGCAGACTTGCCATGAATGAGAGGATACACAGGAGATTTACTAGCGTTTGCAAAATGTATACCTTCGCCCTGGAAATTAATTAAAGTTCTTATTAGAAAACTTGAATATATAGTGTTTAGGTGTATTATGTGTATATTAATTACCTTGATGACTTTATTGCCGCCTAGCACAACATCAGACTCAAAGTCCCTATCAATGGTGTTGGCAGCGACAGTCATTATCCAAGGTGCAGTATTGGTAACTGTACCACCATCAGGCCCATCATTACCCGCAGAGCATATCACCAAGATTCCTTGCTCTACAGCGTGAAACGCTCCAATGGCGATAGGATCAGTGTTCAGGTCGATGCGAGCGTATGCTGGAGCTCCAAGAGACAGAGATAGGACATCAACTCCATCCGCGATTGCATCATCAAAAGCAGCTAGGATAGAGGAGCCTGTGCATCCCCCGGGATTGCATACTTTGTACATTGCGATCCTTGCATTTGGTGAACCTCCCTTTGCTGTCCCGGAAGCTACACCATAGTAGGACGCGTTCTCCACTGCTGATCCAGCTATGGTGGAGGACGTATGAGAACCATGACCGATCACATCCCTTGTAGTATAGTATTCTGAATCATCATCAGGATTTTTGTAGTATCTTGCTCCAATGATCTTTCTGCATAAACACATGAATGTTTAGTCTTCAAAAAGAAGTTGGTAACTAATATTCAGCTTGGTTTTTTAAGGTTGTGAAAATTGTAACCTGTTACAGTTAGTAGACTTGAAGTCCTTTGCTTCCATGCATGTACCTTTCCACCTAGACGGGATTGGGCCCATGTCTTTGTCATTGAAGCTCTCTGATTCTGGCCATATCCCTGTTCGTTTGTTTTCATTGTGTCAAACTCATGTATTTGGTTTTGTTTTTTTTTTAATTTATGGCAAAATCAGGAAAGGATATTAATGGATCCAAATAGTGAAAGGCCTTACCTGTGTCCAAAATACCGACAATGCTATCATATGATCCATCTGAGGCTGTTGAAGGTGGACCCGAGTCAATCTTTACTGATGTTTGGTATTTGAGAAAGTCCCATGAATGAGTTGTGTGTAGCTGAAAGTTTGGATCAGGAAAAACCGAAATCACTCCCGGTTTTTTGGCTATGGCTTTGGCCTCTTCTGCTGTCAAACGAGCTGCGAAACCCGTGAAGCCATGCTTATATGTGTGAACGAGATCGTTAGCTCTCCTGCAACAACAAACCATAAAAGACCTCAGAATCCACAAAACAAAACAAAACTCTGTGCAAGTATCAAATATATATATTTGTCAGTACAGTATGGTAAGAATGTATAACCTCTTAAACATGGTATTTATGAGTATCTGAGCTCTATAAGCGTTTGCGGCAGAGGAAGCTGATCCCATGTAGACGACGTAAACCCCATCACCATTTCTTGATCCAGCTTCAGTTTCTGTCGTAAACAAGATGCATAAGAGATATATAAACAATAAATAGGGTGTGGAGAAGGTTATAAGGCCTTTCATGTTTTTGAAGTTTCCTAGTCACTTGAGGACTTTATACACTGACCATATAACTCAAGAAAAGACTATTTATAATGGTTGAGAGATCGTTGGAAACTTAAGATAGAGCAAAAGAATCATTAATGCTTGAGTTGCTTATCCCACTTTGAAGAATTGGTGGGTTTCTGAATTGGGCAAAAAGTGGAGATAGAATAGGCTAGTGATGAGACCACTATCTTCTGTTCGAGTCATTACATCACAAGTCCGCATGTTTTTTATTCTTCTTCTTTCCGAGGTTTCAAAGACTTCGAACAAAATGATTACTCCATCTCGTAATTTTTGGAAAATTCAAAATCAGGATAAGCCATTTATTTGATGGTGAAGGAGTGTTCACTAACTAAAGGATTCTTGATCAGGACAAAAAAAAAAAATCTAAAAATTCTTCATTAACGCTTTCAAAGTATGAAATTATTATACATATATGTATTCATAATATAATGCCAAAATCTGATTAATAATTATCAATAATAAGCGACTATATAACAGTTGTTACCTTAAAAATGTTGAAACCAAAGAAAAAATTGGTTCAATAGATGAAGCACACAAAGGATTGGTTGAGTAGCCAATAAAAAGAGAGGGTGGTGCGGGTCTGCAGAGTGCATTAGCCAGAAATCACATTTACATTCCACTCTTATGGAATCTTGGTAAATCCAAAGCATGCTTGTAGTAGCCTTTGAACTTAAACTAATGTGTAGTCGAGATCATGTCAAATCTTATATATATATTTAGCAACCTAGAAAGAAAATGGAAATATAAAAAAGGAGTTGCCGACCACTTTAGTGGCTCAGCAGAGTGGAGTGCACTCGTGCTCGTGTGCTACTCTGGGAAAGTATGTATTATCAATATGAGTCACATACTCACATATGCTAATGCTATCGCATGAACTTGGTTTCTATATATTATCTAATTCAAGAAAGAACATAATCTAGAGAAAATAGAGTTGTGATTAAAATGTTAGAATAATGAAGATGGGCGCTAGACTCATAAAGTCTCTTGAAATTAAATTAAGAAAGCCTTGAGAAAAAGTGCGAAAAAAAAAAAGCTCCGATGCCGGGAATCGAACCCGGGTCTCCTGGGTGAAAGCCAGATATCCTAACCGCTGGACGACATCGGATTTGTTATAATCACCAATTTTTAGTTATATAGTTTATCATTCTATATTTAATTATTTATATAGAGACTCTAGACATAGTGATGTGAGATTTATGTAATAAAGTGAAGTAGATTTTTGATCATCGTCTGGAATTATGTATACGATTGAACCAAACCAGTCCACACCAACCTTGTTTGTATCAACACGTTGTGGATAAGCTCTTATTACCACAAATAGTTTCCCTTTCTCACTTGTAGTTTTGTTTTGCCTAAATTTGACCCCATGTTCTATTATATTGGATGAGTGCATTTAGTTTTCTAGCAGATGTCGGGCTCTACTCGGATCGTTGGACGAGGAGGCGGTTGAAGCCGGAGTAAAGTCTTTTAAGGCCCAACTAAATTCCGATCAAAAATGAAAAAAGCTCCGATGCCGGGAATCGAACCCGGGTCTCCTGGGTGAAAGCCAGATATCCTAACCGCTGGACGACATCGGATTTGTTGTGGTTACGAAATTTTATGTTCATAGTAATTACCGATATACTTCTTTTCGAGCTTCATCAAATCATTATATCTATACGTAGAGAGCAGACGTGTGTTGAAAGATGTGTGAACATCGTCTGGAACTATATATATACTTAAAACCGTATATATGCATAATATGGTAATTAGTATATATATATATATAACACATTACTACAGCAGCGTGAAAAGTCTAAGTACTTATTCTTGAAAACATCATAATACCTAGTATATAATATAAACTCCGTATTGCTGATCATTTCGAAACGTGCATTACACATGTATTTATGCTGAAATGGTCAATGCCAATTCCCTAACTAACAACATTACAAATTATAAACTAAAACACATTTCTGTACTTGACGTTCAAGAGTAACTAATTGAAGTACTTAATAAGTAAGTAACACATGAACATTCCACACATGCATCCTCGTGAAAAAAAAAAATCTAAAAGTTCAAATGAAAACAAGTGCCATGATAAGTCATTGTCATATACCAAAACGTCAGATATTTCAAGTACATGCAGTCTAAAGAAGATGGACGATGACTTGTGTTTTTGTTTTATTTTTGGATATATTGACCCAATCATACTAAAAAAAAGATTAACAAAAAAAAAAAAGATACATATATTCAGATAATATCGAAATGGAGAGAGAGGTATACGTGGCAAATTACTCGTTTTGGGGTAACGTACGAGGAACTCCAATGCTAAAGTTACCCCATATCATAACCAGAGTTATTTTACTTTATATTTTAGTTATTAATTTCCCCGAAGAATCTCATTAACCAATCAAATATAAAAGAAAAAAAAAAACTAAAAAAAAAAAAAAGGAGAAAGAACGAAGGAACGAAGGTAAAAACCCGTAAAAGGAAACTTCTTCTCCAAACTAACAAGTCATCTCCACCTTAAGAGCACAACACGTGTGTCGTTCGTTCCCCTCTCTAACTTGCGCCAAAAGCCATCCTTCAGAAAGCTATTGAGCGGTGCTAACGTCCACCATCTCTATAGCTGTCGCTTCTCAATCTTCTCTTCCTTCTCCTTTCTTTCTTCTCTCTCTCTCTCTCCCTATCTTTGTCCAACCAATCATTCCTATATATACGTAAACAGATATTTTTCTAACTTAAATCATATGATAATTTTTATCACAAGCCGACATACCAAAAAGACGTATGTATATAAAGAAACTAGAAGCTTGTCAATTGTTTACCTAAATCGCATCTTGTCTTTTGAGTTCCCATCGAATCGTAGATGATGAAAATGAAGAGTTTTCTTGGTTCTAGACTATATCCTTCTTCCTCTTCAAGCAAAGGTTCTTTTTCTTCTTTTTAATTTTAATTTTCTAAGAACATTTTTTAGAACTTTGAATGATTTAATTGGTTTCTCTTCTTCTTCTCTTAACTAGTTCTTGAATTTTTTTTGAGGAAGAGTGTTGATATGTTCTTTGACTAGACAAGTTTTTTTGTTTATGAGAAAACAAATCTGAAAATATCTGCCAATTGTTTTTTTTTTTTTGTCAATGGAGCAGGAAAGTCTGAGAAGGAATGTTGTCGTAGCTTAACGTCGAAGCTAAGTGTTAATGAAGAGTACAAGGAAGCATTCAGAACAAACTCCTACTTAGAGATTCGGACAAAAGCAGAAGATCAGTTAGGCATTACATCCTCCTGTAGCAAACTCTCTTCTTCTTCTTCTCCTTCTTCTTCAGATCTTAGCTTCCATTCACACTTCACCGATTACTTGCTTGACCCTCCTCAAGATACTCTCGATGCTCTGATGCAAGACTCGACTTTACACAATCTTCTAGTTAAGTTCTTCGACTTTAGCTCGGAAGCCTGTGACGTGTGCGAGTCTCTCCTTCAATCCATCCAGCAGATCAAGATCAATCACAACAAAATCAAAAGGGTTATCACGATTGGGAAAAGGGTTTGTAACGGTGCTAAAACCACGGAATATAGCCACGAAAAGCTCTGCGCTTTGATATTTCAAGAGCTTTCGAGATTTGCCTTGCTGAAGAACCCTTTGTGTTGTATCATCAACGAAGCTCGGTTTGGTATAGTTCACGATGCAAACTCGGATTTGCTCGCCAAATTGACATCAAAAAGGAGAAAAATCCGAAGAAAAGTCAGGTTCTTGAGTTTCTGCAAGAAGCTAGGAGGTTATAGCCTAGTGATTTCTCATAGTGCCATTGTCATTACATTACTAATTATAGCTCTTCACAGCATACTCGGCGCTTTGGCAGCTCCTGCGTTGCTCGGTTTATGTTCTTTGGGTCTTTTGAGGAAGAAGAAAGCTAAAAAAAGCATGCATAAGAGCAAGAGAGATACAACGCTAGAGAAGCTCGGGACACAAATCGACATTGCAGCTAAAGGAATGTTCATATTGATAAACGATTTGGATACACTGAGTAGACTCGCCGGGAGATTATGCGATGAGATAGAGCATAGAAAAACCGTGGCTTCGATGTGCGCAAAGAGTGGGAAGATTGAAGTGCTAAAGGAAGCATTGAGGGAGTTTAATGCACATGAAGAAAGATTCTCAGATCAACTGCAAGAGCTTGAAGAACATCTCTACCTCTGTTTCCACACTATAAACAGATCAAGAAGGCTAGTTTTAGCGCAAATCATGGGAACTAGTTCTTGATTCTTTGATTCTTTTGGTTCAACAATATAAGATAAATACTTTTGTAGGGTTTATGAATTTCTTATTATATATCTATTTTGTCAAAAGCTAAGAATATCTAGCAAAGGTTTCTTTCTGATTCAAGTGAAATTGAGGCCATGCAAGCATATTTGTTGTCATAACGATGATGTTTATTCTTTTAAAAAATTTCTTTCATCTTGATTTCAATCTTCTCAGTGTTTGAATAATCATCTATTTATACCATTGGTTCGAATTATCATTTTGTAAATTTGGTCCTAATAACGTTGAAAATGTAATCGAACCATGCATACCAAAAAATGCTCACAAGGAAATTGATCTCTAATCTCGGTCACGAAATTTCAAAGGTAGTAAATAACCAATATTGCTCATCCATTAGTTTTTACCAAAACTAGGAGGGTATATTGGTTCAATGGTTCATGTGGCTTATTTGATTGGGAAATGCTCAAGGATTACATGATTGTAAAACATACTTATACATGTATATCCATATGAATATATTTAATTTTGATATGAACTTCTAATTAAGTTGGATATACGTAAGAACTATCATTTTTGTATCTCTAACTACAGAAAATTAGTTCTGTAGATCCACTATTTCTATATCAAAATATTAACACAAGTTCAATACATTTTTAAGATCACATTCCAAAAACTAAGACCATCATCAATGCATGAATCTTAGGGGGGTTTTTACCCTAAGATTCATGCATTGATGATGGCCTATCATGTTGATAAAAAAAAAAAAAAAAAAATAAGAACAAATACAGGGTACGAATAACACAAGATGTAACTAAAAGATTTCCAAACCAACATACATTTTTTTGCTTTTCAAACACATCTAAAGGTAAAGGCACAGACATGTCCTGTTAAGAGGTGTACTTGATAAACTCCTTTGTTTGAACTCAAAACAATATTTTATAACCAAGTACAAATGTGTGAAACTCCTTTTACTACAGAAGAATCTTTTCGAGTGTGAAACATTCAAAATACAATACACTTTTTTATATAATCATATATCCTCAAATCAACTAGGGTCTTTTGTATTAACAGACCCATCAAACAAAAAACAAAGAGGGGCGGGTCGCTCAGGGAGAAAAGAAACAGACTCAGAGCGCGACCACTGCCAACAACAGAACCAAAAGAAAAAAAAAGAAACTTAAAACTGAACGTGGGAAGAATAAATCTGTCCAAAGGACCAAGAAGAAGGAACAACGTTGAGGAAGACTCTTGTAGCACCATCGGTGGTAGTAATGGAGAAAGACAGAGATTGTCCGTCGAGGTAAGCGTTTGATTGCCAATTAGCTCCCCAATTACGAGACATGGCTAACCAACCTGTCTTTGATCCTTTAATGGATACAGATCTAATCGAACCTCCTCCTCCTACATTTTGAATGTTCACTAGCTCGAAGTAGTCTCTGCCGTTTATTCTGAATCTCACTCCTCCTTTCTTGTAACAGCTCACTCTGTTTTTTTTCCCCATACCAAACCAAAACAGAGACTTTTCGTTTAAACTTTTAAAAAATTGCATAAGAACCCTTAAAATTTTATATGATTCATTTAAAAACCCATCAGTACTTTTAAAATAATTAAACCTTCACAAAGCCACCGCCCTTTAGCCGATTAATAGAGGTGTAAATGATCAAGAAAGAAAAGTTTATGGTACTAAATTGATAGGATCAAAATTAAGGGGGTGATTTAGCAATTCTTTTAGCTCTTGAGATATCGATGATTATGAGTATGATAAAAGTGTAGCTAACCTTTGGAAAACGACGGGAACAATGCCTCCTCTGTAAATACCGATCTTTTCCCAAGCGGGTTGAGCCATGTCGAAATGTTTGAGCGGCGGATTGCACCAACCACCGTTGTTGTTAGGCAGAGCAAAGTTTGGTGGGCAAAAGTTTGTGGCCGTAATGACAACGGAAGCTCCTTTCTTGCACCACCGTGAGTCCGCCGCGTAATCACACGTTATCCTATAGCATTCTCCGCAAGAAGCTCCGTCGTTAAACAGAGCCGTGCTTAGCGCCGCCGTCATTGTCCCGTACCCCGCAGAGTAAAGATCTCCGTAACCACAAGCTCCACCTGACAAAAACAAAATAATAATAATTAAACGATCGATACTAACCAAATCCATTTAGAGACAAAAACAGTAGAAAATTTTAAACTGTTGAATTTACCCATTGTGCCAGAAGCGTCACTTCCTCCATAGAATGTAGCGTGACCGTTTGTTAAACCAGACGGCTTAAACGCATCAACGGCAATCAAAAGAGCGGCCAAAACCGCTAAGCCAGCTAGAGAGTTTGACATGTTTCTAAGTTTTTCGAAGAAGAGAGAGTTTTATGATGATGATGATGATGATGATGATCGAGTGAAGGAGAGAGAGTTGTTTAAATAAAGGTGGGAAGTGAGTGTAAACTATGTAGTAGCAACAAAACCTTACATGTGATCTTATCTTTTATCTAGCCTGTTGTGTATCTTTTTTTATTGTTTTGTTTGGGGGCTAGTCTCTTTACATGTGTGTATATATATTTGTATCTGTGAGTAACAATATAAGTCCAAAAAAGACAGTAGATCTGCAAAACTCTGTTTGTAATATGCTGCAGATGGGTTTATATTCCCCAAATAAGCTCATACAAACAAATTGTATCGGTTATACTAGTTTTTTGCTTTGAACCATATATAACAAATTTTGTCCCATTGTTTTGAGTTTAGGAAAAGAGACTTTTAAGCAAATATTATCTTGAGTTACTCATGGCCAAACGTTTGTAATCCATAAATTTTTGTTTTATTGGTCGATGCGACGTTTATTTTTGGTACATATGTTGTAAGATTGCAAGTTTTTATAAATGTAGCATGGTCACGATTGTATCCAAAATTATATATCCATTGTTTTATATGATCATTTACATAACACACCAAAACTAGGACAGAATAAATTGGTTTATTATATACTTTTGCATCGCGGTGGATGTTAATTTTTTTCTTTAAAATTGAAAAAGGAAAAAGAAGACAAGAAAGAAAGAAAGACAAAGGAGAGTTTTTTTTGGTTTGGGATACGATCATGTGCAGGTTGGTCTGTGCAGGTTCATCGGTCACAGACTCACATGCTCACTCTTTCTCCTACTACATTATTAGCAACACGCCAAATCCCTTAATTATTATTTATCGGCTTAATTGTCCCCGAGAATACTTTTGATTTCCAATCTAAGTTCGAGGAAGATCACCGTCACGGCGTCCTTTGTCGCCTTACACGTTTCGTCGACTTATCACTTCTTGCAAAACATATGAAAAAAATCCAAAAATCTAGACTCTACAATAAATACTACTCCACAGTGATAAAAAAAAAAAAAAAAACAAGATTTATGCACTTGAGGAGTAAAAAATTCATCGGTTATTAGTATGACTATACATTGATTGTATGGTTTAAATAGTTGGCAGTTGTAGCAATCAAAGCGCCAAGGGCATTATTATTTTCCTTGTGATTTTTGTCATTATTAAGTAGTTAATGAATCGAACAACAAATACCTATAATTAAAAGCATAACATGAGATTGTTTTCCTCGAGAAAATGATACCTAGTTTGGCAGAAATAGTCTAATGCATCAATTACCATGGTCTCTCTCATACACATGTCTTGCTTTCGTTCTTTAGATATTTATCAGTGTTTATCTATCATTTAATAACAAAATATGAATGTGTATTTAAATGGTATGCATCGGCAATATTTCACATGGTCCATGTTCTGATAATGACCCACCCTAATACAGCTAGCTAAAAGTGTTACATTTCTCAAAATGCGAAAATTCTCCCAAACACCCATTAAACGAAGTTGAAAAGATTCCAATCTTCTGAAACCACCAGTATAAATCTCTTTTCCTAAAATGAAACCAAAGTAATAAAGAAGGTTCCGGAGGATAAAAATCCTCAGATAGAAACACACTTTGAACGATGAGCAGAGTACCCAAGTAAACTTGTGAATCGAGAAAAAAAAGAGAGACAGATTGGAGAGTAAACTCTAGTAGTATCAAACAGAGAATCACCTTTGTCTAAAAATCATCATCGTCTTCCTCTGCCATATGCTTAGCTAGCTCTTCTTCTTGTTGCTTCCTCTCTCGCCTCTTCTCATCGCTTTCTTTCTCCTTGTGTGTGTTTGGTGGAAACCTCAATGCTCTGACTGCTTCGTTATGCATGTTGAGACAGAAAGCAATTCTTGAGTTAAACGCAGTTTGTGGCTCGTTCGTCGAGTAGATGTCCCCAGTTTCTTTGGAGACCATCCATCCGTTTTTGTGATCAATAGTTGCATCAATCGCTCCATCACGGATAGCCTTTGCCACAATGCTTTCCGCATCAGCCACAGGGTTTTCGGAGTTGAGCCTCAGCTTTTTGGCAACATCGGGTAAAGAGATTCTCGAGTATGAGATGCTTATGTTGCGCAGTCCAGTCCTGATGACATTGTGGCGGAGTCTCACAATGAGATTGTGTGTTCTGTCTTGAGAAAATGTGTCCAAGAACTTCTCCTGGACTGTCCTAAACAGCTCCAAGTCACCAATTCTTACCGCCTGCAAAATCAAAACAGAGTTTTAATAGTAGGCCTCAGATCAGAATGAGTATCTTGTTGCATCAGATATCTCTAAAAAGCAACAGTAAACGGCTAGCAATTTTTGCTCTTTAGATTTCTAAGTACCAGTCAAAAACTGTGCCGCAAGAAACCACAGAGAGGTTGTAACATAAACGGGGATAGGCCAGCAAGTGAAAGTAGAAATGGGTTTAAAAATAGAGGTGAAGTAGCTCATGCTACTACAAGTTTATTTATCCGCTCAAAAATAATTTAAACAGGTCACAGCAGCAAGATTATGAAGGTGGACTCACATTAGTAAGCTCGAAATAAGGCCTGAGGGCCTTCTCCATACCCTTTTGAGTGAAGATTGACCGTTCTGGTATCTCACCCAGCAGCAAACGAACCAGAATTGCCCATTTATTACATTGAATTCTGAAGCCCAAAGCTGCTATAGGGGCTTTCCTGGCAGCCTGAAGGAGGCTCTCTTTTGCATCAGTATACTCAAGCTGAATTGTACGGATCTTCCCGAGGTAGAACAGGTACCTACAAAACTGCAAAGAGTATTATGAGAGACAAATCCTCTTGCTGTTTATTCTTTTGAAACTGTAACAATGTAAGAACTCAAAAACAAAACAAAATTCATATGTAGCAAAGAAAAACACAAGATAGATCGATGGTAATGGCAAGAGGTGGTGTCAGATGTATAAAGAGGACAGCAAAATGGACAATTCAAGTATGTTTCACAAATAATTAGTGATAGAAAAGAAAACACAAGAGCCTCCTTGACGTAGATATGACTGCAAATCGTAAATGCTATCGCGAATGGAAAGATTGCAGAAGTATACAAATATAGCATCTAGAGAACGGAGAAAGCTAAGAGTATGAAGGAACAAAGAGTTACCTGTTGGTTTGAATGTGCCTCAAAACGAGGTGCCTTTGATCTTAACTTCTCTGCCTGGTCATAGAGATTGTAATGTAGGTAGTTACGTAGCAACAGGTTCAGAAGTGTTTCCTGCATTCAACACAATATGTTGAATTAGAAGCCAGTAACAGCTTCACGGTAATGAATACAGACTATAGGAGCTAAATACAGACATACCTGACCCAATTCATCATGTCGTAGTGTTGCAGAATGATGCAACGCAAGCAAAGTACTGCCACCAGACCAAAAAAAAAAACAGATTATTAACTGTTGAGCTAATGATTAATATGATGTTTAATGGAAACTAAAACAATCAGTCTTTGAGCCACTAACCCACGGATTTCAGCAAGATCTCCGGTTTGCTCATAACTCAAGGAATAGTAAAAGTAGAGTCTTGATGCAATCACATCAATGGTCCTTCGGTTGACGTTCTTGAGACGAGCAATGCTTGCTGAAGAGCAAACTTTAGCCTAAAAGATGATTAAAAGCAACTCATGAAATGAAAACCACAACAGAAAAAGTAACTTACATAATAATAAAACACAAAGAGGCAGCAGCAGTAACCTCGTTGTAATTTTTCTGATCAATCAGAAAAAGAAGAACAATGAAGTAGCAGTAAATCTCGAGCTCTGCTGGTAGGTGCTTAGAAGGAGCAGCTTCTGTAGCTGATGAAGCTGTATCAACTTCCATATCATGCTCATCATTCTAAACCATTAAAAGTTCCAAAATATAAGTCTCTAAGCCAGTTCTACTTCAGAGAACTTGTCATTCACAACATCAAAAGAACTTATAATCCCCATAACCTGAATCTAAACTCCCTAAGTTGAGAACTAAAACCCATAAATACCTTGGGAACAAAGGAAGAAAGGCGAGAGTGAGCTTCGGATCCTGGAACCAAAGCGAAATCCAGGAAAGAAGAGAGCACCGAGCCGGTGAGTTTACGCCTAAGTCCTATAGTGAGACGCACAGCACGAGCAATACGACGGACCTCCTTGGTATACGACCCAGTATCGATCAATGCTGCAATCTCCTTCAAATCTGGAAAGAATATACCAAAACAGAGTGTGAAAAACCAAGCAGGAACTTAGCTATTTTGAAATCTATACACGAATTGAAGTGTCTAGATCGAGATTTACTCTGCATCGTGGATGTAGAAGAAGAGATGATCGATTGAGAAGGGGTGTGATTATCTTTCATCTCCACGTCTTGAGTCATCTTTGCCCAAATCTCGCTACTCTTCACAGAGACAAAAGAAGGTTAGGGTTTTTGGAGAACTGTGTGCAACTAAGCCGGATGACATTTTCACGGAACTGATTAAAGTTTATAGAGATTAGTTGACTAACCAATACGGAGAGAGAGAGAGAGAGAGAGAGAGAGAGAGAGCTTACTGAATTGACCAAACGGAATTCGCCGGGAGAAACTGGCGATGAAAGACGACGGATCAGATTTGAGGCCGAGCTGAGACTCTTTTCTTTCCCAAGTATTTTTCTTTTTGTTCAAGACAGCTTTTTAAAACATATTTTATATAACACTGTTTATAAGTTTAAGCATCAAAAGTCGTTGTAGTATAGTGGTAAGTATTCCCGCCTGTCACGCGGGTGAGCCGGGTTCGATCCCCGGCAGCGGCGATTTAATTTTTAGTCATTTATATGTTGGACTTTGTTACATGGGCATTTTTCGAATAGCCCAAACAAGCAACCAAATTACATATTTTGGTTTGGCTTCATACTAGTTGAAATTACATTTTTTCGGTTTTGGTTTCAATCAAAATACGTGGGATTCACAATTTTTTCCTTCTGTACTCGTGTTATCTATTTTTTCTGTTGTTAAAAACAAGTATCAACTGTTTGTAAAATATTGGCTGGTCTCTTTGATTTTGTTTGATGAATAAAAAACAGTTGAGACAAAAAAAAAAAAAAAAAAAAACTGGTATCAACAATATTCGTAACCCAATGGAAAATGCAATGTCGTTATGTAGAAGAAATAGATGCACTTCTTGTCCGAATGCGAGTGATTTGCGAGTTCTATCATGCTTTCTTGCGTTTCAAACAATACCATAAACTTATCCAGCACTCAAAACCGAGAAGAACTAGAAAACTGATAGAACATAGAAGGAGCAAAACTGGAAACATCCAAGATGACGTCCATAAATAAATGAACATATATATAACCTAAACCAACATGAACGAGAGATTATTCTACGGCAATAAGCTGTTTGACGAAAAAGAGACAAAAACATGAGTTTGTTGTAAAGATCCAAGTCCATTCAATGACCCTGGTCACTCAAGCAGCAGCCTGAATCGGTGGTCCATTTGACCTGTTGAATCCACCACGGCCTCCTCTTCCACGACCTCCCCTTCCACGGCCACGGCCTGTTCCAACAACATTTTAAACACTTAGAACTCATGACAAGTTGGTCAACATTGTGTAGTGAGAAAAAAATAGTGTATTAACGTACCACGGCCCTGAGGCGGAGGCCCATCGTATCCATGGTCTGCCGGAGGAGCAGCGTTGTATCCATGGTCTCCTCCATCTTCTTGAGCTTCATAGTTGGGTGGGGGACCATTGAAACCTCCTCTTCCACGCCCACCACGTCGTCCTCCTCTCCCACGCCCTCGTCCTCTGCCGTACGACCGGTCCTGCTCCATACCTCCATCATCATACTCATTGTTCAAATAACCGTTTCCTGGAAAACCCGAAAGAAGGAATAGCACAATCCAATCAAACCCTTGTACACAAACCACATGCAAATATGATAATGTGAAAGTAAGATTTGGAAAGAAATTGTCTAAAGCAATCCTACCTCTGCCGCCTCGTCCTCTACTTCCATCATCATACTCATTGTTCACATATCCGCTTCCTAGTAAATCCGATAAAGAATAAAGAAATGCACAATACAATCAAAGCCTTATCTACAAATCACATGCAAAATAGCAAAAGCGAAAATACGATTTGGTAAAGAAAAATTGCTAAAGATCTATCCTACCTCTGCCACCTCTTCCCCTTCCTCCATCATCATGCTCAGCATTCACATACCCATTACCTGGTAAGTCAAAAACAGGAGTTAGCACAATCCATTTTCAAACCTTTATCCACAAACCACATGCAAAAGCTGAAGTGAATCTAAGATTTAGTAAGAAAAATTGCTAAAGTAATCCTACCTCTGCCGCCTCTCCCCCTTCCTCTTCCTCCTCTTCCTCTTCTTCCTCCTCTGCCTCTAGGAGATCCCTCTACAAGAGAGAGCTAAATTATAAACTTAAAAAGAATAACAGCTCAGGGAGCTCGTTCATTAAGAGTGAGACTAGAAATACCTCGTCCTTCGTAATCAACCTCAGCTAATGGCTTCACCATCTCAATAGGAATCGGACACTGATACCTGTATCATCATTTAATAAAACACATTGGCATTGTAGAAAATGACAGAAAACTGTTTTGAGACACAAGAGAACAAAATCCCCAAATAAGAGAATGGACCAGTACCAGAAATATAAAAACAACGTCCTAGAAACTCACCCAACAGAGGATGTGTTCAACTCCACCTTCGAAAGTGTTATGGTTATCATGGACACATGCCTTGTGGTCTCAAGGCTTCAGGGGAGAAAGGCAAGGTTTAATTAATAACAGGTCAAGGCAACAAAATTAAGAATACAATCATAGTAAAATGAGACCGGGCACAATTAAAACCATATATAATTGATATTAAAGTATTGTGAACACTTACGGAAAAAGGCCTTCCTCTGTAGGTTCCCAATGATCAGTTATGTCCGTGGATCCAATAGATGTGATCTGATGAAGACCAGGAATCCTTCTCTGCATCAAAGATCACAATAAAAATGTCAGATACAATGGAACTCCCTCTCTATGATCAGGGACAGATTAGAACCAAAAAGTACCTTAATCAGCTCAACAATGGTCACACTCTTGTTGATAGCTCTTCCCATAGCCTTGAAAATAACTTCATTGGATTTGTTTTCCTATAAGACAACAAAAAAAAAAACAGCTATCAATAACTTGCTCGTATTGGAAGCAGATTCATGTTTAAGTTTTCTACTAAATCCGACGAAACATATGACTTTGATCAATAACATAAAACGCTCTTAGATTATTTAAGAAAATCTCGAGTATGAACTTCCAATTGAATGTATAGACCATCTATACTATATTTTGCAAAAATCTCATCCTCACCACCAATTCATCACAGTATGAATATCAAAACTTCATCATGCCAGAAATCGAAAGGATATAGCTCTACTGTCACAAAAAATAAATATTAAAAACCAAACGGATTCACCGAAGAAACACAATACCTGAAGAAGAGCCATTGCATACGTGATGTAGTTCCGCGCCCTACCCATGCTGGTGATACGAATCTCATTCTCAGCAATCTGCGATTTCGCCTTAGGCTTCTCCACTCTCTGATACCTATCCATCTGAACAATTTACACCAAACACAATACCAAATCAGAAGAAAAAAACTTTCAGCGATGGAAACTAGGGGTTCTCGTTCACAAGGTTCAATCCAGACGATTAGAAACAGGGTTTTACTAATCATCCTCAGTAATAGCTTAAATGCTTACCTTGTTCGACTGTTCTGGTTAGATCTTCCGAAACCCTAGAGGATTTGGATAAGGATAAATGTTTGGTGTTTTACCCAGAAATTGGACTAGAGATTTAATACTGTCTCGTTTCTGTTTTCTTTTTTGTACGCCCTAAGAGACGGTTGTTGCAGGCGCCTCTCTAATATATAACAGCCGCACAACTTCTCTTCCACACACCCATGCACCAGTGAACTGCCCTAATCGATTTCCGGTTTGAAATTTCGACTTTTTAACCGGTTCTAATCGAACCAAAGATAATACCAGCAATTACCATGGATCTCGTTCGCTTCACCACCTTTTTCTCACTTTTTTTTTTTGTCTTCAGTTACAACGGTAAATTTTTTTATTTTTTTTATAATCGTTATGCATTAGCTTTATGATTTCAACTGCCCTACAAAACATGAGAAGCATTTGAAGATTTTTCTTTTGGTTTGTTATACCTTAAGCTGCGAATAGAGATAGTTGAAACATGTAACAAATAACAATATGAACATGTATGAGACTTATGCTTCTGGATTTTTCAGGCTAAGTACAGATATGTATTTAGGTAGGAGTTTTGGCACAGCATAGAAATTACAACTAATAAGATGATTGGGTGAGGAATGAAAGGAAGGTGTCTCGCATGTCTACTTCGTGTGGTTTAACCAGAGGATCAATGGTGTCTCTCCATCCTTCATAATCTTTGGGAGAACCAGCACCGGGCAGCTCGAACCCATTCACGTAGAAGGTTGGTGTCGCGGAGACTCCTCTTGAGACGCTATACTGCAAACAGAACAAAAGCAAAGCAATTATGGAATTGACAAATTTTATGATAAAAGCACTAGTCAGTATTGACAGAAGGCAAAGTACGCCACTAGAAATCAAGCTCCCAAAATTCTCCTAATTACTATTGACAATGCAGTGAAAGTTCTATGCCAATTCATTTGGATATCTAGTTAACGATATGAGCAAGAATACAGAGGACCAAATCGAATAAGCAACACCTAGACTAGTGAAAAGGTTTAAGTATGTAAAACTGAGAAGGGGGAAAATCTGAAGGGATCACCTTGAAGGAAATTCTTGTGGCAAGATCAGATTTAGAGTTGCTGAAACCAGATTTCAGAGGAGAATGATAAGAGTTTCCCAATGTAACTGTTCCAAGCTCGATTAACTTGTCCACAACTGCAGGTCTTGACATGAGTTGTGTTTGCGAGTTGTAAAACAATGCCTGTGGAAGCAAATTTCAATGAAGTCACATCTACAGATCAAACAAACATATAAAACCTGAAAAACACGGCGAAATGGAGTGCATGAAACAGAATCGCCGGGGTTACATTTTCTCTTTTTAAATTCAGTAATACACTATTCAAACCTGATGCTTGAAGATCCCTTCCAGCAAATTAAACGTGGCATTGGCGTTTAAGGTATCAACGATGTGTAAGGCCCGAGATGCTACAAATGCATTGTCATGGAAGCTGCAAAATATCCAAAAGCAAAACTTCTATCGCACAAGAACGAAACATAAACATTATCTGCTACTTAACTCAAACTACTTATCAATTGAGTCCACTACAGTATTCATGGGATGCATAGATTTAGTTCAACAGCGAACAAGTAATCTCTCGAGCCTCAGCTTAGCTAAGGATATTTGAAAACTGAAATTGAAGGGAAGAGAAATCAAACACTTACGGCAAAGGAATGAGGTGAAGAACAAGAGCAACGCGAGATCCATAATGATCAATCGCTAGCTTTAGTGGCTCCCAAGCGTCTCTACAGTCCGGGCAAACCGGGTCAAAATACGCCTCGATTAGTATCGTCTCTGGGTCAATCTTCCGACCCGGTGGATACACGAATCCATCACGCCTCACCGGAGGTATCAGCTGCGCTTGTACGACAGTTCCGACGAAGAAGACGAACACTAAAGCCGTTCGAATCATCATCATTGCTCTCTCTGAATCAATTTTCTTAAGAGAAAGAGATGATAATCTCGGAGTAGATTGATTCAACGGCCATGATCTCTCAAAGACCTTATCAACGGCCAAAATTACTCAAAACTGAGTTGAGACCTAGTCCTTCACCTTCAGCCGTTGATTTACGATTATGGTGACGTGGAAGAATCGGGTGGCGTAGGAGGATTAATAAGTGTGATTAAGGTTAAGCGGGAAATTTTATTTTTTTTAGCTAAGCAATGACAAAACAAGTTCTTCCACTGATAGTGCAAATTCCTCAATCGATCGTTGGATTCTTAGAGTCTTCTTCATCCATTTGGTCTTCTTCGTTATCAAAGACAACACAAGCTCATGCTCGTATACTCAAATCCGGAGCCCAAAACGATGGCTATATCTCCGCTAAACTCATTGCTTCATACTCGAACTATAGTTGCTTCGACGATGCTGATCTCGTCTTACAATCGATTCCGGATCCTACTGTTTACTCTTTCTCCTCTCTTATATACGCCTTAACTAAGGCTAAGCTTTTCTCGCAATCGATTGGCGTATTCTCTCGGATGTTCTCTCATGGGTTGATTCCAGATAGCCATGTTCTTCCGAATTTGTTCAAGGTTTGTGCTGAACTATCGGCTTTTAAAGTGGGTAAACAGATACATTGTGTATCATGTGTTTCGGGGTTGGATATGGATGCGTTTGTTCAGGGATCTCTGTTTCATATGTACATGAGGTGTGGTAGGATGGGGGATGCACGCAAAGTGTTCGATAGAATGTTTGAGAAAGATGTTGTGACTTGCAGTGCTTTGCTATGTGGCTATGCGCGAAAGGGTTGTCTAGAAGAGGTGGTTCGGATCCTCTCTGGGATGGAAAATTCAGGTATTGAACCAAATATTGTGTCTTGGAACGGTATTCTTAGTGGGTTTAATCGTAGCGGGTATCATAGGGAAGCAGTGATAATGTTCCAGAAGATGCACCTTTGCGGGTTTAGTCCAGATCAGGTTACAGTGTCAAGTGTTCTTCCTTCAGTTGGAGACTCAGAGATGCTGAATATGGGGAGGCAGATTCATGGATATGTGATTAAACAGGGACTACTCAAGGATAAATGTGTAATTAGTGCAATGCTTGATATGTATGGGAAATCCGGCCATGTCTATGGGATCATAAAACTTTTCGATGAATTTGAGATGATGGAGACCGGTGTTTGCAATGCATACATTACAGGGTTATCACGAAATGGTCTTGTAGACAAGGCACTTGAAATGTTTGAGCTATTCAAGGAACAAAAGGTGGAGCTTAATGTCGTGTCATGGACGTCAATCATAGCTGGGTGTGCTCAGAACGGGAAAGATATCGAAGCCTTGGAACTGTTTAGAGAAATGCAGGTTGCAGGGGTGAAGCCAAACCGTGTAACAATCCCTTCAATGCTTCCAGCTTGCGGAAATATAGCAGCTTTGGGTCATGGGAGGTCGACTCATGGATTTGCAGTAAGGGTTCACCTTTGGGATGATGTTCATGTAGGGAGTGCACTGATTGACATGTACGCTAAATGTGGAAGAATCAACATGTCGCAGTTTGTCTTCAATATGATGCCCACAAAAAACTTAGTGTGCTGGAATTCTTTAATGAATGGATATTCGATGCACGGGAAGGCCAAGGAAGTCATGAGCATATTTGAATCTCTTTTGAGAACAAGGTTAAAACCTGATTTCATCAGCTTTACAAGTTTATTAGCTTCATGTGGCCAAGTAGGTTTAACAGATGAAGGATGGAAATATTTCAGTATGATGTCTGAGGAATATGGTATTAAACCAAGGTTGGAACATTATTCTTGCATGGTAAACCTTCTTGGACGTGCAGGCAAGTTGCAAGAAGCATATGAATTGATAAAGGAGATGCCTTTTGAGCCAGACTCCTGCGTCTGGGGAGCTTTGCTAAATTCTTGCAGACTTCAAAGCAATGTAGATTTAGCTGAAATTGCAGCGGACAAGCTTTTTGATCTAGAACCCGAAAACCCAGGAACTTATGTTCTCTTGTCCAATATATACGCCGCCAAAGGCATGTGGACAGAAGTAGACAGTATTAGAAACAAGATGGAGAGTCTGGGCCTGAAGAAGAACCCGGGATGCAGCTGGATTCAAGTGAAGAACAGAGTGTACACGCTTCTAGCTGGTGACAAGTCGCATCCGCAAATAGATCAAATAACAGAGAAGATGGATGAGATTAGCGAAGAGATGAGGAAATCAGGTCACCGCCCAAATTTGGATTTTGCTCTGCAAGATGTGGAGGAGCAAGAGCAAGAGCAGATGTTATGGGGACACAGCGAGAAACTAGCAGTAGTATTCGGTCTTCTGAACACACCCGATGGCACGCCTCTTCAGGTCATAAAGAACCTTAGGATATGTGGTGATTGCCATTCAGTCATAAAATTTATATCGAGTTACGCAGGTAGAGAGATTTTCGTTAGAGATACTAATAGGTTTCATCATTTTAAAGACGGAATTTGTTCTTGTGGAGATTTTTGGTGATGCTAAAAGAAACATGTCTCGTATTCTTTTATCTACACAAGTGTTTCAGTTTGCTTGAAAAGCTCATCAATTTATTATCCAAAAAACAAAAACAAAAAATGCTCATCAAATGAATATAAATGGTAAATGGATTGATGGTAGTGCATAATGCTTGGAGAAGTCTGGTTCATAATGTTATACATGAGATTGTTTGTTTACTTGGCTGTATCAATGAGTCCCATAATCGCAGTGAGATAGGACACGCGTTGGTCATTAGAAGCTACAATCACCTTCCGCTGCTCGTCCCCCTTGACAAAGAACAAGGATGGCGTGAATTTATAGAAGTCTCGGACGCCACTGGACCAAAGTGTGGTTGACCCTAAAACTCCCCAACTATTAACTTCCATGTCGTAAACATGAACAACACCTTTTAACCTATCCTTCCTCTCCGTCAACACTAGATGCTTGCCGTCGTACACAACAATGTTCCAGCATACAAGCTCACTTTCCTTCATAGATACGTTCTTGATCCGCCTGGCTAGCTTCCATTTGAATTCTCGACGAGTGTGTAAACCGAAATTTCTTCTTTTGTCCCCGAAATTAAGGTCAGTCGATTAATCTTATTGTCTGCTGCGAAAAACAGTTTCATATCTGGTTCTTGATGAAATATAGAAGGAATCAAGCTTGCTTGCTCTGTATCAGGATCGAATGCTATGATGCTCCCATCGTTTCTCAACCAATGAAGACTGTCGACTAAATAAACAGGCTTCATTTGCACCATAAGATTACTTGTTGAGCTAGTGGTGATGGTTGTTTCCGATAACCTCCAAGAGTATCCGTCGCTGATCTCGAATCCGTACACGGTTTCCATCTCGAGTATGCAGACGATCTTAAATCTATTAGTTGTCAGATTTCTGTTTACCGTGAAACCGACGCACATGGATCTTTCTGTACCAGCAACGTTACGATCACCACCAACTATTATAGACAGAAGCTTTGAGGCAGAATGATCCAATAGTCGAAACCACTTTGTGAGGGGATTTACGACAAAGAGTCCACCAATATATAGAAGGAGAAGGCCAGAGCAGGAGCCAAAAATGTAACATGGCTCTCTAAGCATATTTACTTCATTCCCCGTTGACATAGAATCTCTTGAAGAGACCAAAGGCAGGCAAAAGATGTAAGTGGCACCGTAGCTGGCAAGGTGAAACAAGCTTGGTCTGGTCCAGACAGAGTATTTTTCAAACTTCGAGTCAGATATATAAGATTGGAAATATCTATTCGTGCATCGCATCATTGCTAGTGATTTGGGATCCATTTTGAAGAGAATCTCTTCGAGAAGATGCAAAGGTAAACCATTCATGATGCAGAGATAATTGTAAGGTGAGAATCTCCTTTCTTCTGCTTCGCTAGTTGATGACTTGATGTGAATATATTTGTGTTTATTTTACGAACCAGGTTGTTTAATACAGACAACAAGAATCAGATTGACACGCGGTAAGAAAAAGGAAAAAAAAACAATTCCATTACAGAAAAAAGGCAAAGACAATCTCACCATAATACAAGAGAATTAATTAAAGTTACCAAGTAGAAGAAAGATTGTTACATTTTGAGATTTTTTTTTTTTTTTTTGATTATCTTTGATGAAATCATAAAAATTCAAAAATACTATACATTTCTAGTACTTTAGATTGCTATAACATTGTTATGAAAATTCAAGTAGAAAAAGAGCAACAAATGTTATTTAAAATAGCAAGACAATCTTACCATAGTAAAAGAAAATTACAGTTACCAATAGTAAAAGAAATTCAGAGTTACCAATTTTCTAATAGAATGAGATTTATTTAATTTTGGTGGATTCTGAAACAAAATTTCAGATTTTATGTGTCTTTGATGAAATCATTAAAAACCAATAATTATATCTATACTTTTTAGCTGGAAAAAAAAAGTATTTACCAAATTGAAAAGATGCAACAAATATAATCCACTGGATCATTGGTAATTAAAAAAATAAAGATTAACTATATAGGGTGACCAATAAAAAAAAAAAAGATTAACTATATATTAAATAAATACCATGGATAAATATTTTGTAAAATAAAGTTTAGCAGTAAGCCCGTCTAGCTCAGTTGGTAGAGCGCAAGGCTCTTAACCTTGTGGTCGTGGGTTCGAGCCCCACGGTGGGCGCTTTCTTTTTTATTTTATTTTATAATTGTTGAGAAAATTTTAGGAAATGCATCTAATCTGAAAAAAAGTTATGAATCTCACAAATAGAAATATCTCCAAAAAAAAACTTTTTGGCTTTTTGCTACGAAAATAATAATTTTAGAGATTTAGGTGCTCAACAAAATAAAAAAAGAGATTTAGGAAAAAGGCCAAAGATGTCAGGTATATCCTCCAACCACGTTTTCACACAAAGCCACACCAATCATCAAATCACATTTCTCTCTTCTCTTCTCTTCTCTTCTCGATTTGAATCCATTTCGTTCCAGGTACGGTGCTCTCTTCATCAGATCTTTCCTCACTGTTTTCGATATTATGTCTTCCTTTCTTCTTCACTTTCACGGTCTCCATTTGTTTTTACCGGATCCATTTTCATTTTTGATTTGCTCCCGCCTCACTTGCGCGCGTTGCGACTTTTTCCAGGAATTGTGGAGCGGCTTTGATTTTGATTTCGATCTGTGACAATGGGGGAGACTAAGATCGACACGGAGGAAGGAACTCTCGAGATCGGAATGGGTTAGTTACCACCGATCATGGATTGGATCACATCAATTTCTTCCGTTTCATATTTTCTCTATCAAGTTGGGTCGACTATACGGATTAGGGAGATTACATTCTTGGTTTTGGTTTTCGCCCAATTATATCGGATTTTAACTTTACAAGTTACTGTATAACAAGAATCTCAAATTCTGGGGTTTGTATTCTAGCTTTAGCGAGCGATCGATCAATCTAAGTTAATATTGTTAACTATAAGTCTGATCTCACGTATTTTTAAAATTGGAAGTGGTGTATCGACTAGCTTATTGGTTTTTGGTTGCAGTTTAGTTAATGACCAGTGTTTGTCTTGCTTACTTTGAATTTGCAGTCGTTTTCTGTTCGCTGAATGCTATAATGATTTTGTATTTTCAGCTTTTATCTTTGTAAAAGAGACTGATTTACGAATCTTTGAATTGTAGAGTATAGAACCGTCTCCGGGGTTGCAGGACCCTTGGTCATCCTTGACAAAGTGAAGGTATTAGAAAAGGAGAAGCTTTTTCACATCCCATAGAAGCTTTTTTCTTTATTGAGGGACACTGACTGTAGATGTTTGTTGAACTGTATCTTGTATCAGGGTCCTAAGTACCAGGAGATTGTTAACATCCGTTTAGGAGATGGATCCACTAGACGTGGTCAGGTCTTGGAGGTTGATGGCGAGAAAGCTGTTGTCCAGGTTAATGATATTTTGAGTTACTTTTATGCGTTTACTGCATAAAACTAATTTGTTGAATCTAGGTGTACAATGTAATTTATACACTTGCTTGCGCGAGAGGTCCCTGCCCTCAATAGTTTATACATGTACAGGTTTTTGAAGGAACATCTGGAATTGACAACAAATTTACCACCGTGCAATTCACTGGAGAGGTGCATACTATGAAGCATTCTTCTCTTATAAGCTTTTGGCAGATCGACTTAAAATTTATTGGCAGTTTTCTGAAAATGCCTGCTTTTTCTTTATTCTATTTAACTTTTTCTGTTATTGATGTGTGTTTCAGGTACTTAAAACGCCTGTATCACTCGACATGCTTGGGCGCATATTTAACGGCTCAGGGAAGCCAATTGATAATGGCCCTCCTATTTTGCCAGAGGCATACCTCGATATTTCGGGTGAGCATTGATTGCCTCATTGTGTGATCTCTGAATAATTATTTTCTGTGCCTAATGGTTGTGGTGGGTAAATTATATAGGAAGTTCAATCAACCCCAGTGAAAGAACCTACCCTGAAGAGATGATACAAACAGGGATTTCTACCATTGATGTCATGAACTCCATTGCTCGTGGACAGAAGATTCCTCTTTTCTCTGCTGCTGGTCTACCACATAATGAAATAGCTGCTCAAATCTGTCGTCAGGCGGGTCTTGTTAAGCGGTTGGAAAAGACTGAGAACTTAATTCAGGAGGTAATTATTTGCCCATTACCACTACCAAAAGTCCTTTTGTTTTCCAAGTATCATGCTGAAGTCTAAGTGCCTGTGTATTTATGCCCATTCAGTTTCTAACTAATGTAGAGTGATTTAAGTATTTCTACGAATACGTTGTACATGTGAAGGGTTCTAATTTGTGATGCCATTTACTTTTCTGATACTCAACTTCTGTGAGGATTGATACAGCAGTCTCTCAATGCCTCAGGCCCTCAGCTGTTTTGTTTTCCTTGTAAAATCCATCATTATTTCCCTTTCATTTTTTCAGGATCATGGAGAGGACAATTTTGCAATTGTTTTTGCAGCTATGGGTGTAAACATGGAGACAGCCCAGTTCTTCAAGCGCGATTTTGAAGAAAATGGATCGATGGAAAGAGTTACACTTTTCCTGAACCTGGTAATTTACTACTAGTGATTTTTATGCGTCTTATCTTACTTCTTTTAGTATTATATTACTTGTGTGATTGATTGAGCTTATATCTGCACTTTACTCGAACAGGCCAATGACCCAACCATCGAGAGAATTATCACTCCTCGAATTGCCCTTACAACCGCTGAATACTTGGCTTATGAATGTGGGAAGCATGTGCTTGTTATATTGACAGACATGAGTTCTTATGCAGATGCTCTTCGTGAGGTAATGGCTTTCACTGGGTCTCTGTGTCTGTCCAATTATACAAAACTTGATTTTGGTTTTGAAAAAAGTAACAAACGAGAGCTCTAGGTTTCTGCTGCTCGAGAAGAAGTTCCTGGAAGACGTGGATATCCGGGTTATATGTATACAGATCTTGCAACTATCTATGAGCGGGCAGGGCGTATTGAAGGAAGAAAGGGTTCCATTACCCAAATCCCTATCCTGACTATGCCTAATGACGGTAAAAATCATATTGCTTTTTTTTTATTCTCTATCAATATATGTTTTTGATTGAATAATGCTCCTAATATCTCTTGTTTATTAAACCTCAGATATCACTCACCCTACTCCGGATCTTACTGGTTACATTACTGAGGGTCAGATATATATTGATAGGCAACTTCACAACAGACAGGTGCCATAAGCCTGACTCTGTTTCAGACCTTTCATTATTGTTATTTTTAATACATCTACATAACGAAAAGGTTTCTCATCCATTTACAGATTTATCCACCCATTAACGTGCTTCCATCACTTTCTCGATTAATGAAGGTAGCTATGCCATTCGATTATACAATTATGGATTGAAACATACTATTACTTATTAACTTAATCATTGTTCCTCTACAGAGTGCTATTGGTGAAGGAATGACTCGCAAAGACCATTCTGATGTGTCCAACCAGGTTCCCTACCTATATAGAACCTTACTTGACGAGAGTAGCTCACATGTTAATATAGTAGTATCGAATCCAATTGACAACATTCTCTTTACTTTCAGCTGTATGCAAATTATGCAATCGGGAAAGATGTTCAAGCCATGAAAGCTGTTGTTGGAGAAGAAGCTCTTTCATCTGAGGATCTGGTAGCTTTCTCAATACTTCATATTATTCATGTTCATATCAAAATACTCACAACAACAATCACTCACAACAATTGCTTGTATTGTGTGATTGTAGCTGTATTTAGAGTTTCTGGATAAATTTGAGAGGAAGTTTGTGATGCAAGGGGCATATGATACAAGAAACATCTTCCAGTCGCTTGACTTGGCATGGACACTGCTCCGTATCTTCCCACGTGAGCTTCTTCACCGTATTCCCGCTAAAACACTTGATCAATTCTACAGCCGGGACTCCACAAGCTAATCCTTTCAAACGACCTCACTATTACTCCATTCTCATCTCGTTTGGGACTTAAAAATCATATCGTGAGAAGAAAACAGGAATGATTGCGTGAAATACAAAAAAAAAAAAAACTCAGAGAATTGTGAATTTGCGATTTTTCTTTTGTTTTTTCGTTTGTATAATAAAAGCTTTGTGTATGGAAACTTCGCACAAAATGCTCTATTTATTAGCCTTCTGCAACTGTTTTTTAAACTGGTGAATCATGTCTTTTTTGTTGTTGTGTAATAAATCTCTCTTTCTTCACTTTTATATCTGTATGCCATCGTTTGTGCAATTTGTGGAATATTTCTGATATTTTGACCTAGCAATTTTAATCTGCTGGTGAAAGCAAACCACCACAAATGAGTCCATGACACAACCTAAATGGTCGGTCGTTTAATAATTTGGGTGGGTATATATCATATTTGGGTGGGTATA